TCCGTCGGAAGACTTTTCTCAACTTTGACGGATATTCATAATTATCACCTCTTCCTATAGTTTCACTGTCATTAAATTAATCACGGTAGCGTATCTAGGCTTCGTCACCTGTAACACATGTTTCGACGTTTCTGACTTGTTATGGACAATAATATGCGATGAGTGACACGATCCAGACATGAGCTCTTTGTGTGAACTGAAGAAGTTTTCTTCGGGGGGGGTATGATCAGGCAATTATCCTTTCATAATTTGTCACTTCTTAATATGAGAATTTTTTTTATAAATACTTGAGTTCTGACTGGATAAAAAAAAGATCTCTTTTGATTTGAGCTCTACATAATAGACACCTTTATGACTAGCAAACTGAATAGGCCTACGTCCTACGTTTACAGAAGATGAGCAAGTAATGCTCCAGACAGTACAAAAGTTACTTTGAAGTTTTGAGTTTATCTCATGACTTTTTTCTTCACATGAATATTGTCAAAATATTTTGTGGTAGTCACAATGGTGTAAACTACAGTTCCAAATCTGAAGTGTTGAGTCCAGCACTTAAATAAGTTCGCTCAGTGACTACACTTTGAAAGTGTTGAACCCAGCATTTTAAATGGTAAATCCGACACTTATACTGTTAATTCAACAATTTAAGTGTTAATGCAACATTTTTCAAAGTTAATACATTGAAAGTGTTGAATCAATATGATCAACATTTTAAGTGTTGAATTATCAGTTTAAGCGTTGTGTTTAACATTTATAATGCTGGATTTAAGACTTCCAAAAACGTGTGGTCACTGACCAAACTCATGTAATAATCAGTTTTTAGAGTGTAGAAAAACTTCTGAGGGGACACCTGGGGGCTCCCATTTTTCGGGGGGGGGGGGCACTGAAGGCAAGTGATATATTTGTTTGTTCAATTCAAGATTTTAAATTGGGGGGGGGGGGGTGCACCTGCGGATACGGACATCGATGGGGGTGGGGGCGCTGCAGTCGGCAGTGTAAGATTTTCCCTCAATGAGCTATCGCATTACTGACCCATTTGCCAATCCTATATAGTTGAGGTAAATCAAATTACCCTCAGCAAGTGAGTGAGCAACCGCATTTAATTATCCTGTTTGTAGATCTGAAAATAACAAAAGCTCCAACAGCGCTATTTCCCGGCCATGCCGGCTCGGAAATTTAATTTGTCCGGCAAATAAAAAGGTTTTGAAACGTAAGCGCTAATGAAGACTTAACTGCCGTGTTCTGGCAGCTCGACCTATTATTCACTCACGGGCCAAGATAGTTTGTATGATGTGCCAAATGGTGATCTTGGTAACACAGAGACTACCTTCCCTAAGTTATATTGTTTCTTTAAGGCTCCTCAATCTTAGTTCGTCTTAGGCCTACCAATCAATCAACCGCCTTTGGTCTTATCACAGCCTGACCAGATGAATGAATGTTTCCAGACAAGAACACACCCGTTCATCATCAATTGTTCCCGCTATACACGTATCTCCTCCAGGAGGGAAGAGAGTTTGCCGGAAAATTAGTCACGAAACGAATTCCGATGCTTCCGAAGGATTCAAACGGGTGAAAAATGAAGCCATGAGGACACTCTTAAGTTAACAGGAAAAAGTTACAATGTTTACCTCATGTGGTATCTCGTGGGTTGCCGTATAGGGTGCAGATCTGTAAAATAGGCCCTGAATTGCCTACGCGAGCCAAATCACAATTTGTGTGCCCTCAATTTTTCAGGAATTAGAGCATTTTGATGGCCGTGAAATTGAGAATTTGTAAAAAAAAAAAAAAAAAGAAGGGCGGAAGCTGTTCAGAGGACTGCGAGCTCGTATGTCTGTGAAATGTGGATGAAATTAGGCCCTAAAATGTCTCTCTATTTTGCAATGGAGCGCAGGCGTCCATTTTCAAAATGACGATGGGCTTCAGGACTGCTCTCAGGGGTGATCATCTTTGGATGGTATTTTTTTTCCAAAGTCATCAGTTAACCTCCCCCCCCCCCAAAAAAAAAAGGAACGGAAAATGAAAGATGATCAATTAAGCTTTAATTTGATGGGTGTTTCAAACACCTTGGAGAGTTGTGAGTATTTTGAATATTTTTTGGAAATACGCGTAAATACCATTGGGGTCTATGGGAGTCGATTTGCAAGTCTGCACCCGTACAGGGAAAAGTTGCTTAGAGAAGACGCTATATCATGACTCTGTTTCTGCTTAACCGAAACACGCAGATAAATGAAAGAGTCTAAACGTGACGAAATAAGTTTCCACGAACGATGTATTGCTTTGGATCTGCCGTGAATGCACGACCTCAAGACAATCACATGATTTGATCAAAAGGTCATCCAAAAGATGTTCAGGGGAACTTGTCCGGAAACCCAGTTGGACTTTTGGCGCTAATCTGGTTGCACCACGAGGACGAAAGAGCTCCCCCCAAAAAACACAGTCACAGAAAAATCTACGAAGCTAAACAGAAAAGCATAGAGATAAGGGGTCATTTCCGCATGGCCAAATGGGACGCTAGCAACTGGAAAAGGAAGGGTAGTAACAAGGACATTTGTCTGCTGGGAAGTGACTGTTATTGCAACAGGGCCTTTCAAGAGGTAGTTTACACTAATGATGATTATCCTAGTGGAACTGATGGCTCCATATTTCACCTGAATTCGCACTTTAAGTCCCAACTCGGGATGTCATAAAAATGGTCTAGATTTGAGAGTTTCCATTTTAAGAAATAACAGCCATATTTTACCTAAATGCGCACTTTAAGCCCTAACTCGGGATGTCATAAAAAGTGGTATAGATTTGAGTTTCCATTTTAAGAAATAACAGCCATATTTTACCTGAATGCGAACTTTAAGCCCTACCTCGGGATGTCATAAAAATGGTCTATATTTGAGAGTTTCCATTTTAAGAAAAAACAACACGCAAGTTGAGACAAGACTTTACTCAAACCTCGGAAACTTCACAGGCACGTCGAAGAATGAACATTTATTCGCGTGTTGTGCACTATCAAGGGACTACATTCCTTATTTCCGGTGAACATTTTCTTTTGGGGGTAAGTCAAGTCTGTCTGGGCCTGCTGCCAAGCAGGACAGCTGACTAACTGGTGAAACAGCGAGATCCGACATCTCGGTAGAGGATCTTATCTTGCGACAATCGTATTAAGCGACTTCTCTCGTCCGGTTGGACTCGATCAGTTTCTGTATGGGCGTTTTCGCTTTTTTTTTTTTTGTTTTTTTTTTTGTAAAGCTGAATCAAATAAGGTCTCACATATACACTGAAACCACGGTTGACCTCATAACATATCGCTTTTGCCTGAAGAATCCCGACCGAAAGCTTAAACTAGACACTGAAGACATGACTAGGATGCATGGTGAATGAAAGAACGGTTTTAGCAGGAGACACCTCAACTCTAAAACAGCACCGGTCAGAATAACATAAACTATGATCAGCAATAAAAGGGGAGCTTATTCCTAAATCTTGAATACAGTATGACCAAGCATCATTATCATCAACAACAACAACAACATCAACAATCCCAAACTCAACAAAAGCAACTCAGTAGCAGATCTTGGGGGTGGGGTGGGGGTTGCAGCACCCCCTCCCGTTCAGCCGCTGAAAATGAAATGTTTATGATACTTGTGAAATTGGGTCAAAAATAATAACGTTTGACTCAAAGTTCCCAAATTTATTCTCAAATTGCCTTAGAATGGGAAAGAGGGCATGCCCCTATATCCCTACACCTATAGCAGGAGCACGTCTTCACTCAAATATCACTCCCCCGGGGGTTTCCTGAAAGCTAGATCCACCCCTGCAACTTTGAGGCAGCATAATTTCACAGCATCACCCATAAAAAATAGTGAAATGATTTATAACAAACTACCCAAGAAATGTAGTAGAGAGAAACACCAACAATCGCAGCAACAACAACAGCATCGACAACAGTACAATAATTTCTCCAACCCTCTGTCTTGTCATGTCATGACCTCCGGGTTTCCGGATCATTTTATCTGACACTTGATCAGCCCAAACAGACGGATGAATAATCCTGTACCAGTTTGAGAATCCGACTGTTTAATTGGAATGACATTCAACAACAGACACTTGAAGGTTACATATACAACATTTTGCTTTTGCTTAAATATTGCTTCAATATAACAACATCTGACCGTTCTTATACATCGTCGGTATAAAAGGGTTCAGCAATTTTCATTTAATTAAATCATGGTATGGGCCTCAACGTCTGTCGTCACAATGGTCTTAATTTTCAAAGCTAATCTTGAATTTTTAATCTCCAACGAGTTTGCATCATTTGATGATATACAAAATTATATTAGACACATCTTCACAAAAATGTGTGCCCTGGACAATAACACCCTTTCACCAACACAGCAGTAAAGGAGCAACCACAAGAAACAAAATGGTGGCCAAACTTTACCCGTGAACATTTGACAGTTTACGAGGATTAGTATGCCACTTGTGCCTTTCCTCGATAACTAACAACTTCGACCGAGACAACTTAAGCCGTTTTCGGCTTTATCATCCTGTAAAAGTCTTATACGTCTATCGCAGGTAAAAGTACAGGCAACCCCAGGTACCATAAGGTGGCGTGCCAAAGTTGGACTTGTGGCATACGCCATCTGTTTTTCTTTCTTTTTACATCATGCATTTCAGAAGAAAATAAACTCTCCCCATCATCTATGACTGAAAAGTAGACAGTACAGTAGACCATAACAGTAATAAGCATCATCAGTGAGTGTTTTTTCTCTTGCTTCCATCAAAGCCACCATTGCTTCGAATTTCAACACTGAATACCCCATACCATATACAGTACTGTACCGCGCAAACATTGCCATAGCACTATGTGTAAAACTAAATTATAAGCCGAAAAGGTATACCAGACATGTCAATTATACGTACATAACTCAATATAAACTTGGTACATTTGTAAATCTTAACTTGACTGGACTGCATGGTAACACAATCCCACACAAAGAAAAATGGCAACTTACCAACAAACGTGAGCACCAGTACGGCTATTCCTACAGTATAACCCATGGTTGCATGCATGTGTATGTCACAAGCCGGCTGAGGATAGGCACATGAGCTTTATCAAAGGGGAAAAGAACCCAACTACAACCTTATAGATGTCGGCTAGGCAATGAAACATCCGCTGAATAACTCTCTGCAGAGCACGCGACACAGCACACTTCCCGCCACTGGCAACGGCCTCATTTGAATAATATATGCAACGCGCATTGACTGCCCCAGCCTATGAAGATGCAGACACCTGCGCGACGTGTCATCATTGGTCTGAACTGGAGGGTTGGGATAATCAATGCGGCGCGATGATTGATAAAAACCCAGATGTATCTTAGCGGCTAATTATTCACAGATGACGTCATCAAGGTGAAATGGGTGCCAAAATCACAAGCTTCGAGAAGGGAAAAGGAGGCGGTAATAATTCAAGTGTTGATTCTGACAAGCCTGATGAATGGCTTGCTGTGTTGCGGTTAAACTTCAGTTTGGGGCAAGTCAAACCTCATCCCCAGTGCTTACTTTATTTCCAACCTCGTTTCCAATAGTATGCCCAGGATGTGAAAGTTTCTTCTTGTATAACGATGTGATACCGCAATTGACAGGTAATGGATTTGTATCGTGTACTTGGTGTTGTTATTTTCAACTTGTATTCCGTGTTTTCACGTTCATTGTAATGATTACGTCCACACCTCAAAAATAACCTCTTCGTTTCCAATTTGCTAATATTAATATGAAATGTGATACTGCATATTGGCTGGATAAGATTGTAACATTTTAACTTTGAAAAAAATAGTGTTTTCCTAACGAACGCCGCGACCAATTGATTGTGTTTTCACCCCAGACACCTCATACAAAAATAAACGCTGATGTAACGCACAGGCACCAGACTATTTCTCATTTGCATACCTATTCAAAAAATTTGGATATGCAGATGATCCAATACCAGGGTGAGAGAGCGGTTAGTGGTGGGAGCGTACTGCTCGACACCCTGGGAACGAGGTTAGGGCAGGTCCAACTTTTCAAGTTTGGCATACGGGTACTCCGATCTGTGCTTATTAAAGAATTTCGGAAGGATGCTAACTTGACCTAGTGAACGCGGATATCGGCCGATGGCTTGGAGGACCTTGGGCCACACTTTGCTTATCTACCGGTGAAACCATTTCCCTGGAATGACCCCCGGTGCAGAATATTGCATAAAGTCAATTCCACAGGACCCTTGTATGTTAATAATCCAGATTAACATTCAAATTGTCCCTGAAACTAATCAACCGTGCTCTTTCATTGTATTTTTTCAATTCAATAGTTTGCGGTGACAACACGTGACAGCAAATTTCCTTCTTGAGTTACGTGTCTATCTGCGAAGGACCTGTTTTACCTTTGCTCGTCGTCAAGTGCCGACACAAACTTCCCCTTATTACTGACTGACCTCATCCTCCAAATCTTATCAACTTTCCGATTCATTTCATTAACGCGATAGGAACAATCCAGAAAAAAAAGTGCAGCGTAATAGCAAAGATTGTGACAGCAATTTTTTTTTCTTAAATTATCTTTAGTACATAAATATTAAACACCTTTAGCAGACAAATGTTCCTACTGTCGGCCTCCAAAGGATGAGAGTAAGTAATAATATTAATACAAGCTATAATGACAGAAAACGGCCAGTGTTTAGCTGAAGAAAACGTCATAGAAAATAATTGAAAATATGTCTAATTGTTTATGTTGTTTAGTCTCGTTATTAATTTTATTTCATTTTGTTCAAACGACGTCAGAGTTCAACGACATCAAATAACAACTGACGACTGGCTGGTTGCGTGTTTACTGAATGTGTGCATTACATTCTGTAACATGCCGCGAAGCAGGCAAATTGAAACTAAAAGCGGACGTTCAACGTTTTTGTTGAGTTTTCCCTTTTTACGCTGTGTTGAACAGACGGGCGTCCATTATTCCAACCGCACTGTCTCAGATATCATTACCACTGAAGAATTGGTGCATCTGGTTGCTACTGTTCGAACTCCATCTAGTATCGTGCGCTGACGTGACGCGGAGCAAGGCATCAAGCATTTTAGTGAAGAGCCCCCCTCCCCCCGGTCAGTTCAAGCAGACTGTTGGAACTGAGCTAATTAGCATTTCTATAGTGGGTGATCGTCTAATTGATGCTGGAAGAGAATTAACTTGTGCAGTCGTCCGTGGGAGAAAAAAGAACTTGTAGTTGCCAGTTTTCTGAAGGAAATGGCTTATGTTTGTCTTGTGAACGTTGGCTAGCTTCTTCAATAGCTGCAGATTGGTTGGCTGCTTTGTAGAGAAGAGTCAAACAAGCTCTCAGCCGTTTCTCTTCCAACAAATCCCATTCCAGGTTCTTTTTTATTGATGTTACACTACTTTCCCTGCCAAAATCTTTGGATAAACCAACGGAAGAAAAGCGCGGTTACCTTGTTAAGCAATTATCTAGAACAAAACTCTCAAGTCCGGATACCGGATGACCGTTAACCGCAGTCATTGAGGATGTACAAATCTATTTGGCTTTTTGCCCTAGCCAAAAAAAGACAATAGCAGATCGGTTGTTGAAGTGATTAGGAAATAATCGATTTGGCGGTCATAATTTATGGCAGTGACCCCGGTTAACGGAACAAAAGGTCATCCGAATGACCTTTACCACCACGATTGTTTTTGTTCTCAAGGTGAGCACCATGGAGTTTCATTCATGGATTTTCATTGAAATGCAGGTATCCGTGCTTTCGTGGGCTGCAGGTATCCGTGCTTTCGTTGGGTGCAGGTATCCGTGCTTTCGCATTCTATCACAAAAGGCTCACGTTTGTGTTATTGGGTGATCTGGTGCGTTAAAATAAATCTAAATCGTTAGAATGTGTTTCTTTATATCTTTATATATATCTTTCTTCAAGTGATGACGTCATCTAACTTAGATGACGTCATCTAACTTGAAGTAACGTGTATGTAAATAAATGTATACTGATATTTATCAAACCAAAAATGACGCATATTTTAAAATTAAAACCAATGGTTCCACTGTAAGGCTGGATTCTATATTTTTTTTTTCTGCTTCGACCAAAAAACCAAAAACAACTTAACTGGGCAATGTTCAATGAAAAAAAGACTTGTCCGCCCGATCAGCCTGCGTTTGTAACTCAACAAACGCGAATCTCTAGTTTATTTTTTTTTAAATGTGAATTGCACCTTTAATCCATTTCAGTTCTCTGGGACGTTGTTGCTGTGACGTCAATTGAGGTTATCGTTGAATGCCTAATAACTAAATTAAGGTATTTTTTTTTAGAGATGACCTCAGATACTTAGTAAAACAGCTTTCGAACCAAAACTCCTTCAATAGAATAAATCATTCCCTACGTACAGAAATTTACATTTTTCAAGTCGTGATGATTGCTTTAAAGTGGGGGACACCTTCATGGTTACACGCATGCTCAGACTGCCAACAGTGCTAAGGTGTTAAACGGAAACTTATGTAGGCCTATGTGCCATGGATTCGAGGAAAAAAAATATTTCCACAGACCCTTTCAGTCAATTGATATTAAAAGAAAGATTATGGCAGCCACGATCTCAGCCAACCACCGTGTGATTTCTGAATATGTAGGCAATTTACTGGAAGTCTAATAAGGTTTTCACACTTGATCCTTGTCTCTGAAAATCGGAACAACAGCTGTTGATTTACTTTTAATCCCTTCAAGGAGTGATACACTTCCGTTATCTTATATTGACACATTTTTACGGAAACAGATGGTAAGGGATTACATCGACTTAGTAAAACTTGCATGCTGCTTAGGGTTTTTGGTGAAAGATACGTCTGCCTTTAGATGAATTTAACAACTTCGGCAAGGGGAAGAATTGCCGGGATAAGTTCGCAAGGACTACAATCCCGGCCAAAACGGTTGGGACACTTCCTGAGCCTGGCACGGTCACCCATTCCCCCGCTCCCCCGGTCAATATTGTTCTCTTCAGCGGATGGAGCACACACCGCGCAGTGAGAGACAACATTGAATGGGGGCCGGGGGTTGGGGGCCCAGCGAGATTTGGCCAGGATTGTAGGTTGTTTACAGTTTGTGCTGGGAAGGAAGACTGCTCCCAGAATTGAGTTCAGAGTTTGGCAATAGCTCAGGACTTCCTTCAGGAAGAAACCAGTAAAAATCTCTGTTTAGATTCCGGTGTTTACTGAGTGACGAGGTGTGGAGAGTCAGATACCAATCTGTGCAGGTTAGAAATGAATCATCCGGAATGGCATCATGCCAGATAGCACCAGTCAAATTAAATAATCCTCGTCGAATCCTCAAATCTGTCGTCCAGTAAATTATGAAAAAAAGGAACGATAGATCGATCATTGGTATTCGACTATGTTAGGTTTGGATATTGGACAGAAGGGGTGCATACCTATGTTTCCCAATCCTAACCCTAACCATTTTTAACCCTAACCCTAACCCTAACCCTACAACTCCAAGGATTTTGGGGAACATCGGTATTGGAGGACATCGGGTAGACCCCGACAGAAATGTGTATATGAGAAAAGAACGAAAGAGTGCAACAAAATACAGTAAAACAAAAACAGCATGGCACGGCAAAGCGGGCATATGATATGTAACCAAAAATGTCGGGGGAGGGGTTCCAAAGTCTCGCCGGACTGACCAACATGTATGCAAAGCAACTATAGGCTGGACCACAGTGCTCAGAATTTGGTTGCAGTCAGACCAATTTTATCCACTGGACTCTGGAGTCGCTTTGAATAACTGTAATAGTCAATCGTTCGCGTGTAGTCGCCGGTAATTGTTTCAAGTGGCCAACGTATTATTTTCATTAGAGTATTCGGGTTAATTTAGTTCGTTCGACTCTCAAATTCCAGTCTTAAACTTGTGTAAATAAAATCAAGACAGATTGAGCTGAGCATACCTAGACCAGGTGACAGGTCAAACCAAACTGGAGACAGAATATAGACTTTTGGTGACTGCTCTATGTTACGGCATCCCTACTAGAACGGAGCATGGCAGGATGTGGGTTCATATCACGGCTTGTCGAGTGAGGCTGGAAATCCGTTTCTCGTGACTTTCTGCAGAATTGGACAGAGCAGGAAAATGATGGAAAACACGATTTCTTTTTCAAAAGTTAAAATGTTACAAACTCCAGCCAATATGCAGTATCACATGTTCATGTTGATATAAGCGAAACAGGAAATGGAGGATTGATTGCGAGGATGAGTGGACGTAATAATTCACAGCGAAAGTTAAAATACGTAATATATACGTTGGAAATAAAAAAGCACCAAGTATACACGATATAAACCCACCATTAATGTATCGAATCAGGATATAGACCATTATCATGTTGCGGTCATCTTGATTTTTTCCCATTCAAATCAACGCAACCAAAGCGAGGCTGGAACGGAAAATAATCTGTTTCCTTTTTGCACAAAAAACATTATCATTCAGTACTTTATTGGATACAGGGAACATGACTGGAAATGATGGCAGCATGATAAAGGTCTATAGGAAGAAAACTTTGCCATCGAGAGGTTACTATTGAAAACGAGGTTGAAAATTATGTAACCCCTGGGGGCAGGGAGGGTCAAACCAACTTAAAGTTCAGGAAACAGTTTTCAGAGATTGAAAAATATTAGTTCATTTCGATAGCGAAAAAGAGTCCAATATCAGCATGCTACCCCCCCCCCCTTGATTTTACTGCAGTCAATGCACTTATCGTGAAGTGAGTCATATGACTTGCAATGTGTAGAAATTATACCTCATTACGTTTGTGGAAATGCGCACAGGGCTGTTATCAAGATGGCGGTCGAGGGACAACAGGCATTGGGGGAGGGGGGGGGGGAATACACGAAGGCTGCGTCAACTTTACTTTGATTTACATGTAACGTACCCAGGGTGTCTGTTCTAATTTCCGGTTCAAAACATTAATCGTATCGTACTTTCCCGACCCTCGCCAGCTCATATTCTCCAAACTGCATCAGCTGAGGGAGATTTCTGTAAATTATCAAATGAAAGCACATGTGTCGGGATAAGGAAAAACAAACTGGCTAACTTTTTATCTTGTTGGCAGAGGGCGTATTCCTCTTTGACACTCATCTGCGGAGTTCAGATTAAGTACAAACACGAGGTAGCGTTTAAGGCAACGTAGCGTTGATGGTGACCTTTGATCCTTAGGCTTTTTACAAGTCTCTTAGGAATTGATATTAGACCATCTTAGTTCTTGATTCATTCGTTTCAAGCCACTTTGCAGTCGCAAAAAAGACCGCCGTTGCAATGACGTCATACGTTAAACTGAAACCAACTTAACTGCTTTCTGACCGTGCATGAACTGTCTCAAGAGGGCGCTTCATGTCATATTGACCTCAGTTTATAAGTTCACCTCTGCAATCAAATTCCCATAGACGCTAGTGCTAAATGCCCATACTTCAAAATTCTTTTTTATAAATACTCAGAACTCTCACAGGTATTTTAGCTGCACAGAAAAATGATGATCAACATGTCATCTTTCATTTTCTTTTCATTTTCTTTTCATTTTTTTGGTGGGTTGACCATTGACTTTTCGAGATATTCTCACCCAAAGAAGACGACCCCCATTTCCCCAAAGCGGAAAAGTAGCCATCTTGAAAAACGATTCCTCCGCAACTTGGCAAAATAGCGCCACTTTCGAGCCTTGAAATGCTTTAATGTACATTCATAACTGAGTGATAGCAATAGTGTGACGTCATTGTTATTTTCTTATGAATGAACATCGAACTAGCTGAATAATCATGATCCATTGACGATATATGCTGCAAATAAAACACCGCGTGCCGGTGTAGCGTGAATTTACGTTTCTATGAAATTCGGACTCATTGGTAATACTGCGCATGCGTAAGTATGGTAATTAGGAAAGTGACCGGTCACGTGAGAGGGATTAACCAATTATAGGGAAAAGGGGTCCAATTTTCATAGGAGACGGATTTTCATGTGACACCGTTCCTGAGCGAATAGAGCCTGAAAGTTCACCCCTGGTGCAAGGGCGGATCCAGAACACAATTTTGGAGGGGGCCAAAAAAATATTTGGTCCCCCCAAAAAGTTGGTCCAAAAAATTACGGCTTGGGGTTCGGGGCCCGCTTAAGGGCCCCGAAAAAATTTTGGATTCTAGAAGCTCTGTGGTGCGATCTGAGGCAATTTCTGACCACTTTAACCAATGTTTTTTTGAGGAAAAGATGGTGGTGTACTCATTGCCTGCCTTTATTGCGATGTCACATAAAAACAAAAAAAAATTGGTTTCGTTTTGGGGGGGGGGGGGGCCATGGCCCCCTTTGGCCCCCCCCCCCCCCCCCCCCCCCCGGATCCGCCCTTGCCCTGATGGCGCGCTTCCAGAACCCTGGAATGGGATTATAACGTGCAGAAGTTCTAAAATTTGCAATTATTTTTGGTACATTTATTTATTTGAAAATAACCTTCGAAAAACGCTTTTGTTATGCGCCTATCAAATGTCCCCCCCCCCCCCCCCCCCCGCTGCCCAAGGTCCGATGTCGGGAGTTGGTCAAGTTTGTTATGCCCCAGGGGGGCATATTGGTCTCTCAAAAACATTTTTACTATTGGCGTACTACATGTACATGGAAAGGCAATCACTAGTGCGCCCCACGTATGTATGCCGGGGATTGTCACTTAAATTTGCCCGAGGGGTGGGGATTCTGTCACTTCAAAAGTGACAATCCCCACGTTTTGGGTGGGGCAGCCGGGGGGGGGGAGGGTCTGGGGAAATTATTGATAGGCGCATTAGTGTTACTAGCATCTCAATTTATGGCAACTGAAAAATCGCCTGACGTGAAAATCGTGCCAAAAAATTACCTCTCACTTCCGAAAATCTAAAATACATGTGGACTAGCGGAACTCGATCAGTGTACTCGTACGAAGATGAAATTGTATGACATAATAATATTGTGTGGCTGTCTTGGGCGCAAACTGAAACTTAAATAGGAGACTGAAATGTCGTTTAGGATATACAATATTTTGAATAAACTTGAAGGACTCATTAGCATGGACTTGCGGATGAAATGAGCCAATTGCAAAAAACCTGCTGGAGCAAGTTTGACTTGTATATTGAGAGTGCACTTGTGTATTCTCGCCCTCACTTTCTGTGGCCAGGTTTGAAAAGGTTTTACTGAGCTGAATCCCCCATGGAAGAGCCTGGTATAGATAAGCCTGACTAAGAAGTGTCAATGTACCTGTTGGGTGGGGTGAGGTGTGATCACATGCGTGTCCGGTGGGGTGGGGGTTGGATATAAAAAGTGCAAGAAAATGCAGAGAGTCGGTGCATGAGTTATGTTGTGCTTATTTGGGAGTCTGATCAACTGCACGGAAGTCAAGTTCGCTTGCAGTTTGCAATAAAAGATTAGCATCGTGACTTCAGAAAAGATCAAGCACTAGTATTTAAGCTGTGGAATTTGGTTTTAATTAAGGAAATTAAAAAATTGCGGGTCCAAACCGATGAGCGATGGGCCACTGTGACTAAGACAATACTCTGTAGAAACTACATCCGTGCAGACATCATTGCTTGTGTTAAAAATTAAAGGTTTTATTTGCATTAAAAATGTCCTTTGAATATCAAATTGTTATCTTCGGCTCAGGGCATAGATCCACATACATTTACCTCTTTATTTCGGAAGGCAAACATGCATTGATAACCAACAGAAGATAACCCAAAGTGGGCATTTACAACCAAAAAAGTGTGGCAATTAATCCTCATAATTTTAAGCAGGATCATTACATTACAAATCTTACATCTGAATACTTTTGGTTAATGTTCGGTGGAATTTACAACAAATCGATGATATACATGCCACTTTCACGCGTCACGCGAAAATAAAGCGAACTCCCCCATGACTACGTTATTTGCGTCTATAGCAGAGCCAATATATTGGGTCTGTAGTGTCTAAATTTAACTAAAACAAGAAAACTCACGGATGACCATGAACTTCTTAAACTTTACCGTCCCACCAGCAACCTCCTAATTTTTTCTACGCTTGATGCCACTAAGGCCTACCGGCGTCTTAAGCCTTCCTTTGATGTCATCTGACGGACCGGATCCTGGGCTTGTATGGGGTAAGATTTGTCCAGCCCCTAGTGTAGGGATATCCTCAGGTCTAGCCCATACCCAACGTACCCAATAAAACTCGTTAATACAAAGACATCTATATTCTACGGCCTATCTTTGCGTTACACTGCTCCCTTTAGTTGGGCAAACCTGTAGCTAATCTCACGCCCCTTGCAAAGCCGATTCGCAGAAAGGGAATTATAGAAAATGTGCTGAGTTAGTGTCCGAAATTAAATGGGGAAAAGTATTACTTCAGACAGGCCGAACAAGAACGGTCATGTTCTTGGTGTTGATAAAATAAAATCTGCTTTACAGGATGAGTTAAAAAAAGAAACCCAAATGGCAGGACCATTTTGTGTTAATGAAGTTCTGCATGTAGCACTATCAAAATCTAGGATATGAAAGCCCAATTGATAAGCTTTCGTTTAATACTACAATAATCACTCATGTACTTTTCAAGTTACAGAATTTTAAACACAACCGCCGTTTTAAAGTTCTGTCCACGGATCACAAAAAAGGTGTGTGTTCTCTCAGCAAAACGAAAACAATTCACACACATCTCTATGTGAATTATTGAAAGAACACTAACCTTTTTTTGTGATCCGTGGACAGAACTTTAAAATGGTGGTTGTGTTTAAAATCCCGTAACTTGAAAAGTACATGAGTGATTTGAATGATTCTTATACTAAAAGAGAGCTTATTAATTGGGCTTTCATATCCTAGTTTCATATTAAGAAAATGGTCCTGCCATTTGGGTTTCCTTTTTTTTACTCACCCTGTATCGTTAGATTCGTTAGATTTCATTTTTGGTATATGTACGGCTTCAACTGGTATCAAATGATTTTGAAAACGATCTTTTTATTATGACATTGCAGGTGAACCGATACGAATTAATGGCCAAGGCTATTCCCATACAAATTCTATCTTTTTGTTGCAATAACTATTGGAAAATGATTATATACATAATACAGTTGATGTTATTCGCCCAGCTGTTATCTCTCCCGCCCTGTAAGAAGCTTAAACGTTATTCGCTGTTTGAAATATCTTAATTCTAATTTTAAATATGGAATGGTTATTTGTTAACTTTTTATGTCCAAGAGATAAATACCTAAAATGCTATTTCGTTTCAAAATATTACATATCATTTCGCACAAAATATTTACAGTCTTGCATTTTAAAAATAATTATCATACTTATGTACAGAAGAATCACGATGTAAAAATGTCATCAGGTGTTTCAAAAAGATGGCATCGATAAAAGGGAGTGCATGTCGACGGGCATGTGTCGAAAGATATAAAAATGTTCGATGGATCGTAAATTCAATTCGGCAAGTTGTTGTTACTGTTAACGTCGACTTGTCCTTTAAGCATGTTGGAGTTTTGCAGTTAGCCTGGAAAACTCTAAAAACTCTCTTAGCTTAACCCTAACCTTCTTAGCTTACTTCTTACAAAACTTTGAGGTATTTTCAGGAGACAAATGTGATCAAACCTTCAGTCTTTGCATGCGATAAAAACGGGGCATTTTTCGCCTGTGCCCTATTTTTTTTCTTTGGTTGAGAATTGCAATTCCGACAAAGTGTTGTCTTCAGGTCGTATAAGCACCATCAAATTGAAACCTCTCAGGTTTTGTTGCTGTAAGCTAAGACAACATTGCTATAATTTAGCTAAGGTGCTATGGTGCAATGGAGTTGCGGACGGCAAAATGTTCCCCGAGGAAGCCAAAAATGTAAGGATTTTTACAAAGGAAAAAACCCATTCTTACTTCAATTAGGGAACAGAGTTGATATAAAACTGCAGCCTGAGTGTGACTTCATTTTCACTTGAGACATTCTCACCGAATCAGTACATGTTATCGATGTTGTAGCCAGTATTCACCAGCCCATTAGTCGGCGATGCGACGTAAATGTTCTCGACTTTTTCAGGGAGGGGGTCAGTCTCCTCGACCGGCGTGAGTTCTGGTTTCGAGGCCGGATTCGATCCCGGGATATCGACGGTACTCGTCCACTTGCCGTGGATCGATTCCGAGTAGTTGCTGACGTTCTCCATGGACACCCCCCTCTCCTGGTAGCGGGGCTGCCAGGATCTCTTCTTAAAGTACAGCAGTAACCAAACGACGGAGATTAAAACACCGATGAGTACCACTGAAGCAACGGCGATTACCGCGATCATTGTGGATTGTGCCATCCCTTTCCCATTGCCGTTTGTCTGTGGCAACTTTTCAGGCGTCGAGACGGTGCCGTACTTGATTGTCGAGTCGGTAGAGGGCGGTGTTTCAAACGTCGTAAACGTATGCGGCGCGGTAGAGGGCGGTATTTTAATCGTAGTTGTTTTCTGTGGTTGTTTCTGCGTCGTTGGTCCAACAGAGCTTGTGGTAAACATCTCTGTGGTTGTCGGCGGAACTGTTGAAAAAGAAGATTTATTTGCTTAATTTTTTTCACATGACCTCTGAATTATCGGCAACAGAATGAAGACAATATAATAACCGCAAACTGGAAAGCAGATAAAAAAAAAAAACCTGTTGTGCAAGTAGGCGAGATTGACGAAGAAAACAAGTGGTGCCCAAAAATAAATAAATAGGCGAACTGACTTTATGTCCATCACGGAGAAAGATTTATATACAAAAATATTTTCTGACACCAAAAAGGATGTAAGTAATGTACAGAACACATAATCAAACGTCAGTTGCCTTTGTCTTGTGTTATTTTATTCAACTTGCTTAAAAAACAAACGATGATCTTTTTCGTCACAATGGAACCACGCTTTGGTATTGCGAATTCTTTTTAAAACTATGAGAAGTTAAAATCATGGAGAGCGAATCTGAATGTAGGCCTACCTGTTGTTTTTGGGCGAGGATTGGTATCAATCTGGCAGACTTCCCCCTTGAAGCCACTGTTACACACGCAGGTGAAGGAGTTATTACCATCGATACACGCTCCGCCATTTTGGCACGGCGTGCTGGCACATTCATCGGCTGTTGAAGAGAAAGGAGGTTTTACTTTTTCAAAAAATTAACAATCATTTCAAAATTATTTCAAAAGTAGAATTTACTAACATAAATTCCTTCAGTGCACTGTGTTAAATGTTCTCTTAAGTGCAAGTTAATAAAATAATTATTCACCTTTCCGGTTGTTATGAGATTAAACATGAAACTAACCTCCAATTCGAAGCGTTATATTCGTCAGACCGACAAAGCCCGTCGAGTTTTCAGGAATATCAGCCTTGAAATAAATCTACAATAAAGAAAAGCAGAACAATAAGTAAATGGTTACGTAAAGACGCAAAGGTAGCTAGAATCTACGGACCACTATCTAAAATCACTGTTGTTTATACCTGTTTTCACAAAAGTTTAACAATTTAATCAAAATACTTCTTTTTTTAAAAGGAAATTGAGTTGGACAGTGCCATATAATTTCGTCAACGGTCGTCATGTATTATTTAATAAGTAATTTTATGTTACCTTGTTTTCAAGGTAAAATAGCTAAAATATTTTTTTTTTCAAAACTTTCATTCCCCCCCCCCAATGGAAGTTTTCAGCACTCCTCATCATCACGTATACAGAATGGTTTCCATTTCTGATTTTGTGGAATAAAACGGTCAAAAGAAGCTGAAACAAAGGTTACCTTGAAGTTACTACTCTGAAGGTCCAGGCCTATGTCAACCTCGATCCAACCGGCCCCGTCCGTACCGTTGCGTTGCGTCAAGACCTGCTCTGGCCGCCCAGCCACCTCGGCTACTACGGTCAGTGTGTTTGGCGCCCCCAGGCGGTAGTAAAAACCCAGCATGGTCATGACATGAGGTTGGGTCATGCTGGCGAGTACAGCTTGGTGAGGTCCAGGAGGGGTGGTGTCGGTTAGAAGAACCTCCGCACAATGTTCTGATGTAAGAAAGAAAAATACTCAGACTGTTACAAGGTCATGGCTTAGACTGAGATATCAAATTAATGTAATGACCATCCTTATAGGCTAGTTCTTTAAAGGGTCCGTGAAATGATTTTTTTTTTGAGGAAAATAATTATTTTGTGCAACTTTCTGTACTCCTCTACTATTTGATATCCCTTTTTGGTTATTTTATCTTGAAAAGTGCACTTCTTTAAACACTGAAAATATTACATGCTTTTCCGGACAACTGAGGGCGCTGCTGCCGTGATGTCATTTCAGGAAAATACTGCTCAGTTAAGGGGTTTTCTGTTCAAATTGTGAACCCAAAAATTTGCTAATTGAAAACGTCCGTGAGAAAAGTTTGCTCACTGGCCTTACAGCCATGTATACTGACACAACAACGAATCACAAAAGGAAAGAAAATTTAGAACAAAATAGTATCCAAAAAGGCACAAATATCCTTGAAAATGGCAACACGAAAATCGAAAATAAGGTTAAATGGGACAAAGGTGCATTTTCAAAGATTGCATTAAAAAAGATTACATTGCAGGAGCCATTGAAAGTTGCAATCCACGTGCTCTTTTTTCGCATAGTAAAATTTTTTTTGTTCAAATTTTTTGGGTGTCTGCAACCCTCCGAAAAAAGGGTTTTTATTTTGGGGAAAAACAGATCCGCTTTGCGAGCAGACTGGCTTCCAGTCCGTACATTATCGATACTGATTGTGGGGCGGCAACCAGCCCACCCGGCTGGAACGGATTTATTGTCAGGTCGCAAGTTATTCAATAACAACTTGGGCCGATATATTTGGTCTATGTCTCATTCAAAAGTGAACAACATTTGTACATATTTGTATAAAAATGGCAATAAAGGAAATGAATCTATCTTTTGGGATGAAATTCGAAAAAATGCACAAGGAATGCAACTTAATTAAGCTTTTGATCCTCAAATCCAAACCGAAAATGTATTTTAATCTATCTTGCCCTAATGTAGGCAAGTAGACATGTAGCGGGTCTAGCCTGCAAAAATGTTAGAAGGAAGACTTTTAAAATTATTTTGTTGATAATTAATTTGAATTGTTACGGAGAAGGATGTACTGTGTCTCCACTTTCAGAAACGTTCAAGCGCCGTTGACCATCATTCGATTCATTGAAAAACTAAAGTAAATGCGACATGTCATAATTCCTTGATTCGCCGCTTTTACATTACTTCGAAACTGCGTTCAACAAAGCCTATACTCTGAAGAGGCTATATATTTGACATGAAACTGATCCTCTCTACGATAAGGAATTTTATATTATCAACAAAGGAGTGGCCATAACCTTTGACAAGGGCAGAAATATAAATTGGTTTTATGTAAATACGGAATACGGTGGCGGCCTTTATGTTCTTGGACTCTGAACTATGATGTTAGCAGTCGGGAACGCGGAATACAATGCATCCAGTGCGATAAACACAATTATTTCGCAGTGTTTGAGGAGATCTTGCGTAAGTTTCGGTTTAGTGGTTTTTGTAATGGGTGGTAAAGCAACAGATAAATGATTAACTTTTCTTAGAACAAAAATGTAGACGTACTTTCAGGTCGACAATTTATCAAAGACTGCCAAATTTGGTATCAAATATTTCCTTTTTTAAGAGTACATGCTCTTCGTTTTCCTGTATAGGCCTATTGTGTAGGCCCTAATTACGTTTGTGGAACTTAATTCAATCTGTTTTAATAACATAAATTGGGTCGATGTACATATCGATAATCAATTCATACAATAAACGAAACAATAATAACCTGTTTCACATAAGCAGGTGATGGGAACATACGGGATTTATGCGTAAATGCCCATGACGTTTAGTCAACTCTGTCTAAGTATAACCACACATTGCGCTTGTTTTTCATTATAATACATGCGCTCTATAAAACGGATAAGTGTATTCAAACAAGATGACTCACGATATTAAACCGGTTCGATATTGTGGGGTTATCCCACCAGCGTATTTGACACGTGCGAGGCACGCCCTTCATTAGATCGCTGTGGGAATTTTCTAAGCTGCGTTTAAGCTTTAAAACGTTCGTGTTTAAACAACTAGTACGAGGTCTATATTTTTAACACGTGTGTGAAATACCGAGGCTGGCATATAATTAGAACCGGCAGGTGCGCTCTACTTACCACTGGTAAAATATGAATCGAAACTGAGAAATTCAAACCGAGAAAATTGCATTTTGGTGTGAAATGGTTGGATAAATATCTGAGGATTAACAAATGTGTCTGGTATGTAAATAGAGGCCTACTGTTCCAGCAATAAATAGCATGCATGTGTTATTATGATGGACGCATTGGTACAAATCGACACAGATGAATAAAATACGCATGGAAAAGTACGCTTCTGATGTTGGGATATTTGGTCATAACAAACTTTGTCTTGTTGAGCTAGTGGCTCACTATAAATTTTAATATAACATAATGTCGTCTGAATACGTCGACAAAATGAATATTCAATAAGCTTACCTGTTCCCGTACTGGCGGAGTCTGACCTCTGAACCCAGTCTACGTCACCGTCATTTGACCAATCACAGAGGTCGTTCCGAAAAAGACAGTCTTGCGCAAGCACCCCTGAAATATAAATAGAATATTGACAATATTTATATCTTCCAGAAATCATTTTTGCTATTGAGATATAATAAAACAATTTGTTAACAAGTCTTCAGCGCCGCTTTTTCAGAAGACATGCGCAGGTTCTGTGACCATGCGTGATAGACTATAGAAATAGACAAATTCATGTGTACGCTGTACTGTATGTCCCATTTTTTTTCATAAGTTGGGATGAAAGGAAAATCCTGAAATTTTCCGGAAATAGTCTGAAATTTTCCGGAAAATTCTGAAATTTGAAAAGTAGGCGGAGAGTGGGCTGTCTAACACTGATGTGTTGCGTGGGTGTACAGACAACTGAGTAATGATTCTACGTCCCATCCCCTGAACAACAAGTTGGACGGATCATGGGACGGACGAGAAGGGGCGGTCGAGGACGAAAAATCCCACACGAAAATTCCCTTATACTTTTTCAACAAGTCAACATTTGTGTTTTCTTCTTTTAATAGATTTTCAACTTGTATGATTTATTCGATCAAAAAACTCCTTTCTCCCTTTTTGGACGCCTGCAAACCCCTGAAAAAGGGTTTTGTTTTGGGCACAAACAGATTCAGAGCAGACATGCAAGGAACGCGGAACGGTTTTCAAACGGGGGGTGGGGGGGGGGTCACCAAAAAGGGGCACTTGTTCAGTAAAAGCCATAGGCTTATTCCGTCAGTGCAGCAGCGTATCCAGCGTATTTTTGCACCAGGCACTTCGCCTCCGTAAAATCAAATAGTGTCGGGGGAGGGGGCACTTTGGTACATGGGGACCCCCTGCCCCCGGTTCCGCCGCCCCTGGCAGACTGGCTCCCGGTCCGTATGTTATCATCGAAACTGATTGTAGGGCGGGAACCAACAGAGTTATTGTCTGGCAACCAATAATTCGAAAGTGTTTAGTAATAAATCAGTAGGCCTAATTAAACATGGGGATGATTTTTTTTTTTCGTTTGATGTCTCCTTTCAAAAGTTAATAACCTTTGAATTGCCAGAAATAGCAATTTAGAAAAGGATATTTTTTTTCAGAATGAAACTCGAAAATAGTACAAGGAATACATTAAAAATGAGCACAGACACGAGGTTAGGTTAGTTCTTGACAAACTCCTTATTTATTCAGGTCAATCTGTTTTATTTGGGATCAGGATTGGCCTTGATCAGTTCAAGTGACGCGTCGACCACCCCCCGGATATGATGGGATGTAACTAATGGTCCACTAATCCAAGATGATCCACGCGGTGCTAAAATAAAAGTCTGTAGGCTATGTTTGGTGCTGATCGTCATACGCGCTGAACGGATTCCATCGCGTGTAAAAAACGGAGTAATGCAAGCTGTGAAATTCTGTCCATGCAGGAATATTAAATTATTTTGAAAACTTATGCTACTGTAAGACTTGATATTTCGTATACAGATCAAACAAAGTAACGTGAGGCAGCGGCGTATACGGGGGGGGGGGCGTAAGAGGGCGCACCGCGCACGTCCCCACCCCCTACAACCCCCCCCCCCCCCCACTGGAAATTGAGCAATCGGAAAAAAATCACGAAACCATGATTAACGTGTTTAACATAAGGTGTGTTTTCCTTTTAAATGTATTTTAGCGGAATGACCATGAATTCGGTCAAGTTGAACAGCTCCCCAACGAAAGATGGTGTCCAGGCCCCCCCCCCCCCCCCAATTTGATTTTACGGAGGCCGGGTGTCCGGTGTAAAAAAAAAAACCATCCTTTGAGTACGGAGAAATTGGGCGCCACTCCACTGTAACATCCAGCCCCTCCCCCTCCCCAACCCCCAACCCCCCCCTCCCCAGGATGAGAACCCTTGCTACGCCGCTGACGTGAGGTGGTGGTCAATAAGAATGACATATATTGTCATCGTCACAGCAGAAACGTTACTCACATTTTGATTAAAACACAACATTGACGATTTTGGCAAAATTATTCAAGGTGCATATAGCAATTACTGAACTACTATGAATACCGTAAACATCTTTGGGATCTGCTTTAAAAACTATTGAAAAGTTCCGCCACATCCGCCGATTCCGAAACAGGAAAACAGCATTTGCAACATTTTGGACAAAAACAACTTATCAAGTTTTTCTCGCCAGTATAATTAAACGTGTAAGACCTAAAGGGGTTCATTTCATGTGTAAAGATATCAAGCAGGCATGATAGCGGAAGACAAGGGCTTTATTACGGAAGTTTAAGTGTTCGTTACCCTGAAATCTTTGTGATGCAAAAGGTATAAACATAGGAGTACATGTCAAGTTGGGCTTTTCTGTAGACTATCACTTCAATAGATTGGCCAGTTGTCTTTCGCAACAGACCAGTCATGGTATTGTCAGAAATGTCGTTTGTAGCAAAATCATGGTTATGTTACAATCTGGCATTTTGTCCTAACATGGGCGGGGCCACAAAACTTCAATGGGGGCGGGTTTTAATGATATGCCACTTCTACAGTGGGTTGGCACACAGTGAAACTATTGTAACATTTTATGCGCAGTTTGGATGTAAGCACAGTCCCGAATTGGAAAAACAATAGTCAGAAAAGTGGTTGTTCCTTCCTCCCTTAAAATAGCTAAGCCACGCCCCTCGACCTGTCCCCCGTTGATTTTCGTGTTATTCGGCACATGTGGTGTAGGAAAAGCACAGTCATGAGAAAAAAATTAAATCAAAAAGTTGTTGAATTGTTGGAATTACTGTTAAATTTCAAAGTTCAATGCGTCTTCTAGAAATATTCGTGGTTTCACAATATTTCCGTCACTTGCAGTTATTCTACGCCTCGGGTAGGCTATGGAGTTATCCCGCATATAAAAAGCCTAAAATAAGTTCCCACCCGACTCTGAACTCACTCAACACCCCTAGCCCTCCACACGCCCGGAAATACAAGCACATTTAGTCACGGACACACAAGGGTGACTAAAAGCACCCACCTGTGTATTGTACAATCGATCAAAGGAGGATTTGTCAAAAGTACGGGGAGGCATGCCCCGAGCCCCCATGCTGCGCCGTGTCAGACAGGGTAATGTTTAGGCTAGGACTGCCCCCGTCCGTGCATGACTCCAAACGCAAACATGTCACATAAAAGAGTTTCAATGAACTATGTTCGTCATATGTTCTGTGAATTGTGTAGTCTTCGAATCATTTTCGGTCGAATGCATACCATACATGAGCTACAACTTACAAGTTGTATCAGAGCTACTGATATAATTAATGTGTTCTTAAGTTATACATCCAAATTCGTAAGTATATAGTCTGTTACTAAAGTGCAACATTGGCACAGGTATTTATAAGTATCATAATGATGCATGTTTTTTTTTCGAGAGCAAATTAATCCTTTGTTTTAACCGTCAGAAATCCATGTATAAACACGTGTATAAAATTACGAGAAGTTCATTGTTCCTCCAGTCAAAGCATCAAATTACTTCAAAGGAAATCTCGAAACAAAACCCGGTTGATCTGGAGAGAAAAAAAACTGCCGTAGGCCTGTCTCCATTACTAAACTGGTTGAGTGATATTATAATCGTTTACATCCTGCCATTTCCGCACTCTAGGAATCTAAATTTACACGAAACCCGAGATGGAATGATCGTTATTGAATTAACAGGCCGTAAGCAAATGGGCGAGGTTCTACGTGATCTCTGGGCCCGTCCCGTCTTCGAATAGAGACTAATTGGGAAGAATCATACTCCATTTTCTTCGGGGAGGTCGGCAATAAAATGCGACAAAACCTCTTAAAATGACAACCATGACGGTTTAAATGCCACTGAATACGGGTTGAAATAACAGTATTTGATATTCGATACTTCAATATGTCAACTCTTCTGTATTCATTTAAATCAGCTGTTCTGTAATCATCATGAAGCATGCACGCAGTGGAATAAGAATTTATTCATTTTTTTTTTACCAGTACGAATTTCAAAAATGATTTTAAATGGGCCAAAACTAAGCCGTATCAATTTGTGATGAAATATATCTCAGGTTGTTAAAGTGTATTAAGCATATTTATCACCGAGGGCTTGTTGAAAACGAAAAACGTTGAAAACGTTGAAAGCGTGAATTTTTTTTAAACCTCTTTCAAATATTCACTTTTTGTGAAAATAACGGAATTGCATGCTATAACATCAATTTTGGGTTCTGAGATTCAGCTCCATTGCAATACACTCGTTCGCTAGTATAGTAACACGTATTTTTAAAACCATGTATAAAACGGCCATGAATTATGTTCATCGTTGATTATTGCATGATGATAGGATAGCATAAACATTTATTGTGGAACGTGCAGTTCATACATGCATGCCAAAAAGCAATATTCGATAGCACCACTGTCCTTGATTCGTAGTATCTGAGCGGTTGTTCTACATCACCACTCCACTGTGCTGAAGTGATATGCTGCACGCCAGCATGCACAAGACTATAAGGCCCTACTCAAGACGCATGAGTTGCCATGACAACGACGTGCATCCCGCTGTAAGCCCAATACAATCTTGTACCTTAGGTTTTCTAATATTATTAAAATGCATCTCCATGTACTGTCGCATCAAGTACGAGTTCCTTAGATTTAAGAAGGGCATACATACATTTAAAAAATAGCATCATAATCTACAATAAAACGCATTTATTTATATCGATAAACAATGCAATAAAAATGTTAATTTTCGCTCACCTTTGTTTTGTAGGCCTACAGCGAGCAAAATACTCCAACAGAGCAGTATATTCCATGGACTCATGATTCTTGCGTTCCGTTCGCAGCGTTCCATCCTTCAAAATAGCCCCAAAATTGGAATTGGCTATTTTATTGAATCATTCCCTGTATAGACTCCCTGTCACGCGACCCTCAACCTTCGAGCGGCGCACGGCAGACGGATCGACGGGGTGTACGGTGCGATTGGTCCGGGGGAGTACGTGCGAGTGACACGGTGATGTCTGTCGTCCGCTGCTGAGTGTGATTGATGCTGGTAATATACAGTTGGGCGTTCCCACTTTACTGCATCATCAACAAACGACGATGTACACTCGCATACTGCGCACGCCTAGATGAGTAGGTTCATATCGATATGGGTACACAACACACGAGTACATTGCTCATACACTAAGCGCTGACAAAAATATTGTCATGGGTGTACACAACAGTGGCGCATTGTGTACCGTGCTGTGTGTGTGGGACGATAGGCTCGTTAAATATTACCCTTTCACAATAAAAGGAATGCCGAACTCATGAGTAATACCGGCCTACCACACACGCTTCATACACTGGCGCTCCGAAATAGTTCAAAGCGGCCGGGTGGTATATAACAACAGTCTCTTTGATAAGAATATGCGCACAATGACATTCAGCTTGGGTCTTTAGAAATTAATATTCCGGTGTTTTTATTTTATAATAAGCAAATTTGTGGTTTTTGTAAGGGTTGGGAATTGATTCAGATTCACAGACCGAATGTAATTCGGTGGGTCAGTTGAAACAAGGCAACCACTTGTTTGGGGGAGTGTGAGTCATAGGGAAGCCCCCCTTTTACTTTTAGAAACAGGTGAACAATGATAATTCTCTGTAAAGAGTTGACGACCTCGAAATGGAAGAATAACCCACAAAATCTTCAGATTTTGTGGTGGTGGGAATCGTCCAAAATGAATAGAGACCAAAAATTAGGTTCTGGAAAACACAAACACCATTGTTGGGTTCGGGCTGGGAGTATTTTGAGGGCCAAAACTGGGCAACTTGTTTGACTTGGTGCGGTCGTGGTAATATTAGGGTCTATTGATAATGGATTCTTTGTGTATTGTAGATTGTATTCAAATTTGTCTTGATGGTGCAAAACGGGGATTAGGGTACACTTTTTTTTTCTTGAGAAAAAGACAATCCAAAGATAACCACAAGAACTTACAATTCGTGAAATGATCTTGATTGTTTTTTTTATTTAATAGTCGTTTCATTTTACTGAAAAGAAAACTTCAATTATTTTACAAATTGTTATTAATTTAGCAAATTAGTCGGATAATCCACACGTTTCCCTCTCAAATAAATCAAACATACACAAGTCCAAATTTACACACAAAAATGCAGCTATTAAAAACAAAAAACTCAGTTTCAACAAGCTACAATTTTTTTTTATGTTCGGCTATTGTTGGTTGCATGGCGTTACTTGTGCATACTGCGGGGAAATGTGCATATAGAGCCTATGGAGGCATAACAATAATTGGTTGAGACCCAATATCAGTGTGATAATTCTTAAGTGAGATTTGTTGCAATACAGAGCCCCATACAGGGATGTAGGCGCTTTAACCCCCACTCAACCCGCCCCACCTCAAATTGGGCCGCCGAAAATAGAGAAATCATGGAGAAAAACGTATCTCATATTGTTCTGAGGATTGATAGGATTCATACGGCAGAAAAAAAAATCAATAAAAATACTTTTTTTAACAGATGAATGTTTTGAATGCTAACATTACATGCAAGTTCGGATTCCTTTAAGTAACAAGATTTGTTACGGTTTTTTTCTCAAAAACAAGAGCGCCCTTTACCTTAACAATTTTCAAGATTCACTTTGGACACACACTGAACAAAATAAAAACTGACATTTTTGTGCTTAGCAGCGCCGTAAAAAGGTTCACTCGTGCATATATAGTAAAACAAAGCGCTGTAAGATGGCTGCTACACATAAGGTCTTTTGTGGGGGTTTGCAACAGACCCCATTGCATGGTGTGTCCTTACTGAGGATAGTTTTTCATCTTTTTCTTCGACAGTTTTAAAATCAGTGACAATGATATTACACAGCCAACTCACTGGTATCACAGATGAACAAAGGCTTGTCCTCAGACCTTTCCAAATAAAGTAAATATTGTGTAAGTTATCGTATATTTATATTTAAAAAATAATAATAATAATCCATGCATTTCGAATCCATAAATTAATGAATGCGGGCTTTCAAACATATAAAATAAAGGCTCATTTATCCTCATTTTATGTTTAGCATCTTTACAAAAAAATGCAGATTTGGGGTTTGTTTAGGCAATTAATAGGGCAATACAATCCTGTAGCAATTTTTTTTTAAACTTTCGGATTCTTCATGCAAATCTTTAAGAAATAGTAGCGAGGGCAAGTAGATGTATAGCTACTCCGAGTGACTATTATAAAGTTTAGCTAGACATCTTATTGCCAGCTTTTCTTCCTTTCACGCACGGACCAGCTATGGATGCAAATGTCCTTTTGAACAGTTTTATTATTTTTGTTTAATCATTGATGCCAAATTATGACAAAAATGAACGTGTTGACTTAAATTACAAAACTTGGCTTATTTACAAGTTTAATTTAGACCGGTTTATATTACGATTATTATAAAATATCAAAATCAATCATAAAAAGATTTCAACAATTTCCATATTGTCCTTTATGAATTTATTGGTTTTTTAATTAATGTGGGTTTTGAATCAAATCAAACCTCGAGTGGTGTTTGATTTATGTTCTTCCAATTACAGCGAAATCTCGAAGTCAAACTCTGATAACTCAAAACAACTGTTAAGTCAAACAAAGAATCCATTCCCTTCAGTAGTATAACAATGATATACAACCCTGCTTAACTCAAAACTCTGCTGAAGTCAAATTTTGAACCTGTTCCCTTGAGGTCTGACTTATCGAGATTTCACTGTACTACCACCCAACCCCTCCAAAAAGTAATGCATTACAGATGTACTATCATTCCAAAATACAACTTCCTTTCAAACAACTTTGTCACCCTTCTGAAACCGCCCCAACCCAATACCCCCTCCCCCCCCCCAAAAAAAAACCCCAATAAAATTATTATGAAAAACCTTACTGAAGTGAAGAATAAACTGAAGCATCCTGTGAAATCATGGCACCTGGTGTGCTGTCATTGTCCAGAAAAGTGGAATTATTTTTTTTAATCAATTTCCAATGATGGCCGGCCGACCATTGTTGGAAAAAACTGCCTTTTGTCAAATACTGCCCCCAATTTACCAAATTTACTTAGTCCACATTTTGTCCAAGCCAGCTAGTCTGGTTCCTTGACCTGAAAATTACCTGACATCTATAAATTGCTCCGTTTTGTCTGAAGTAGGTATGGGAACCAGACTAAAAGTACAACATTTTGTTTCAAGGTTTTTCCAGCATCCATGAACACAAAACTTTCAATATGTAAGTGTAACAATATTTAAATACTATAAATTACTAAATCCCCAAATTCATCCATTTCTGAAAATTACAGCAAAAGCAAGTGTTGTACATTGCCTTTAATTGGCTGTACATGTACATGTATGTTTGGTAAAATTGCATGATTGCTGGAATTTAAAGTCTGACAAATGAAAAATAATTCCTAAACTTGAAATCTGCACAGAGTGAAGGTACCATTCATATTTACCAAATTAGACATCCATTCAGATACCAGCTTGATACAACAAATATCAGAAGAAAACGGCTGATATGTGATTACAAAACAAAACCAAATCAAAAAGAATCAAAGGAAAATAATGACAGTAATAATAAATGCAAACAGAGAATAAGTCTTAGAAATGAACAACTACAACAGCGAGAAAATAACACCGAGCTACATGTAAATAAAAATGCAGTGTTCAGGGTGAGTTTAAAAAAACAAGAAAACCCAAATGGCACCCCAGATCTGCATGTAGCACTTTTCAGATTTAGGATGTGAAAGCCCAATTAATAAGCTTTCTTTTAGTTTAAGAATCATTCATATTGCCAGGAACACATCAAGGAGTTTTTGCAGGAAGGGGGGGGGGGGGTTCAGGCCCGTCAGATTTTGTTTACGTCTGATTGTTGCGGACAGGCGGACATATTGGTAATTATTGTTACTATAATTGTTATAATTTTAGGGTAGGTAGTAATTTTAGGGTAGGTAGTACGGCTACGCATTCCATCCGCAAGTTGCGAAACCAACAATGTGCCCAAGTCTTCAACATTATGAAGTTGGCGCAGAGCTTGGAAGAAGAAGAAGACGTGTGGGACTTAAAATGGACCGCAATCGCCTGCAGATTTAGTGCATGCCTACTAGTTTCCCCCATTTTTTCGGGGGGAGATTTTACAAGATTCCCAAGACGTCATTGTGATAGTGTTTCGTGGGTGATTGCGGTTCATGGTGATAACGCCTTGTCGTTACAGGGGCTATCACTTAATATGGCCTGTTTGGTGTTGGGGTCGTCTGCTGTTATACAATAAGACTCATGATTACTCTACGTTATCACACCTTCAGTGTCTTTGTTGGTGAACACAGTTTACAGCAAGGTTAAAAAGTAAAATTGTGTTTTTCTATGACTTATTCAAGGAATGGGCTCTTTTGGACTTACAAGCTGCATAAGTGCACTTTGAACCACTAACAATATGTGCACACCATTCCTGGAGCGCACTATAGAAAAATGGAATTTTGAGGGAAATGGTTACTATTTCAAGGGGAAACCTTCCACATTTTATTGGTCTCTTACCTAATCTTCTTTGCATATGATTAATTTCTACTGAATTTGAAACTTTCCATTGCAAAGGGAAAAAGCATGTGGCGTAAAGGTATTTGATGGATACACCTAAAAAAAAAAAAGCTATTGTTTTATATATTAAAGAAGCTTATAATTCTGTGAAAAATATTGTTTCATGTCCTTAAAATGTAAACAAGTTTATATTCTGTTTATGTTTGTATTTGTCGAGCTTTTCAACACCTTACAATTGAAAATCTTTAAAGTTTTGCCTATTTTAAAAAATATGTAGTGACACAGAATTTTCAAACCTATTTACAAAACAAAAATCATTTCCCAACAAAATGTAATTTATACAGTTACAACCTTCAAACATCAATGGTATTTGTGTGTTGGATTACTGGTTTTTTTTAAAATTTAATACAACCCCAAAACGGTCACAGTTACTTTCAGGATATTTCTTTAGAAGCCTAAACTTAAAACGAAAATGGAATCTGGCTTTTGTCTAAAGCTACATCCATGTTTTTAAACGGGGTAAAATCTGCTGGAGGAAACAAGGATCATCTCATCTCTTTAAAGGTAGAGTAGATCATTTGCAGCTATCCAAAAAGTAACTGACAAAATTATTGGTGAAAACCACACTAACTTGGTTTAAAGATAGTAATGGCACTAAACTCCCTGTGAAATTATTCTTTCTGGCATGCTGTCATTTTGAAGAAAACAATATTAAAGAAGGTCACATCCAAAGATGCGTCTAAAGACGCATTTTTGGAAATTTCCGTTTGTAGTTCGTTTTTAATTCGGCGAAGCCGTGAATGGGTGAAGCATTGACACGACGCGCGGTTGCTATAATTTGTCGGTTCAGTGCGTGACATCGCATAGCTGCAATCGCCTGAATGAGAACGTGTCCAGGGCGCTGATTTCGGGCGCAATTCAAAACATGACGCGGCAACTTTTGAATTAAAATCAAGATCCTAGAATATACTTTTCTCGGAATATACAGCATCCACTGAGCTAAAAGTTCATTAGGTTAGTTGTTAAGCACCCTTCTTTAGATTTTGAGCATTTTGTTGCTTCAAATGAAAAACATGCACTAATGACCAATTTAATGAACAGTCTGGATGTGATATTTTCTTCTTCAGGACATGGAACAAGGCCTCTTTTTTATCATTACACCTCATACTTAATTTATGGACCAATGTACTTAATTTATTATTCAAATATAACATGGTTCAAGGGTGGATAGTTAACAATTGTTGACTGCATTGATGTGGGATATGTCATTTTTAACACCCGAGGGGCGCATAGCACGTGACCCGAGGTTGCTAAAATGTGGGTTAAAAATGGCATATCCCACATCAAAGCTTGTTTTGTTATATCGTGCCAATGAATCAAAACAATAGATGGTTGTAACTTACAATGCAAGAAATAAATTAAGTCAGTGCGGTGTAAAGCTAGATAACTGCAGGCTTTTCTGCCAGACATGAGACTGAGTGGTTGCGCATTGCATGCAGTTCTCAGTCGCATCGCATATGAGGTTAACCAATGGACCGATCCAGTAAGCACCGCCCCATGGCATTCTGACCAATCACAGACGTGATTTATGTCCGACATGCGTGCACAAATGTCCAACATGCGTGCACGCGCATATGATGCGCGCGGCAGGAAAATGCAGTGTGGCATTGGAGAGGAGCACGTGTTAATTTGCACATGTGCGCAGTGGGAGGGGCTTACTGGATCGGTCCATTACAGGCTGGATACATGGCCACTCTCGACCAATGAAATTACAGTATCCAAGCACATGATATAACAAATAATACTAGCTTTCCTAGGTATCAAAAGCTTACAAACTAGTTCCCGAAGTAAAAATGAGGGACCAGATTGTCAACTTCCAACAAACCATGTTATAATGTTTTACTATACCTCATATTACTATGCTCAACAAACTTTCATCAAGTTATACCTTCCACCATATTCATGTGTGGGCACTACTCCCATGTGATAGTTCTACAATTGCTTTCATAAAGCACATGCATAGTAGAAGCTATGTAGTAGAACCCATATTTATCCTATGTGTGAATCTTCGCATGCGCCCTTGGTAAATAGCAAAACTGACATGTGATGGTGAATGGACCAGTAGGAAGTTGGCTCTGGCTCATGAATATGTATGTGGTATAGTAATGATCAATATTCCCTTCCACTAAGGAAATAAGGATTTTTTTTTCTCCTGGAGCTTTCATAATTCCTAGAATTTTTTGGTTCGGAAAATTTGCGATCAACAAGACAGAAAATGCAAGTTAGCGATCACAATGCTTTGTAAATCAAATTCCACCTTATGAACACTATGCTTTGGCTCAGTCAATGACTTGCAAATCAGGGCCCATTTACACGGCGCTGCTTAACAGTTAGCAGAAAAGTTGTGCTTAGCATAGCAGAAAAAGTTGCTAACCCTAAGCACTATTTCACGGCGTGGATGTGCTAACGGTCGCGCAAGCATGGAGTTTCTATTGTTACGTCACTAAGTTAAGCAAATTTTTCCTCTGAAGTAAGCGTTTTTTTTTTGCTGTGCTTATGCTTACGGTCTCCATGAAATAGACGGAGAATCAGTAAGCAGAAAATCACGTGCTTAGCAGCGCCATGAAATTGGGCCCAGGTCAATTGTGAAATATGAGCTACCCTAACGAAGCCCTTTATAACACACAATGATAGCAAGATTTTGAGCAAGGTTTTCAAGACAGACTCATTGGAAATTTACAATTTGTTCAGGAGAGTAAATACAGAATGAAATAACTTGACACGTGTTATTGTCACAAGATACCTTTAATTACCAGAAGCTGCAAGTTGTTTGTATTGGTTGGTTGTAGCTTGGCCGGTATGTGGAGGGTGCATACAAATGGTGTAGAAGCTGTGGGAGGCTCAGGGTCTGGACGAAAAAAAGACAAAATGGCTGCCCACTGGCTGCATAACCTGTCATGGCAAGACAAAAGAAAATATTCCGAGAATTTCTTTAAATTTTTTATTTTCTGTAATGATGAACTGTGTTTCTTCTGTACAAAAATAAAATTAAAGGGCCATGAAATGGATTTTACACTGGAGCACATTTGTAGCAAATATCCATTCATCTGACATGTATATAAACTACAAGACATCCCTTTTTGGTAAAACAAAAATATTGAAAAGTGCACTTTTTTATCATTTAAAATGTTTCATGCTTTTCCGGACAACTTAGGAGGTCCTTGTTGTGATGTCACTTTAGGAAGATGCTCTTCAGATCAGGTTTTCTCCTTTAAATTGTAAACTGCATATTCTGCTTATAGAAGCGTGTGCATAAAGTTTTCTCACTGTACTGTCGTATACTGAAACAACAACGAACCACCAAAAGCAGAAAAGTAACCTCAGCAAAGCCCCCAAAATTCTAGTGACTCTTCATGCTGAAGCAGATGTAAAACTGAAGTTTCTGCCTTGAATGACATCACAGTTTTGCTCATAAATATGCATTAGCATACAGAACAAGCAAGGAATCAAAACTAGATAAAAAATATAGTTAAATTGAACACAACTGATTTTTCAAGGGAGACATTTTAAAATATTGTCCCTTTAAGTCTACAATAAAATTTTCACAAATCAAACGGATGCCATACCACACAGGCCATCAGCCTCGGTCCAAAATGTTGGCAACCGGTATCAAATGGGGGGAATAATCGTCATAGCGATTTTTGGCAAGGCATACACCTCCAGAGTTGGAAAATATGTGATAGCATCGCAGCGGTGGCAGCTTTTTGGGTGTTATCACCCTTTTTTCAAAATGTCCATCAAAATGCTTGTTACCACTCTAGGGGCGGTATACCTTGCGCATGTGCACTATAATCATTTATGCCCTGATTTGATACTGACCAAACCCCCAGGCTGATGGCCTATATGACATTTTGTAGTACTTAAAAATGTTGACAAATTCTTAACCTTTCAAGATTTTAAGGCAAGCTTCTGAACCAAGAAGAATGAACTAAAGGTTTCTTGGAAGCGTGAAGATCAGCAAATTCAATTGATTTCAGCGTAAACAAAGGGTTGCTCAAAATGAAGGCATGGCACTGTAACCTACAAGCCCGAATGAAGCAAATGAAATGCTCAGTTTCACAGCAAGATGCCAACTAAGTTTACTCTGTAAGATTCAAACATGAGTCTCGGTCTCTCAGAGTTGAAAAGGATGAAACCGAGGGCTCTTCTTACCTTACCAACTGCATGGTTTACTAAGAGAGAGAAGGCGTTGAATCACTAGAACCATTTCCGGTGGTGTCGATGTCTTTCTCAGTACTGAGGCCATCCAGGCTTTTTCTACATACTGGGCAGGAATTATGCTAAAAACAAAAATTGATAACAAAGGGCTTACAGACATGTACTAACAGAAACTACGGACTTCATTAATTTAGTAATATCTTGAGTGGTGGCTCAATTTCCGATGTTAAAAAAATATTACCTTTGTAGTAAAAGGAATTATATTGGTCACGTCTGCATGAGAGGGAACGTATGTAAGCATAGCCACATGGCTGAAACGACGCTGCATGTGTAACGTTTGCGTTTCAGCCACAGAGGCAGTATTGCATGGGAATTTTTGAGTGTGGCATTCTTATGGACACTGCACATAACACGCCCTCACTGGTGAAAACAGATAGATGATGAATATTTAAAGTTGCGTTCTCCATGCTCTTCAACAAACTCAATTTTTTGGGCCCTGAGCTAAACCACACAAAGAAATGTGCAGGGATTTCAAGTGTTATCCATACTCCACAGAGGATTACATCGAAGGAATTTGAAGTGTGGGTGCTATCTCTGTGGGCAGGAGTGGTTTTTGCAAATCTTGAACGGTTGTGAATCGCAGAAGACTAGGAGGGTAAAGGAGACACTTGAGGGGGTAGTCCATAATACTCACACCAGTACATGTGCTGAGTGTGTCCTATAAACTGGCTCACATGACCGACCTGCACAGTACCATCCAGACCTACTGCTACTACATGGAGTCTACGGCCAAGTGTTTGATGCAACAACGTTCAAGTGATATCTTATATTAATATTAATCAACCCTAACTCCCTAGACATTTTTGCTAGGATGTAACCCTCAATCCTGCAAAATCCTCCAACTGCCTCTATGTAAAAATAGCATACAGTCTCAATCCCGCAAAATCCTCCGTTATTTCTTGAATGCGGTCCTTGGAGGGGTGACCGCTGCCTAAATCCTGCAAAAACCGCCAGCAATCACTGTCAATATGTTGAGGCAGAGCCAGTGACATCCTGGAGCAGTGCAGAGGATTTCAAGTACAATACAGGCCTACATTTATGCACGGCTGAGCATAAACAACACAAGGTCCGGCCCAAGACCTTGACACAGTGCATCCTCCAAAATCAGCAACACACTTTTTCCATGTAGCCTCAATCCTGTGAAATCCTCCATTTTGCAAAGAGGATTTTGGAGAATTTGGGAAGAGTAGGGTTAAGAGAAGGGACAAGACCTCACTCACCAGTTCTAACCATGGGATGATGCAGTCGGGATGAAACAAGTGCTTACAGGGCATCTGCTTGACAACTTGGCCAGCGCTGAACTCGTCTTTACAGACGGGACATTCTAGATTATTCTCTGCAGTTGACAACAAATGGGACAAATAAAACCAATATTGAAACAGACACTGGATGTACCTTTAAAACTTTTGGTTATCCACACAGTAATGGAAAGAATTATTGGATTATTATTGAAAATATGTTGCAATGAAATCCGTCAATAATTTGTAAAATTCCAACAATCTTACCCGTCTGTTCATTGTTAATCGTAGTTGTCTGCAACTTGCCAATGTCTTCCTGTGATGCAGGTGATGGGCCCTGCCCTTCAACATTATTTAGTAACTGGTCACAGAGAAAAGAAATATTTCAAAATCTTTTTTGAAGGAAAACATTGTAAACCACTGATTCTAATTTTCTTCACAGATTTCACGAAACGCATCGCAACTGACGATCTACCAGAGGACTTGCGATGGATTGCCGCTCTACGATCAATCATGGCTACTATGGGTTTTACGAAGGATTTCACTAACTTCAACGTATTACTGTGATGCGCTGTAAGTGTATTTTTAGAACCATTCGAGGACTGTTTCATGTATGGTGTGTGAAATTATTTGACAGTCATCAAATATTCAGTGAAGAGTCGTTATAATTTCTCTCCAAAATTTTCCAAATCACAACACAACATGGCAGTAGTTACTTGACTACAGAACACCCTCGCGTCAGACCGTAATTAAGTTGGTAATTTGAAGTTCATTTTCTAAATTTAATGACTCTGTTCTTCAGGAATCATTAGTTCATGAATTCGCATACCAAATTTAAAGATTTTGATCCGGTCTTTTTGACTGAAATGCCTTTAAGCCGGCTGCGAAACAACACTATATTTACAATGACATGAAAACTCATTGAAACATACGATGAGTTTCCATGAAAGTTGCGATGTGTTATATCCATTGTAAGTTTCTTGAAATTCTGTACAGCATCCATTGTAAGTTACGATGTGTTATCCATCTTAAGTTAAGATACAATTAATCCTAGCGTTTTATGAAATCGGCATCTGCTACCGTAGGAGCACTTCAAATTAATTGGATGTTGGCCCCTCATGTCTTACCTGGGTAATGATGGCATCTAGACCTCCCTCTCCCCATGCATAGTCTCGTGGGTTGCCGTGAAGATTCAACATCTGACTGCCATTTCAAAAGTTAAAATAAAATAAACACTTCATCAGGTAACTTTACAATCTGAAGGAGGAAATGTACCTACATATATCTTCAACCATGCTGTACTTGAGTGAGCTGTTCATGAATTTTGAAATTTATACCAATTTGTACAAAGCATTCAGAAACAAACAAAAATGCATTTTTTCACCCTTTCGCACCTTCCTCTCTGAATTTCATGAATCCCAGAACCACCCCAACCAGAGGGTCTCCTATACCCAAGGCCAACTAGTTGGTGCCACTAGTTCCACTACCCCTCCCCTACTTAGTCAGTACTTCCCACCACATGCAATATATTCTCCACAAGCACAGCATCAGAGATTTTCACATGGCGCCCATGAAGATCCAGAACCTGCTTCAGTCACATGACTGGCAAGATCCCAATCGCAGACCAGGAGCGTACAGAATCCCCTGCCAATGTGGCAAAGTGTACATCGGCGAGACTTGCAGGACCTCCCTACCAGACTCAATGAACACAAAGCCCATGGCAGACGCTATGACAAGTCCTGCATAGCCAAGCATTCGCACACCGAAGATCATCAGATCAACTGGCACCAGGCTGAACTCATCACCAGCATCGAACGTTGGTTCCCTCGCCGCATCAGAGAGGCCATCGAAATCTTCAAGGACCATACAGTAAGGCCAAAAGAAAACAAGTCAGGTGTGTTTACAAACACAAATGCCCCGCAACCGTGACTGTTCCCATGACATAACACCACTCTTTTAACATCAACTTACATGTACCTTGGTCACATGGAACATTCATTGACAGCATTAGTGTCTTCTGTAGGTTTTATATGAATTAATACCTAATCCCTATAATCTCAGAATAAATACAAGATTTCTATTGTTTTAGCCACTGTGAACTTGACCCTTGACCTTTTGGCCCCAAATACAATAGGCTTCTTAGGATTACCAAGAACAATCCACAAACCAAATTTGAAGTTCATATGTTAAGTATTTCTCAAGTTATCGCGCTGACAAGATTTCTATTGTTTTAGCCACTGTGAACTTGACACTTGACCTTTTGGCCCCAAATACAATAGGCTTCTTAGGATTGCCAAGAACAATCCACAAACCAAATTTGAAGTTCACATGTAAAGTATTTCTCAAGTTATTGCGCTGACAAGATTTCTATTGTTTTAGCCACTGTGAACTTGACCTTTGGCCTTTTGGCCCCAAATGCAAAAGGCTTCTTAGGATTGCCAAAAACAATCCACAAACCAAATTTGAAGTTCACATGTAAAGTATTTCTCAAGTTATCGCGCTGACAAGATTTCTATTGTTTTAGCCACTGTGAACTTGACCTTTGGCCTTTTGGCCCCAAATGCGAAAGGCTTCTTAGGATTGCCAAAAACAATCCACAAACCAAATTTGAAGTTCACATGTAAAGTATTTCTCAAGTTATCGCGCTGACAAGATTTCTATTGTTTTAGCCACTGTGAACTTGACCTTTGGCCTTTTGGGCCCAAATGCGAAAGGCTTCTTAGGATTACCAAGAACAATCCACAAACCAAATTTGAAGTTCATATGTTAAGTATTTCTCAAGTTATCGCGCTGACAAGATTTGTCCGGACACACACACCCACACACCCACCCACCCACACACACACCCACACACCCACCCACCCACCCACCCACCCACGGAAGGACAAGGCGGAAACAGTATGCCCCTTCGGCTTCGCCGCGGGGCATAAAAATAGTTCTGCTTCCGATTACATGGCATTCGAAAATAGGGTAGGTAGGTAGGGAAATTATTTTTTTTTGCCAATTTTTTTGGTGTACAATCATATGGAGGCGTCTGCATGTAGTCAAGGGCAAAAGGTAGAAATTGACGGTTTTGGGTAATTTTTCCTCATTTTTCCAATAAAACAAAAATCAGAGTAGGGGCTGTCAAAATAGGGTAGGTAGGGAAACCGGAAGCAGAACTATTATTTTTTTTGGCCTAACCCAAGACATCGGTTTGTTTATCAGTGACATCTAGCCCATCCTCCCCACACAGTCCATTGGGTCTTCTATACCCAAGGGCAACACAGTTCACTCAACCTAGTCAGCCTATGGGCCCCCTACACCATTGGCAACCTTCCCCTCCACTCCCTTCCTCAACAGTGACACGCCTCACTGATCTTCAAGCATCCCCAAGCTTCTGCATGGACCTCACACCGACATGCCTCACTGACCATCCAGCATCTCCTGCTCCAACTAGGACTCCACTGTTCCATCCTTGAGGCGTCTCACTGCTTCCCATCCCACTGCATGACACCACGGGCAGAGTACACTGTCCGAAACATTGAGTTTCCCTTTTTTTCCAGAACCTCACAAACTCACAAAAGAGATTTGTCACATGGTGCTACCACATACCTTAACCCTAACATGATTTACTAGGAACCATACTCATCCTGGCAAATTCCATATGGGAAACTGCACACACATATTTCTACCTTTGATTCTGGAGGTGTGCTAACCCAATGTAAAAGACTGTCAGTTTAGGGGTACTGTACCCATGCTGACAGATTCCAACAAAACATGCCTTTGGGGTTTGATGGGTTGAGTTCTGTTAGGGTTAATCTTATTGCTATCTTCACCATGCAAACCTTCAAATTTCTTAAATCTGGACCTCCTATTGGCGTTACTCTGATGGGTAACAGTCGCAGTATGGTCTCCTCGGAAGTGCACTGAGTGGCAGATTGAATGAATCAAATAATTTTTTTTTGTGGTTAAGCTAAACCCCCATGAAGTGGCCATTGTGTAGTTACGGGCCCTGTTCCTTTAAGAGAACACAAATCCACTTTTACTTTAGGTTATTGGACTTACCAAACTAGTTGCCAACATTTAAAACCGACAGGAGCGTTGCGGATAGAGGACAGTGTTTTGATTTTTGAGCAAAATTTTGGGGTTAAACCACGGATCCTACACACAAGGATGAACGACTCGGCCCAACTCCTGGTTAGACGCGTGATAACGGCCTGTACTGGTGGCAAATACCATGAATACTTTTCAGCAAAGACCACTGCGCGCGGTGGCTTTCAGATTTGAAAGGCTCTTCCCCGATCTGGCCTCGAAGTCTGTCAAGCCAGCGAATTATATTTTTGAATATTCATGAGTCTACATTTTTGGTCTTTATTATTGAATTCTGATAAGTGATAACTACATAACCATGGTAATGCCGAGCACAATATCTTTAGCTTTAAGATGAACAATGAAATGTCGCTTTTGTTTCGTCGGTTCGGCATCCTATCTCTCTAAAACTTTTTAATAAAAGCCTAATTAAAAACGAAATTTGGGTAAACGGTGTTCTCCTCGAAATTTGACGTTTATTTCCTGGGTAAATACTTCATCTATGACGACAAAAACTGCACAATACCATCTGTTATATCCTGAAGTATTTATTTTTAAAATAATTTGGAACAATTATATCTTAAATAAGAAGTAGTTTTACTTACAGTTTTATGAATATTTCCGTTTTAGATGTCGTGCAAAAACCCAACACAATGGCACATCTGGAAAATTCGCGATTACGTGCCAACGGGTATTAATGCCCGTTATCACGCGTCTAACCAATTAAGGCAAGTCCACTGAGTGCATTTTGTACTAGAGCTCAGAACAGTCGTTTATCCTGGGTCTAGGATCCGTTGTTAAACGATGATGAAGACAAAAAAGACAACACAAAGATAAACGCACCGTGAATGCGCAAAACTTTGTTGATTCGTATGGCGTCAACTATAAAATGCCTAAGAAAATCGCATTTTCTACCAAAAGATACTGTGCAAAATTATTCAAAAATAGGGTCATTAGGATTGAACAAACCAACCTGGTAGCAAAAGTCATTTCGGAATGATAAAAACACTTTTAAGGACTTAAACGAAAGAGGGGCATTGCGATACAAAATTGCCCATGAAGCCATCTGAATCGGGATGTACTGTCTCCAAGTCCATCACAACATGGGATTAACACTAAGGCCCAAAAAAAAATAGTTGGTCTCTGGTCAGCGCGCGCGTCGATTTTAACCATGCGCGTCAATCTTTTTTTTTTTCCAAAATGTTCCGCGGTAGCTCCAACAGCGCCCTCTATTGCCACACCTCCTCAAATTTTTTTACCAAAGAGCACCAAGGAATGGGAAATTGCTCCAAGGCAAATGATTGAGGGCACTAAGGCAAATTATGCAGGACACCAGTGTACATGAGGACACAAAAAAAAATAATAGTACCCCACCTTGTCTGTACAATCCAAGCTTGAAAAAAAAAAAAAGCCGCGTCGCTGCATCAATTCCGGAACTTTTTGTCTGACCAGAGACCAAGTATTTTTTTTGGCCTAACAAAGGAATGTGTTTTTTTTTTGTCAAAGTTCATTTGAATAGCTTTTGGCTTGACTTGGGACTGAATGACTTGTATAGGACTTCTGAGGACTTGTGATGGACATGTGAGGGATTTGTGAGGACTTGTGATGGAGTTGTAATGCCCTTGTGATGGACTTGCGAGGACTTGTGATGGACTTGAGATGCCCTTATGATGGACTTGTGACGACTTAGGAGAACTTGTGATGGACTTGTGAGGACTTGTAATGCACTTGTAATGCTCTTGTGACAAACCTGTGATTGACTTGTGATGGACTTCTGATTGACTTGTGATAGGCTTGTAATGGATTCGTGATGGACTTGTGATGGACTTGTGATGGACTTGTGATGGATTTGTGATGGATTTGTGATGGACTTGTGATGGACTTGTGATGGACTTGTGATGGACTTGTGATGGACTTGTGATGGACTTGTGATGGAATCGTGATGGACTTGTGAGGACTTGTGATGGATTTGTGATGGATTTGTGATGGATTTGTGATGGATTTGTGATGGACTTGTGATGGACTTGTGATGGACTTGTGATGGACTCGTGATGAACTTGTGAGGATTTGTGATGGATTTGTGATGGACTTGTGATGGACTTGTGATGGATTTGTGATGGACTTGTGATGGACTTGTGAGGATTTGTGATGGACTTGTGACGACTTGCAATGGACTTGTGCTGGACTTGTGATGGACTTGTAATGCCCTTGTGACATACTTGTGATTGACTTGTGATTGACTTGTGATGGATTTGTGAGGATTTGTGATGGACTTGTGATGAACTTGTGAGGATTTGTGATGGATTTATGGTGGACTTGTGGTGGGCATGTGATGGACTTGTGATGCCCTTGTGATGGAATTGGCTACAACACTGTCTCCAATATAATACTCACACTGGAAAGATGAAGCCGCCGGGTCCTTGTGACATAGGGTTGCCGAGACCCAATAAATGCTGCAGAATTCTAGAATTATAAACAGAGAAACATTTACTTAAAGGGAATGTACAACATTTGCTTTTGCTGTAATTTTCAGAAATAAATGAATTTGGAGGAATAGAATGTTAAAGCAAAGGTTGTTACACTGACTTGTTTCACGTTTTGGGTTCGTAGATGCTGCAAAAACCAAGAAAACCAATCATGTTTTTGAAGGAAAAAAAAACAGTTTTCTCCAACACTGGCTGACCAGCGTTGGAAATTGATACAAAAATACAACTTTACTTAAAAATGTCAGCACACCAGGTGCCATGATTGTACGGGATGCTTTAGACTGTCATTCCTTAACAGTCCAGTAAAGAATTTAGTGGTAATTTGTATCTTCCCTTTAATTCCATGCTTGAGATTTACCCCGACTATCAAGCTTTCAAATCATAAAGGTAGACTTCAAAAATATAAATGTTCTCCTTTGAAAAGTATTAAATAGTGATGTTTTATATTCCAAAAATTGGTCTAGCCAATTTTATTCATATGTTTACGTTTTGAATTAAGACTCTCTTTCAAAATTGACCGTACATAGACGGCCAATGCCAGGAAAAAAATTCTTCAAATCAGTCACCAATCATGTGAACAATTGCCCTTTTCTTTTTTCTGTGCTTACGAGCTCAGAACTTAGGGGAGAAATGCAACGACCGATATCCACAATTTGCACAAAAGAAGGTCAGCTATGCTTTTGGCTGAACATTTTGAAAATGTTGGTGCCTTAAGTGGACTTAAGTCTTGAACGGGATGTGTTCTACAGCTGTGTTCTAATGTATGATATCATACTGTGGGCAAACCACCCATTACTCACGCTATCATATCTGCAGCAGGGTCGCCCCTGTTATCTCTAGGTCCCATGCGCTGCAGGGTGAGTCTGGAGGGCCCCCTCGACGGAGCAAAGTGATGTAACCTAACAGGATTGCTTCCACCTATGGTTATTGTGTTGTTGTTGCTGCGTAGGTTGCTACCGGGGTTATTACTACTACCACTGCTGCTGCTGCTGCTGCTGCTGTTGCTACTGCTGTTGCTGCTGCTAGCTTGATTGGGACCAGGTTGTGACCGGTTTCGTTGTTCCGGACTGGACAACTGATTCCATAACTGTGAAGAAAGCCGGTGAAATGATAAAAAAAAAACATAATTGAGTTTTTTTCTGTAATGGGACATTTCCATCTTTGTTTCGTCTTGAACACTTCTGTGAAGTATCAAGTTAATGTTTTTAACGACCTTAACTACTGAGGTATTTTTGCTCAGAACCATCCTGAGTCCTCCATAATCTGGCACAGTCTAGTCTAGTCGTTGCTCTGGCACTCTTGCACACTCGTGTCAGCTGTGTGTCCAAGACTCGAAGTACTCAGTCAACAAAGCGCTGGTACTCAGTACTAAACTGAATTGAGACTTACCGATGAGAAAACAAGCGCTGAATCAAATGGTTCGTTCCCGTCAGCCCCTAGATCATCACTGGCATCCGACGTTCTGCAAGGAAATAAAAAGGCTTTTCTTTGAATCACATTACACGGCTTACATTCAGAAAGAAAGTCAAAGCTCGAGTCCCTACTCCCTGGTCATAAATCACACAAAATCAACCAATCTGAGTACGAGTCTCTTAGTTTAGTTCAAATTGAGCCCAAATCTTGAGTGAATGACTCAGTCCAAAACTACCTTCATGGTCAGTCTGCGTTGAAATAACCTTCAAATATATTCAATTCATAAAACATGATTCATAAATGCCTAAGACAATTCATAAGATGAATTTATCTAAGACAATTTGATTTACCTAAGACAATTTACCCATTCCTGTTGGTCAAGAGCCCATCACGTGGGTGGTTTTAAACGGTTGATAAAACAAGGCTGGCTGGTTTGAAATATTTTCCGGTTTCACATGAAATTTGGACTCCTGTGAAATCTACTCCCTTTTACCCTTTTATTGGTTGAATGTTCACAATCTTCTATTAAGCATGCGCAAAACTACCAATGAATCCGTATTTTCGAGAGTCCTAACTTCAAACAGCATCGGCACTACCGCAAACCACCACATCGTGCAGTACGAGCCACGCGCGCCAATCTGCGCATACAACGAGATATCTACGACTACCCGCAAGAGGCTCATATCATAACATAGCTAGAGGGGTGTTTAAAAAAACATGAAATCAAATTGTTGAAAAAAATCTTTGAAAATTTATAATTTTCGACTTGGTTTGACTTTTTGACTCAAAGGTATAATTATGAATGGGAATAAATATGTTCTCAGCCGGTATTCAACCAGTATTGTAGATAAAACTGACTCAGGGGCCTGGTTGCCGATAGATGCCCCGAGCCAAATATCAGCGTCCAGGCCCCTGAGCCAGTTTTAAACGTACTAGCTTAAAAACCAGCCAAGCACATTATTTATTCCCTTTAACCCTTACCCTACTAAACCCTCCAACGCATGCCAATATGTGCCTCAAGAAAATCTCCTATGTTTTTTGCACGGCCCTCCAATATCTGCCATGTCATTTCAAGGGTAACTGGACAGGCACTCCAATACATGCCACAGAGAACAATGAGAGTCCTCTGATAACAAAGTGAGTGCCCCCAGCTGGTCAGTATGAGGCACCCTCCAGGGCCTCCAACTCCTGCCAATTGGAGCCTTCACTGTTAAGACAAACTATCTGCCAATAAACTGCAGCTGGAGGGCATTGGCATAACCAACTGACATGCAGTAAACTACCCACAGAGAGTAAGGGTTAAAACTCTTGTCAGGCAAACAGCGGCCTTAGGCTACCTTTCTTGATCTTCCCGTTCTCCCACTTCCTCTATGAAACCTCCATGGCAGTTGGGACATGTGAAGTCCTGCAGTACAAACATAAACATCAAATATTTGTAGTTATCTGACAGAAAAAAAAGTCAAAATTACTCTTGTATGCTGGAAAATGAAAAAATTAATTAAGTCAAAAGAAAATTGCATGCAGTATCCCGACCCTTTTTTAAAAACATACACGTAAAAATGTATTTTTCCTCAATAACGATGACATTGATATGCTCTAGCCATAATTTATTTAAGAAAAATACAAAATGTTATTGTGTCTCGAATCGTTTCAACAATGTCTGTGAAAATTGACAATGTTCAGGTTTCCTACATTTGTATTTCAATGTATTAACATTATCAAATCCTTGGAAAAAATGTTGCAAACTGACATCAATTCAGCGGTTGTGTACAAAGTTTCTGGAGAGTCAAGACAATTTTCTGAGTATTTCCTTACAAAATTGGAAATAATTTTCAGTCCCAGATTCATGTCTTATCATCATTTTTGCAATAACTGACCTTCATTGAGATGATTAATTAGCATGATTAGGCATAGGTCCAAGTTAAGCTAGGACTCTACGAATCGCCTTTTTTTTAACATTTGGACATGGTCAGGTGAAAGTTGAGTCCAAGAACCACCACCATTTTTCAATTCCCACTGAAGCCTACAGGAACACATAAAGCAGTTTGATTTGAAGACTGTTTTGGGGGAGAAATCTGAAGATTTTGATTTGGGGTAGGCCTACAACTTGAAGTTCAAGTGAAAATGGTAAAAAAAAAAAAGATTGGTATTGGTAAACGCGATACGGCTATGAATCTCAGACTCCTACTACTATCACCCGACCATGTCCAAATGTTAAAAAAGGCGATTCATAGATTCCTATCCTACTCCTCGTTACTCGGACTAAGTTTAGAGGCGACAGATTGCAACATTTTTTTCCAAATCCTTTTGAAAGGTCCCCAGTCATGCCTGCTTTGAATGGAACACACTAACAAATAAGGACTCTAACCATTTAATCTTCATAAAAAAAGCTTAAAAGATGAAAATAAGAGAGCAAGGGCCTAAAAAGAGAGCATCGATAGACGATAGGCTAAAATTAAAAATTGGAATTTCCCATAAAATTGCCATGACTGCAGTGCAGTGCAAAGTGCAATGTTCACAATTTAATTCTTTTCTAATTTTCTATTCATTTATTTAACAAAATCACACAATTAGAACAAACATAAACGCAAGCCCAAACGAAAACTTCAAACTCATAGTACAAGTGGGACTTACGGGTAGTTCTGGAGCAATTTCTGTCGAGCATTTGTGGCAAAAAAATCTCGCAGACGTCGAGCGAGAATCTACCACAGCTTCCGCCATATTTAGTGCAATGCAATGCGTATGCAAAATACACAGTACGTAACGACACGGATGTCAAGGAGCGCATACAAAATGTAATCGTCAGGGTGTCCGTAAGGTAATGGCAAAATTCTGCTAGATGCGCTTCAAAAATCTGCTAGATTTAACAAAAATCTACTAAATCACGTTTTATTACACGAAATACACTATAAACAGGCCTGGCAGACCGCAGATGTTATAAAATTTCCTCAAACAAAGCAAACAGCACAAAATGTCCTCTAAAAAAATAAAATTGAACAAGAATATAAAGAAACATTGACGTTTCTCAAACTTGTTATGGCTTGCAATGGTCTGAACATGGTCTGAAGTACTTTACCATGTACTAATAACACGTCAAGCTCAAATTGAAGTTTTCCAAAAGTAAATCAGCCCTATTTTTCAAATCTGCCATATTTTTCTGTCAGACCACCAATAATTTACCGATCCAGTAAGCACCGCCCCATGGTGTTCTGACCAATCACAGTCGTGATTTATGTCCGACGTGCGTGCACAAAAGTCCGACATGCGCGCACGCTATGGTGCACGCGCGTATGGTGCGCGCGGCAGGAAAATGCAGTGTGGCATTGGACAGAGAGCACGTGTTAATTTGCCCAGTGCGCAGTGGGCGGGGCTTACTGGATCGGTTCATTAAACTATCGCTGTTTGCGAGTAAGCCACGCCCCTTAGACAACCCTATTATAATGTAGTTTTTGAACACTGTTTTGTTTGTCTCAGATTTTGCACGTTCCGCGTCCATTTGAATATCATGGACAATATTTCACACAAGCTGCGACCTGCTTTGACTAATGCGATTCTAATGCGATTCTACCGCGCGCGATAGGTCAATTTTACAGAATTCTGCTAGAAACTTGCTGAAAAAAAAATCTATTCTACTAAATTTTCTGTCAAACTCGATTTTTTTTCCCGAAAAATTCTGTCAAATTTAGCCGAAATTCGGCTGAAACGGTCATTCTGTTAGTAACGTCTAAACTTTCACAAGTCGTTCCTGCTGAATCATGATACCCGTACCTGCTGTAACTGATATCCGTTGCCACGTTCAAGTCTCACGACGTACTTTACATAAAACATGTGGCCATGATGCGCACGAGGGGGCGTAGCCTTTTAAGTTTGAACATCTGGGGGTGGCCGGATGGATGGGGTACCGGTAATGGACTAGATAATTTCAATAGTATTGCCAGAAAGTTTAACCGAGGAAAAATATTTTGTGCGTCCTTGTCATAATGAAACCAAACTAGATTTTTATGTGCTCCTATCATCTATAATGTGATATGACCACGCCCTGATCGATGGCCGAAATATTACAAATTTTACGAGCGTCTCAGTGGTGTCACTAAAATGAATAAAGTGACTAATTTTTATAAACCACGTGTTTTATTTTATACATTGCTGAACCAGCTAAACGTTTTTCACAAGATTTCAAATTCATCAAATCAAAATTTGTGAATGTACATGCATGAATTAGAGCAATGGATGAGCACCTTCAGAATGTTCATCTTCATGTTAGTGAGTAATTATGAAATTATAAAAGAATACAATTGTAAACTCCATGCTTATTCTACCTTAATCATGTTAACTGAATAATGGGCCTATGTGTGAATTGGGTTAGTTTCGGTTCCTGTATATGTGCTCCGCGGGTCAGTTCTTCTGTAGCGGACTTGGCAAAGTTTAGGTGATGTCCTTCTCTAGCACGTTAGGGTACAATGCTGCAAAGAAAATTGTTCCCCTTTTAACTTTGTGTGGATTTTTTCCAAGTAATTCTCGCAATGAAGAAAAAAATCATGTAGATTTGTTTAATATATATTAATATTTATATAAATTGATTATCTCGTTAGAAATTTGTTACGATAGTTACGATTTACTCCAAAATCGGTGTCTTTTTGGGGGTGTCAATACCTTTCACAATAGCAATATATATGCCAAGTGTCAAAGGTCAATTGCACTTATGTTTACTGCAATTTTTCATGGCAGGCGGCTTGATGAGTCTCATTTGTCTGAAGTTACTGAGCAATATCGAAGAAAATACTGAAAATTCCGTTGGTTGGTAGGTGCATCAAGTCCTTGTGCTATTTTTCTCAATGGATTTTCAAGCTTATGTCGTCATAAAACAGGGGAAACTGCGCAAATACATCCGCTAAATTGACGTTCTCAGATTTACTAGTTTTGTATTTTGTTCAGTGCATTTTATTTGGCCATGGTTTGGCCATTCCTTCCTCCATGGTTTGGCTGACAGTGACATGGCTGAGTGTTGTTTTGCATGTTTTACTGTTTTACTTGTTAATGTTTGGACCATTTGCATTATTTTAAGTAACAATTTCCTCGGAATATTTTAATATGATATAGGGGCCTATTCCTGGTTATTCAGCAGACTAGGGCCTAGCCTACGTTAGCTCTACTGAGTGGAGCGTTGAATTACGGGTACCCCTCCATACCCGTAATTCAACGCTCCACTCAGTAGAGCTAAGCCTACGTAGGCATGGTAGGCCCCCCCCCCACTCCTGCATTAGATTTTGTCAGTTTTCCTGAAAAAAAGTTCTTGCTATTCACATTGTTTTTCATTGACTGTCTGTTGACATGCTTGACCACATTTGCACAGTTTTAACTTTCTTGTAAACAACAACATTTGTAAAGTTGTATTTGTAATTGGTCACAAATTCAAAACCTTTAGCGTTGGTTTTGGCTTAAGTTGTCACTGCTCTAAAGTCTTTAATAATCATGTCAGATTTATAAATATATTAGGACACCAAAGTTGCAAAGAAAAGTCTTTGATAATAAATCATATCACTCCAGGAAAGAATGTTGCAACCTGACGCCACTTCAGCGGTTGTGTACAAAGTCTATGGAGAGTCAAGAACATTTTCTAAGTATTTCCTAACAAAATTGGAAATGTTTCTCAGTCCCAGATTCATGTCTTATCATCATTTTTGCAGTGACTGACCTTCATTGAGATGATATATGACAGGTTGCAACATTCTTTCCCATATGAGATTTAAAAATAAATTAGTTATTTATTAAAAAGATATTCCTCAATCAATTATTACTTTACCGTTTCAGGGTATCATTTCACATAAGGCACAACATTCAGGTATCTGCAACCGGGAACCAGCGTAGTGAATAATTTTACCCGCAGCCTCTTTTGTAGTAGTGGTTGTACCCAGAATTCTCTTCATTCTTAGACTTTGCTCTGGTCTGGCGCCCTCTGCCGTGTGTGAGCTGGTTGATTAAATCCACCGGGATCATGGGGAGTTCCAGCGTCGGTCAGTGTTGTGGACTGGTCTGGGCCTTTTGCAGAATTGGTGCTCATAAGGTAATCTTACACCCCAACTAAAGCATCGTCCCAGCTGTAGTTCAATTGCTGGGGTTGTCACAACTGTAGTTGGGACCATTCCAACATCAGTTGGGACCGATGCTATAGTCCAGGTGTCACAGTAATATCATGGCATGCCAGAAAGATATCATGCGACAATTGAAGAATTGTAGTCAAGTCAAAAAGCATCTATAAGTCGGTCACAAGTCAATCAGTCCCTCCTGAACCAGTGTTGTAGTCGAGACCGGATAGTCCGAGACCGAGACCAAGACCGAGACCTGAAGATTCGAGACCGAGACCGAGACCGAGACCAGCCCCTTCAAGGCGGACCGAGACCGAGACCAATATGGTCCGAGACCAAGACCGAGACCGAGACCGAGACCGCTGATAATAAATAACAATAGTCGAAATAAAAAAAAAACAAGACACGTTATTATAGTTGAAAAATGTAACCCTTCTATTCACAAAGAATACGGACCAAATTTTGACCAGTGGCAATGTTTACAAATTGATACATGACACCTTACTTGAGCAACAAGTAGTTACACTTAAGAAATATGGGCTTTGACATGTTGTCTACACCCAATCGTGACAAAAGTAAAAAGTTAAAGGTAGATGTTTCATCTGTTATAGGAACTCGGATCCTAAACTCCACAGTCACCCCCTTGGTTTCAGCTATGACTTCTAACGGATATTTAAAGATGCAATTTTAATTTTACATTGTGCCTCTTTTTTCCTAAAATAAATATAGGACTTAACTTCTAACAAGAATTGTGTACTTGATTTTAAAAAATGGGAGCTAGAAAATGTTGAATTAATTTTTTAATTTTTGTCATAGAATGTGGACTTGTACGTATGTAGAACCACAAGTTGCGAGGTGGAAGCCAGAATGTGCCAGATATGGATTTTGAATTTTTTTCTGAACGGGATTTTTAATTTTTGAGGAATAATGGGGTACTTTAAAATGAGCAGCCAGAAAATGGGGTCTCATCATACACTCTCATGGCAACAGTGAGTGGTAACTGGTAAGAGTGTGTGAGTTCAAAGCTGGAAAATCAGGTAGAAAAATTTACTTTTTCTTCAAAATACTGTCCCAAATTAAAGAGAACATTGTGTGGGGTCGAAAATATAACTAATTTGAAGCACCTCATTTATTATCAGAATACAAAATGCAAGTGATTACGCCCACAGGGGTGGGCTAAACTACACAATCCCCGAAAATGGTTGACCCTTATTGCATAAATTGTTACAAGTTTATACTTTGCTTTATGTGGCCGACTCAACAGATAAATGCCGAACTGGTTCCAAATCGTTCAGTGACTGGTACTGCTGCAGTTTTACATGTACTTTGGGGACTTTCCAACGTGCAGTCGAGTCCAAACCGATCGCGATATATAACAAGCTTGATCTACAGGCTAGCAAATGTTTTAAATAACAATGGTTCTGAACGAAGTGAACACAAAGTAATCGATCGAGCTGTAAAAGCTACATATTGCCGGTCTCGACCCGAGACCAGCCAAAATATCGAGACCAAAGGGGACCGAGACCGAGACCAAGACCGAGACCACAGCTTCCGAGACCGAGACCGAGACCGAGACCAGCAAAAAGTGGTCTCGAGACCGGTCTTGAGACCGAGACCGGTCTCGAGACCTACAACACTGTCCTGAACTAACAAACTATTCAAAAGAACTAACAACATTTCTTTGTCATTTTTCATCCCTTTACTTTTCGACCTGACTTGTTTAAAAGTTGGTATATATGATTTTGTTTGTTTTTTCCGAACGAAATTTAAAGGAATATAATGTTCTGAAACAAATACATTTGTTTGTTTGTTTTTGCAGGCCTTTATACGGTTTTCAAAAGTGGTTTTAAATGGCACTCTCCAGTTCAGAAATTGTGCACATTATTCAGTGAGAATTAGGAGTGCCCTCTCTTAATTCAAAAGTCGAACTTAATTAATTAATTACCTGTCGTGGGTTTTTCGTGCAATATCTAATTGGAAAGCTCCTAAATAATGTTATATTAAGAATTATCAATTCAATTTGAAAATATATTTTTCAAGGTGCCACACACAAAAAGCATGTATACACCAACTTTAGCTTTTGAATGACTTTTGATTGGCTTGACTACCAGTCTGAACATTCAACATGTCCAATAGTAGGTTTGTCCAGTGATGTCAAAATTTCTTTTGGAGTATTAATGAGTAAAGTAAATTAGCCAGTTTTCCAAAAGCTTGACTTAGGCAGTGTCTGAATTACTTGGCAACAGCTTGAAATTACACACATGTCTATGGTAGCAGCTACAGTCACTTCCCATAGACGCGTCTGTAATTTCAAGTCGTAGCCAAGTAATTCTGACGTGGCCTAAGTGTACCTTAGCTGTGGAAATAGTAAGAACTAACATCTTGCAAAATGGGCTTCTTTTGAAAGAGACTGATAAAAACTTGGGTTCATTTAATAATGCAAGTGACCAAGATCGTCCATTTTGGTTGTAATCTTGTCCCAGTGTTGCCAGAAGCTGTGCTGCAGAAAAGAGTCACCACCACGACCGCAGTACACCGTCGTCTGTCTGGGTCTGTCCGGGGCCGGCAAATCAACTCTGCTTACTCTGCTGTGTGGGGAAAAGACAGAGGAAGTGATACCCACAGTCGGTAAGATTTGAGCATTCACATTGAATTCCAGGCTGGTATAGCTATTATTGATGCTGAGGTTAGTTCACTATTGACTGTTATGTAAAATTTATGGCAGTGTGTAGCTACTCACAAGAGCAAGTGAAGAAAACGTCAAATTGAAATTATGCTCGGATTTACTTTTCATTTGTTTCCTCTTTTGACCAATTCCAGGGTTTAGCATCAAAGCAGTTCCCCTTGACGATGCTGTACTAAATGCCAAAGAATTAGGAGGTCTGTAAAAAAAATTTGCTTTTATCTTTGTCGATCAATTTACTTATTTTTTTATTTATTTCAAATGCAGTTGTTGGAGAGCAAGGGACAAGAAATACACATGCAATTTTAATATGAAATTTGAAGGGTAAATGTTTGTGAAGAAACTCTTTAGCAGCTGTTAACTTAACTTGCAACTTTTAAATGAGATTTTGAACAAGTAGAAATGAAAGCAAGTTTTGGCAATTTTATTAATTTCCAAAGGAGGAGCCAATATCCAGCCCCATTGGCATCGATACTACGAAGGCACTGAGGGGATTGTGTTTGTGCTAGACAGTGCATGCTCAGATGAAGCTTTGCAAGAGGTAGGCAAGTTGTAAAAATGGAATACTTTTGTAATCCTACATAAACCAAGCTACTTGACATCAAGTCAGAGTGCACAGAATTCTATTCAATTGATTCAGAATGGCTATTGTCTTTTCATGCATCTGGTCTACATAATGGGCCAGATTTAGCCCATTCATTGGCGTTACAAGGTAATCCTATATGATAGCACTGCCCGGCTCTCTGCGCCAGCCTACAACCTAAGTCTAAGTAACAAGTGAGTGAGTTAGTCAGTCACGTACAAAGAGAACAATAGGTTGGTCTCTCTGGGACCAGCAAACTAATTTTAAAAACCAAGCAGCGTGACACAAATCAAATATTTGACATGATCCTAAATCACGAAAGTGACTTGGGATTGGTTTCTAAATTATCTAAGAAGGTAGGAACTAGAAACCCAACCGAGGTCTGTCTTAGAGAGATTCCAATCTGTCATTAGATTTTTCCTTCATAGTTCACTATGTCCTTCTATTTTCCATCCAGTTATCTGAGGTTTTGTCGTCCACCCTGACCCACCCATCCCTTCAAGGTCTACCCCTGCTGATACTTGCTAGTCATCAAGACAAGCCAACAGCTCGCAATAAAGACCAGGTTTGAACACTTTCCTCCTTTTTAAAGTTGATATAGCAGAAACATTCTACAATATTGCGATTAGCCCTTTCACAGGCATAATGTCATTTACACTGTATACCAAGTGCTGTGTTTAAGCTTGTGAGTAAAAAGTCATATGATTACGTGAGTGGGATAAGGATTCGAACCCACAATCTCCGGCTTACAATCTCCGGCTTGGTGCAGACATCAACCACCAAGCTTGCCACGGTTGGCTGGGGGGTTCGAATCTGATTTGGCAGTGGATACCACACTAAATCATTATGTTTTACTATGGGAGAGATTCCAAATTGTATTGTGCGCTTCATCAAAGACAAACTCTTTTTTTAGAACTAAGCAGGACTGTTCTTATCAGAACTAAAAACTACTTAACGAAAGTTGATAATAAGCAGGACAAGTTCTTATCAGAACTAAATACCTACTGAGCGACAGTAGTTATTACCACATGGTGTTACCGCAAACCGAAACGATACTGATACTCCACCATGCAAAGCTTAAAATCTTATATTCATAAGAACTGTACTACTCGGAAACAGGCTTCCAGATTTGAAAGGTTGATAGACCAGCAGTTACCTATGCTAAACATTGGTCCTTTTTTGCTGAGTTCAAGACTTATCTTGATCTTTGGTTTAAAACCAACCCTCCTCAATCCTCCAAAATCAGGTGTTTTGGAGGATTGATCAGGCTGTGTGCCATTTTTTGTGCCAGTTGATTTTTGGAGGAGGCATTGTGTCAAGGTCTTAAGCTGCACCTTGTGTTGTAGATGCTTAGCCATGCGTAAATTATGCCTCGATTATACTAGATATTATCCGCTTCATCACTGCTTCTGGATATCACTGGCAATTCCTCATTGCATTACAGTAACTGTTGGAGGATTTTGAAGGATTGAGGCAGTGGTCACCCCTCCACTGAACAAATTCAAGAACCAACAGATGATTTTGGAGGATTGAGGCTGTATCAAACTTTCACATGGTGGCAATTGCAGGATTTTGAAGGATTGAGGATGGATCGTAGCCAGAGGGGTCTAGGCAGTTAGGGTTAATATATGATGAGTGCCTCCATGTCAGAAGTCATGTTGAACATTGTGAAGATGATATAATCAGGATTTCAGGTTTGATAAGTTTTCTTCCCAAGTCTCAACCTAAACATTTCTTTGCCTTCTTCCTTCCATAGAGTTTTCAGACTTGCAAGCTACATTGCTAGGGCGCCTTGGAGGCATCTTCGTCCCAGAAATAGTAACAAATAATATTAACGATATGCATTTCTTTAATTGAATTCCAGCTGACAGAAGCCCTCAACCTGGACAGCCTCAAACAAAACCATGAAATGATTCTCCAGCTGTGTTCGCAGGACGACATTCCCAGCGTGAGAGAGGGCCTGGTCCGCTTGGCTCAGATACTGCACACGACGACGGACCACGAAGACAACAGAGTATGATCGGTAGGCTCCCCCATGTTGGCCTGTAATAAACTCCGTTGATCAAAAAGCGAGAACGTACTGTCATCTATTGACAGTCAAGTAGGTGAGTTTGGTGGGGAAGTTAGACCGAAGCCTTATCTTGTTGGAGTTGTTCAGTACTGTCTTACCAAGTTTAACCAATGCTTGGTAAGATTTTTAAGGGTGCTGTACATAAAGTAAAGTTGAACTGAGGTTTTTTTATACTAGACTTCAATGTGTCAGCACTGTTAGAGGACAGATTTGAAAATTGCCAAAGTCAACTTGACTAGAGAAATAGAGCCAGAGCAAGAATTTGGAAAAGTTTGGAAAGCCTTGTATTTCTGTTTTGAGCTCAAGGCAGTGTTAACTATCAGGCACTTGTGTGCTTCTATTAACCTTAAGGCAGAATTGACCATAAGTCATTGTGCATTTTTGTCCTTTGAAGCAACAAAAGTGCTCAAAATTCAAAGACAGATGCTTAACAACTAACCCATTTATGGAATCGCCCAATTACAAACCAACTACAAACTGAAATTTTAAAAAATGTGTCACTTGACACATGTTTGGAAAGGACCTTCTTGTAATGTTTTCTCTCAAAATGACAGCTTGCCAGAAGGAATAATTTCACAGGGAGATTAGTGTCATTTCTATTAGTGTCATTACTATCTTTAAATAGAACAGGCTTAACGATAACTTGGTAGGTTACTTTTTCGATAGCTGCAAGATGTCCACTCTACCCTAGCCAGTTTTGGAATTTGGAGGAAGTTTTGCTAATATTTTTTTCTATTTCTTACTTTGTGCAGGAAAATCATTGGTACATTCTCGTAATAAAATTCATGTGGCTGGGCCAGATGGCAGTGGGTCCTTTAAAGTTCTTTAACCCTAACTCCTAAATACAAATTGAAAGTTTGAAGGATTTGGAAGAGCTACGGTAGATGAGATTTGCCAGTCTCTCTAAAATAGAATGTATGTTATATGATTGATCATTATTTTTGTGGAGGACAGAGAATGCAGTGATGCTCCATATTTATGTAAATAAATGCTTGCGGGCAAATGAGGCTTGCCAGTAACATACTTCTGGATTTGCTAACTGTTACAGTGCAATACAAGTTTTCAGGGGGAAAGTTTTGCTAAATGTTTTCCACTATTCCTATAAACTTTGTGGTACCTAAATTTTCCCGCGACTCATTTTTGAAATTGAGTCAAGACAAGCATGATACTGATCAGTGATCACTGGAAAGGCCATTGGTGTCTCATTAAGTACATTGTGAATTATAAGAACTCCACAGAGCAGATTGCAAGTACTCTGTTATCTTTTATTTTAAAGTTGATTGTAGAAGTCGGATGTGAATGTATTCAGTAGTGAGTAAAGTCTGTCACGAGTCAGTGTGGCCCATCAGGCCAGCGTTTATCTCCGGTTTCAGTAGCATGAAACGACTGAGAATATTTCTATTCCCCCTGGATGGGATGCTTGTCCATCGCAGGTTACTCCCCAGCTAATGCCGGTACCCATTTATACTCCTGGGTGGAGAGAGGCAAGTGGAGGTGAAGTGGCTTGCCCAAGGACACAACATATGGCCAGCAGCTGGATTGGACCTCTGATCGCTGGTCCCAGAGCGCAGGCTAAGTCAGAAATGACAGTCAGTCAGTCAGTCGGTCGGGTACAAAGAAGACGATAGTATTGGCCCTCTGGGACCAGCAAAAAAAAAGGGGGGTGTGGTTTTGTCTTTGCTAGGGCAGGGGGTGCGGAGTTTCATAAATGGATACCATATGAATTGGTGCTTAAGATGTTTTTAGTGAGGGGTATTTTTAGAGAATGGCACACTTGCTGTATATTTAAGCATGCTTAGTAGAAGTGCATTTTTATACTGGTTTTTTTTTACCTATGTGTGTTGTGTGCTCTAGATGTTGGTATTAGTTGATAAGGGCTGGGACCCTATCTGAAGCCTTTCTAGTAATACTTGAGTTGGCTGTGTGCGATCCGATGGGAATGAATGGGGGCGGGGCTTGGAAACACTTACAGGGGTGGTTATGCTGGTAAGATTACATGTGTACAGTTGATAGGCAGGGACAGTTAAGAGTGTTTATATGATGATTACATGTATATGTGATGATCCACTGTATCTGTCATTTAGCTATCCTTCATTGTATATTATACATCTTTTTTTTTTCAGTTCATACAACTGCTGCTGTAAAAATCATGGTAAAATGTTTGTTTCGGTGCTCATTTTTGTTATTGTGTTGTCACAAATATTCTTCAGACAGAAGTGGAGTTGTACCAAACAAGGGTTTGTACATGTAATTGTAGTGGGCAGTGGGTGACGCTGTGGGTAGTTTGGAGGAATTTGTTTATCTATTCAGGTTGTATGTATTTTCGGCAGAGGAAGCTAATATTTGCTTTCTGGTTTGTTTGTTTGGTTTTATTTGGAGGGGGTTGTTAGGGTGAACATCTGTAAAATATAATTGGTTAAGCCTGAAATACTGTTCTTTTTATGAGTTTATAAATAAGTGGTAAATATTCTAAGATTGCTAATTAGCATTTACGTGTCTTACGTTGTACTTTTTTAGGTGTATTGTAAAGTTTCCTTTTTTACGTTACAGAATCGGGACCAAAGAATCTTTCATTTGAAATAGAGACTATAAATAGAGATCGATAGCTGCTAGAAATGTTTTGGGATATTTCCATGATAATAGTTACAATGCTCCCACTATAACCGTGTCCCATAAATATAGTGAACGCCTGACAGAGGATGTAATGTGTGCTCGGCATATGGATTACAGTGTGTACTGTATACTGAATTTAATGCGACATTAGCATGACCCCTATGAAGTGTACTTACATGTATGTATGCATGTGCAGGGGCCATCTTGTACTCTTACATTACAGTATGTACTGTATGCTGAATTTAATGTGACATTAGCATGACCCCTATAAAGTGTACTTATGTATGCATGTGCAGGGGCCATCTTGTACTATTACAAACATCATTCACGAGAGGTCACCATAGTGCTGTGGTCAGGAGAAACTCTTGTAGACCACCGATCTGCAACATAAAACAATTCAGTTGTTTCACTCATTGCAATACTGTAGTGCACAATGTATCGGACAGATTTATACACACTTGAATTAAATCTTCAAATTCTAATCATAGCATTATATGTTTTCCTTTTATAGTATATAGACAACAAAATTAAGAATTTTATTCCAGATATTGAATAGCCTTTCACATGAAGGATATTATTTCAAATGACAAATGACCTGTAATATTTTATTGTCCCTTCCATTGCCGTCCTTGTTTACTGTAAGCCTGATACCGATCAATTGTGAACAAATTTTAACCCAATGTTGGGGTTTTAGATTTATTTATGAACAAAAAAAATTACTGTATGGCTTTAATGCATGAAGTGTATGATAGACTGCATTTGATTGTACCGCAGCCAAACTATTCATGACGCAAATTCCATCGTATGAGTATTTGATGCATTGCTTTTGTGAATGGTCATGTGAATGAATAAATTGATTCAGAAATTAATAAAGCTTCCTCTTCTAGGTGTTCATGTCATTAATTTTTTTTTTTTGACTAATTTTTTTTTTTGAACAAAAAAGACAACACTGCAAACTCATCAAAAACATAACTCCCAGATTTTTAATTTCAACATATCAACTATTTATTTACAATGATCGTAAAACACACTGTTTCCAGATAAAAGCCAACTATGCTGCTCACTTATTACCATTCTTATAGGGGACAAATTAATCATTTTGGGGGACATTTTAGGTTTACGTCAGGTCACACTAAAATATCTTGTTCGTGTCTTACAAATCAATTCTCCCCCTCCCCCCCCCCAACAAAAAATGTGATTATCAACCACCCCAACCCTTCAAAATCAAACTGTATGTTTTGTTGGAATATGTTGGAGTGAGTACTGCAGTAGTAAACTGATCATGCACATGGAGTCAGGCATACCACCACAATCAGAGTCCAACAGTTTGGGTGTAGAGTTTACCATAATCAGAGTCCAACAATTTGGGTGTAGAGTTTACCATATGGTGTTGGATTTTGCAAGAGTGAGGAAGGGTCCTAGTAAATCATTTAAGGGGACTAGGGGAGGCTATTTCTGAATATAAAAATGGGTGCAAAACATAAACACTGGAGTAAAGTTGAGGGTAGGTCAAATCCGATATAAATTTGATTTATTTTAAAAGGGACATGGGACAGGCTAATCACATTGTGCCAACATAACATACGCATGCATGCACACGGGTAAACATTCCTATGTTTGAACAGCTGGCATAGCTTTTCAAAGAAGTAAAAGCGTGTATCCCCATTTAGACACGCATTGCCAGTGAAATGTAACAAACATTCCTAACATGTGAAAAGTCCTGTGACATTATGAAAATCACCTGTGGCGCAAACAATACCTGACTGGTTTTCTTTACACATTCAATCTGAACATCCCTAAATGACCTAGTTTGGAATAATTTAATGATACTGGCTAACTAGTTTATTATCTCTACTTTGTGGAAACTCTCGTCTTTTTATCCCAGGAGAAGTTGGCACCGTATGACTTGGGTCTCATGGTTTTGGCTGGGAGTTCCTCAATCTCATACCACCATCCTGCAAGGGGAAAAGAATATAGGAGGAAATCAAATTAATACATTTTGCTGAAATCTAAAAACAGAGAAGAGCTGACAGAATTAAGAGCAGGGCTAGATTAAGTGTTCCGTAGGCCCTAGGCACCAGTGTTCCTAGGCCTTACTACGCCCTAGGCACCAGCACCTATTTTGCAGCGCAGGTAAGAACTGGAGCCTCGCATTTCATGTTGATGCTACGCTGTGCTAAGCAAGCCAGGCCAAACTGTAGCTCTAAAAGCCTGTTGGCACCATGTGCTTCAGAACGTCAAACTTTATACGTAAATTCTATACGTTCATGTACATGCAGCTACATCAGTGACAGTTGGTGAAATCCAAAATTCAGAGAGAGATGCTAAAATGTTTAAAAACTTTTGTGCGTGCGTGCGTGTGTTTTATGCCACACTGTGGTATTTTTGTAGGCCCTCAAATTTTCATAGGCCCCCAAATTTTTCGTAGGCCCGAGGCACAGTATCTACTGTGCCTATTGGATAATCCGGGCCTGATTCAGAGCCCTAGCTAAAGAAGATGACAGAAGAAAGCCTCCGTCACAGAGTATGTGTACATGACTGTGTCATCATGCAATATTCAAGATGCCATTTTACTTTCAGTTTTCGCTGAAGAAATTAGCTGCTTTCAAATGATATTGACATATTCCAGATATTGTGGTCTTTTTAGCTCACCATTCTTCTCAGCAAAACTTGCAGCCTCTTCCTTGGATCCAAATGACAGTGCTATATTGGAAAGTGGATCAGCCCTGGATGAAAGAAAAAAAAAAAAAAGTTTTCTTAGTTTATTCAAACATTTTTAATTTTAAATTGCGTTCAAAAAGGACACATTCATACCACGGGAAAAATTGACAGTGGAGATACGTCAAGAAGATGCACTAGACTCTTCAGTTCCTTTCACACAATCCAAGTTCTCTGTGTTGGACCCGTTTAAACCCAGGGATTTCAGGAGCCCCTTTCACACTAATATTATAAAAATCTAACACGGCTTCTATACGGGTGAATTTCACCTTGGTCATCTATGCCTGACAGGTGTATAAGCTTTGTTGGACCATGTTTGAACAGACCTTATTCTGTTCATGGCAGACCCATGAGCAGACCTAGTCCAAACATTTGGGACTCTCAATACTGTGTATATGAGAGTCCCAAAATTTAAGGTACTGAAAACTTGCAATACAAGAAAATAGACTGGCACATGAAACAACCCGTCATCCCTTTAGTACTGCATCGGTCAAGGGTGTCAAAAGAAACATCTGGTACACGGTCTCTATTTCTACACATCACTCCATGGTCTGCCACCGGACCACTGCAGGGTCAATCTTATCAAACAGTTGGACATGTACCAGTCTAGTCTTAGACTTCAAATTGAAATCACTTGGCTTCAATCTCAGGTACAAAATGTTGAATAAAAGTGTTCTTTAAGAAATGAATTGAGACTTCAAACTTGGCTGGTGAATACCGAGGACCTTGTCATGGCCTCATGAAAATTTTGGAGAATTTTGTCAGCTAAAGGGTGAGTAAAGTTGACCCGAATTTGTTTTGCATGTTTTTCTGCACTCAAGGTCCCGGTCTGAGGCAGCTCCATTATTTCAGCACGGGTAGATGAGACAATAGTATGAAAATGCCTGATGTGAGACAAATGAATGTAAAGCTATGATTAGCGAGGTTAATTGTCTACACAAGGAAAAAGCATTGAAAGACCATAGAGTTTTTTGAGAGATAACTGGTGGAGAACGGAGCCAGTGTTCTGAAGTGATTGTGTCCAGGGTCGGCGTAGTACTTACGTGGATGCCCAGCCCATGAGGGGGTTCTCCCATCTCTCCCTGGTATCAAACTCCATCTTCCACTGGTGGGTCTTGTTGGTACCCGACTGCATGGCGTTCTTGGCAGGGATGAAGATACGGACCTTGCGGGTCTTGATGTGCTCCTCAGGGATGCCCGACACTGTGGTGATGTCCATCTGAAGTGAAGGCGATGTGACAGGTTTCCCTCATTGTTGGGAATTTACAATAGTGTGCAATATTGAAGAATTTGGGAACAAACTGATTCTTAGAAAAAAAATTCAGTTTGGTTTAGACTGTGCTGACATGAGTGGAGTTGCAAACAATTTTTTGGAACTCAGACAACATCTATATTTTTCCTACTTTAAAATGGAATTCTTTCCCACTGATAATAAACAAACATAGTATTATTCAGTATATTCACTTGAGCTTGTATTGACATGGCGTTGGTAAAAAACAAATGTTTTCAATTTTTTTTGGGGGGGGGGGGGTTTCTGGGCTATGTGTGCAAACAAGAAAAGGGCGCTTTTTGAACACTTTTGAAAGCCCAGTGGACGATTCACACCATGTGTGCATACTGATTCACGTATGCACTAAGTACGCACCAACAATTTTATTACGAATGTGCACAAAGCCATAGCGTCTTTGGGAAAGAGTTCCATATCCGGCCACCACGGCATATGCGCACCGCATACACTTCCTGACTCTTCAATATGGCTGCCTATACGATCGGATGTCCGAACGACATGTTGTGTAGTGTACCCAATTGAAAACAACTTTTCCTCAGATGTTTTCAATTTTGCCAAATCTTTAATGAAAACACATGGTGAGGTGAAATTTGTTGTTTGGTGGCGAATGTGTGGTGGTCGGATACGAAACTCTTGCCGCTTTTGAACAGCTATTGGAAACGCCTCCCCGAACCCAACCACGCCCCCAAAGTGGCCCAGCCTCCGCCGCGAAAGTAATGTCCGGAAACTGGACAATATGTTTAAATTCCATTTTCATGAGTAAACCTACGCTCTTTTCCTTCACAGTGTCAACTCTGGTTTCTTGTGCTCCCTCTTTTAAAGTTCTCCATGATGAAGTAGCGATGCACCTCCGAAAAATGCTTAAATTTGATGATTTTGATACACAGCGAAACAGCGACATTGTGTCGCACTGTTTACTAGTTAACTGGTGACCAGACGTATTTCTGATAAAGTTATCATTCATCTCGAATGGAACCAGTTAAGGAGTTCGCCACACTAAGTTGATAGGGCGCCCTCTTCGTCGTAAACATGTCGGCTGCTCGTGCAATCGAGGTAAATTTCTGGTCAGATTTTAGCGATTATTTCATTATTTTGGGCGGTGACTTGTTATGTTTTCAAAAATTGAGTGATGGATTGATGAGAAGATTTCAGTTTCGATTAAATGTAACAATTTGTTCCACTGTTTCTATTGATTTCGGCCGGGCCCGGGGGTGGGGAAAAAAGGGGGGGGGGGCATGCTTAAGGGGGAAGAGGGGGGTTAAGACTTTGGGGAGTTAGTATGGCCCTATTCACTCCCGTTATTTTAAATTGAATGATAAATGCCGGGCATGGCAAACTGACCTGCAAAACGGTTTGCATGGCTGGGGAAGGGGGGGGGGGGGTTGAAAGCCTGATTTGACAGCCAATTGGATTTGGAAAGAATGTTGCAACCTGGAGCCACTTTTTCTTCACATATCTCAATAAACATGATAAAGGTCAGTCATAATAGCAAAAGTGTTAAAGGACATGAATCTTGGACTGAGAAACATTTTCAATTTTGTTAGGAAATAGGGGCCTACTCTCCATAAACTTTGTACACAATCGCTGAAGTGGCGTCTGGATACTACATTCTTTCCCCTGCATGCCTCCAGTTCCTGCAGTCCCTACAAACATTTGTGAAATGCATGTATGCCTATAACTTGATATCTGTTGTCTTTCCTTTTTCTTACAGAGGATTCGGCCTCACATCCCACTGATCAAATTTCGCTTTGTCAAGGGATCTACTGGTACGGGTATATTCTTTCGTATTGGTATTTAAAAAAAAAAAAAGAGCATTTACGAAAGTGTAGAAGAAAAAAACACAATAAATGGAAATATAACGGTTTATGTGATATGAAATTTGTTATTTTGATTTCTTTACATCATACAAATTTTGAAAAGTTTTTAGTGTTTACATAATAAAAAAAGTATTCATGCAAAATAAAGATTGTGTAATTTTAACAATGGAGGTTGCTGACCAATGCCTTTCTAACAATTGTTTTATTCACTTTGCTTTTCAGGGTCAGTTGCCATTGGAGCCTCTAAGGCAAAGTCTAACTCCAGCACCTCAAATGTCGGCACCAGGAGAGGAGACAGCATAGAATTCACATCTTTGCCTCTAAAGTACAGGAGGCTAGCGTTAACTCCTCAAGAGGTGGATTACATCAATGTGAGTTATAGCTTGAAACTATATGTATCGCTCTTTATGTGTTCGTATCTGTTCACCCATTTGTCCCTCAGTCCCTGTACTCCATCCCCCCCCAAAAAAAAAACCTGCCTGTTACTCCCTGTACGCCCAAAACTGCCCCAGCCCTATATGGTTTTGTGGATTTGAGTAAATACAATATTAAATTCACATCACGCAGACGCAAAGTCCATCATATGAATAGTTTGGTTGCAGTACCCGCTGCTATATCAGATTTGAACCAGCCAGCCAACCCCGGCAAGCTCGGCGGTGGAGTGGTAAGACGTCTGCACTAGTAAGCAGGAGGTCGTGGGTTCGTTCGAGTACAAACTGAATAGTTTGTGAATTTTTCTCAGGCACACTCGGCACACAGTGTTCATAAAATACGTCGGTGAAGAGCAAAAGCATATATTGAATTTACATCACCCCGACACAATTTCCATCTTCTTACAGTGATATACGTAGTACACTTTACATGAAACCTGATGCCCTGAGAAGAATGTGCCATTTGATTCCTACAAATTTGTAGATTTTGAGGAATTTTCGTCTATTCTTTTGAAAACGAAAATTAAGAAAACATTTTTTAAAAATTAAGAAATTCATTAAGAGCTTAATTTAGAAAATCCTCAGAGTGTAAGGTTATTATTTAAACTTGCGTTCCTCGTGCTTGTCAACCCAAAAACATCCTGTTTTCCTTTTTTGGACCTCTGCAACCCTCTGAAAGAAAAGTTATTTGTTTTGGGCACAAACAGATCCGCTTTGCAAGCAGACTGGCTGTCGGTCTGCACATTATCGATACTGATTGTGGGGCAGGAGCCAGCCTAACCCACGAGAACGGAATTATTTTCTGGCAGTCAGTTATTCAAAATTGTAAAGTAGTCATCAATAACTAAACATGGGCCTTGTTTTGTCGGTCGATGTCTCATTCAAAGAGACAAAACCTTTGTACTTTTGTATTTTTTTTGCACTTTAGAAAAAGAACAATTTTTTTAAATTTTTTAACACTCAAAAATAGCATGGAGAACGCAAAATTTGTTCTTTTTGGTTCTGAATGCATTTTTTACTTATCTTGCCACTTTGATTTTTTGCTTTTCAAAACAGAGAGGAGGTCCTGACTAGATTCAGGAGTGATGCAGCACATCATTACCCAGAACATCTCAGCTTGATTCCAGCATGTTCTCCACAACAGTTATATACTGGCCTAGGGTGGCTAGGGACATTCAGTAACGTGGACTTTCCATTGGCTGTGTCAAGGAGTGAGTCATTTATTCAGCTCATTCCCAAAATTGCTTCTTGATCCTTCACTAATTTGAACAAGAGTGGTATTTTTTTCAGGTGGGGGTGTTATTTGTCATAAGGTTGTGTAAAGCTGCTATACCTTGATAGCGACAGGTGCAAAGGTTAAAATAGTAATTACAAGGTTCACAATGGTCATTTGGTTACCAAATAATAATCAATGTTTTCAGGTCTTTGTTCGGACTCAAGAGGTAAACATAAGTGCTGCATCTGCACAGGTGGATGGAGCTAGTTAAGCTTAGGAGGATCTGATAATGTTACGGTGTTGGGATGCTGGATCTTGATTGGGAAAATGTGTAACCTACGGGCTCCGTGCACATGTACCCCTTTCAACAGTAAGAAAGGGAGAGTTGGGGGAAACCACTGGGAGAGACATTCGATGCTGCCTGATGCTTACGCAATTTCAAAGACGCTGTGGTTTTGCGCATATAAAATCAGAAGTGCGTACTTCGCGCTATATGCATGCAAACCAGTACAGGCATGTGGTGTGTTCCATCCATGGAGCTCTTGAAAGTGGTTAAAAAGCGCCCTCTCTGTTTGTGCATGGAGCCCATAAGGAAATGGTTGGCACGTAATACATGTATGTTTCTGCCTCCCTTTTGCCCCCCCTTGTGCCTCCTTTGGCCGACCAAAGGAGTGCATTGAAGGATGACTGTCGCCACTGCTGTGCCTCCATTTGGCGTTGGTTGCCGTAGGTTGCACAGGGGAAGCACAGGGGAGGCAGGCAAGTTGCTCAGTGGACGCACAGGTCCACAGCTCATAGCTCGACATGAAAATGCCCGAAAATTGCAGTTTTGGTGGTTCAAGGGAGGCACAAGGATCGCTGGAGCAGTTACATAGAAATCAGATTTTTTGGGTTTAGGCGACCATTGAGCGTCCTGGCCGTTTTTTTGGTTGCTTATATGTGATACAAAGATTGCAGCCCTGTGTAAAGGGGGCCTTAACAGTAATTTTCCACCCATATCGTGGTGCCAGGTCACAAAAAGAATTGCGCATAAAAGACGTATCTCACTGATATATAGACATCCAAAACCAATTCCCATTAACCTTCATTCATGTACAAAATGCTTTCCTGTCTGTTCAGTACCTTTGGCATTTGTGTGCTTCGGTGTGCTCATGTGAAGTATACTGCTGTTTCCTGTGTACTTTGTGTATTCACATTCAGTTGACAGTGCAATACGTCTGTTACGTTTCCACTGAAAGCAACATTATTGGCAACAGTAACACAGGGTTGAAGACGTCACGGGGGGGGGGGGGGGGGGGGGGGGACAGATATATTGGCTACCTCTCGGAACAGGTGCATGTACCCTGAAGGCCAATTTACATGATTTACACATGCAACTTTGTTGCGCGCCAATGTCATGTGTTTTATAAGTACGCACAAATTATTGAGAAATTAGTCCCATGACTTTGTTTAAATGTTAACAACCCAATTGATTTGGGCATATCATATAACTGTAACAATGACGCACAACAAATCACTTTCATGTGTAAATTGGCGTTTACAATTTTTAAAATAAATTGTGTTAAATTGAAAAGGTTCAATAAACTGAGTTGTTTGAAGGGGACATGGGTGGATCGGAGAAAAGTCTGACATCGGGCACAAGCTCTGAAATTGTTGGTCAAGACCAAGCACAAAGAACACATTGACATGTAAAAATAGAGTCTGTGTTATATGAATGGGTTTATCTATCCCCCATGTTGTTTTTATTTGTACAAATAATTTAATTTCCGTTAATGTGAAGCATTTATGCTGTATAAAAAATATGCAAGTGTATAATAAAAATTCCATTTAGCATATAAATTCTGCTGTGTGGTGTTTCTTTACTTTGCCGTGAAATTTTCCCCTTGACATGAAATTATCAGCACACAAAAGGTAACAAACATGAAAAAGAAAATTGTATTAATAACATTCCTCCCTTTTACCAATAAATATGATCGGGTAATAATGATCCCAGTGTCAATCTTTGTAAGCAATGTGTAAAGGAATAAAGTTGAATTTCCAAGAAATTTAAGTCCTCTTAAGAAATAAGTTCTCTTAAGAAATATGACGATATGATACAAGTTATGTTCCATGATTGCTTTTAACCCTAACTCCCTAGCATGATTTACTAGGAACCATACCCATCCTGGCAGATTCCAACACCATATGGGAAACTGCACACATATATTTCTGACTTTGATTCTGGAGGTGTGCCAACCCAATGTAAAAGACTGTCAGTTTAGGGGTACTGTACCCATCCTGACAGATTCCAACAAAACATGCCGTTGGGGTTTGATGGGTTGAGTTCTTAGGGTAAATAAAGGGTGAATTTATAACTGTTTCTCGGTTTGAAGCAATATGGGCACTTGGGAGAAACTCTCCATGCCATTAACACAATTATATAATTGAATAATTAAGATAAAATTGAATGGTTAAAAAAACTGGTCTCACTTGATCCAGTTCAGTAAGCATGTCACTAGTAGAAAAGACAAGATTATTTTAAATAATATGAACTCCATCCACCAATTTGCACTTAATGTCAATCCAAAACATCATTGCCATTTTCTTCTGCGAGTCCATGCCCAGAAGTATTCCTCTAATGAAGATGCCTTTTAAACAGATTCAGTCCAATTTATAAGCAAGTTCGGACTCGATTTACAATTAACCATGGTTCAACTAACTTCACTCAAAAAGAAGGATGGTTGGACTACTCTAGATGACTATTTGAAACCGGACCACAGTTCACGGTTCCATCACTGGTTACCAATAGCCGTGCCCTTCATAAAGCACAGCAGGGAGCCAGGACCAAGAAGTTTTGTGCTGACGTTTTGACCATCGTTTGACTAGAGGCGTTCGCATGTTGCTATTAATGCGCAGGCCTAAGTTACGTCACAACTTAACCGCTGGCGGACTAATGGTCCTTGCCAAAACTGTGTCACTTGCATGCACAAACCACTGTTCACATGCGTGTCCTTCAATGGCTGTCATGAGAAGGAGATACAGCGCCCCCTACAGTCAGCCTTGCCCACTAATGGGCAACTTACAACAAGTCGGTGCATGGTCACAGTGCTCACACTGTTACAGCGGCTGGGGTCTTGGTCACCAGTGTTGTACTCGTGGAGGCGTGCATGGGGTTGGTTGGCAGAATCTTGATAGGCAGATTCCAGACTAGCGTGTCGACATTCAGATTCTGTGGTCCCTGCCACAGGGCACTCTCTGATTGGTCGGCTGGTATCACATGATCAGGCAGCGGCTCCTTGGCCGTGATGAACTCAAAGTGGAGCCTCCATTTCAAGCAAACTGAAAGAGAAAAAAGGTGGCAAAGTTGACTCTTCAAACCTTTATCTTTAGTAATGAACAATACTTAGCTGTCTTGTAAGATGGAAAAAAAAACTTTCTCCTTGTTGTTAGACATCGATTTTTGTCATAAGGAGGTACATTTGCCTGTTTAAATATTAGATAATACTCTTAACTTTGTCAACGTCGCAACAGTTCAGTCAGAGTTTGGCCAGCAGTGCATTTTGCCCTGGTTTCTTGGAAAACTGCAAGATCTAGATTGTGACAGCTATTAATTAGTGTAATAATTAAGCGGTCACAGATACCTATGTCTGTTATGAACCCTGGAGTGACGTGGAGTGGGATAGGCAGGACCATGTGTGATTTGCTCATGTGAAGGCAGAATTCTTGGTGTCGGCCGTGAGATGACATGGATACACCCTGATGAGGCTTGCGTCGACATTCCTCTGCTATGTGCTCCTCGCTTTGAAGAACCACAGAATACTGAAACGGAAAAGAAAATATAAAACAGACACTTAAATGCCAATTCGAAATAGAAACCAGTGCACGAAAGTTGTTATGTCCCATATTTCGAAGCTGCTTTGAGTAGCCAATGGCAGTAGAGGCAGAATCACAACGTCTGTGCTGATGAAGATTTGAGTTTCTGGTCGAAAATTTCAGGTACAACAATTTGTGTTGAGATCAAAATGTTAAGACAAGATTTGAAATCTAATCACGCGAACATATGTGCTGATCATCCTGTTCTTCACTGAACAACATGATCTGCCATGAGTCTCTTGTGGATGCTTTCACGTATCTCTCTTTTTCGATTTTAGCCCTTCACCCCGAGTGACTTTCAGCCCTGTAATAGAGTGTGTAAGTCTCGCCAATGCACATTCACTTTTTATATGAACGTCTTGGTACCAAACACTGAAAAAGTCTAGTCACAGACTCCCGTTTCTGAATTTACCCAACTGTTATCTGCGTAATCCATTGGATGGAAGTTGAGGTCAACAATTTTTTTCAATTTCATAATAGTTGTCAATTCACAATATTTTCAATATGTTGTAAATTGTAATGCTTTATTTTCAATCAAAATACCCATGTATTGCCTTGATTGGATGAGCCCAGTTAGGACACAAAATAAACACACACAAAATAGGACCTAACACACATTGTAGATCCTGGGCCCAGTCTTTTGGGCTCTACTTACCGTTAGCGAAAATTCCCTGCTTTCTATAGCAGAAAATTATGTACTTACAGTAAGCTTATTTCACGGGTTAGCGTGGAATTTCGACTTCTGCGCATACATACATCCCGTAACTAAGGATTCTGTGCTTACAGGGTTAGCACAGAATTGATCTGCTGGCCTGCTTAGCACAGAATGGTGATCGTAAGTACAAAATTCTGTGGTTAGCAGAGCCAAGAAATTGGGCCCATGGTACCCAGGGGTGCTATTTTCTCGTAAAATCTGACAGGTTTTTGAGGTCAACTTACATGCTCTATGGGAAAATTCCATCAAAAAATGTCAAATAGTGCCTACTTTGAAATATTGTCTACTGTTCAAAAATAACATCTACTATTCCTGCATGGCGTCCATTGCTACAAACCCACCTGAATGCATGGGACCGTGCAGCCTGCTGGGAACTCAATGGTACCAATGATGTCTTCTCCCAGCTTGTAAGCAGGCTTGAACAGGCAGAACCGTGCCACGGAGCCATCCGAATTCTTAATGTTATAAGAATCTGTGAATGTTGAAATAAAGACAAAATACTAATGAATTGCAGTTTGATTTAACATCTGAGGCCACTCCAATTTTATTAGTCGTTTTACGTATTTTGTAGGTGCTGAGAATGGTCGTCAGGCAGGGGAAAAAAACACCCTGTATTTTCACAATGGTACGACCTTCACAATCGATGCGCCCGCCTCGGCATACGCGAGCCATGCGGATCTCTTCTCGGCAGAAACAGCAGCCATCGCCCGCGAGCGTGGAAACCCAGAATTTGGTGATTTCTTCACTCTTTGTTACTCTGTAACTTCATTAATTCTGCTTAAGTATTGGATTGAAATTTTCACAGATGAGAGATAAGATATTAGAATGGACTGAAAAAAAGTGTTATTGGTTTGTTCTTTTTAATTATTCGGATCAATGTTTCGAGATATCTGTTGCCAGGGGAAAAAAATTAAAATAAGAAATATGTGTTTCCAATTTTTTGTTTTCTCCATTTTTCAACAATTTACGTCGCCGAAATCCATAAAACAACTAATAAAATTGGAGTGGTCTCAGCCAAAGTATCAGAAACACTGTTTTCTCAATTGTTCTCTCACAAACGCTTCCCTGCAACTGTGCTCTGAATTGTTAAACGTATTCTTTCAAATACTGATATAGTCCTCTTTGCGTCTGATTTACTGGCTCAGCTCCTTGACTGTCACTTGTGAATGAGACTTATTTAAGTCTCACTTTGGCCCCAAAAATTGAAAAAGGAATACCCTGTTATGCCAAATGGGCTAAATATGGCCACATGCATGACGTAACTTCCAGACAACAGCCATTCTGAATTGATTGAACAGAACATTTTGTAAGCTGGGACACTCTTTACTAGGCTTGTTTGTCTTGGTTTTTTTTCAGTGATAAAAACAAGGGTAGGATGGACACCAGTGTTGTAGTCGAGACCGGATAGTCCGAGACCGAGACCAAGACCGAGACCTGAAGATTCGAGACCGAGACCGAGACCGAGACCAGCCCCTTCAAGGCGGACCGAGACCGAGACCAATATGGTCCGAGACCGAGACCGAGACCGAGACCGCTGATAATAAAAAACAATAGTCAAAATTAAAAAAACAAGACACGTTATTATAGTTGAAAAATGTAACCTTTCTATTCACAAAGAATACAGACCAAAATTTTGACCAGTGGCAGTGTTGACAAATTGATACACTGACACCTTACTTGAGCAAAAAGTAGTTACACTTAAAAAATATGGGCTTTGACATGTTGTCTACACCCAATCGTGACAAAAGTAAAAAGTTAAAGGCAGATGCTTCTTTATCTGTTACAGGAACTCGGATCCTAAACTCCACAGTCACCCCCTTGGTTTCAGCTATGACTTCTAACGGATATTTAAAGATGCAATTTTAATTTTACATTGCTTCTTTTTTCCTAAAATAAATTTAGGACTTAACTTCTAACAAGACTTGTGTACTTGATTTTAAAAAATGGGAGCTAGAAAATGTTGAATTAATTTTTAAATTTTTGTCATAGAATGTGGACTTGTACATGTAGACCCACAAGTTGCGAAGTGGTAGCCAGAATGTGCCAGATATGGATTTTTTTTTTTTTTCTGAACGGGACTTTTAATTTTTGAGGAATAATGGGGTACTTTAAAATGAGCAGCCAGAAAATGGGGTCTTATCATACACTCTCATGGCAACAGCGAGTGGTAACTGGTAAGAGTGTGTGAGTTCAAAGCTGGAAAATCAGGTAGGAAAATTTACTTTTTCTTACTGTCCCAAATTAAAGAGAACATTGTGTGGGGTCGAAAATATAACTAATTTGAAGCACCTCATTTATTATCAGAATTCAAAATGCAAGTGATTACGCCCACAGGGGTGGGCTAAACTACACAATCCCCGAAAATGGTTGACCCTTATTGCATAAATTGTTACAAGTTTATACTCTGCTTTATATGGCCGACTCAACAGATAAATGCCGAACTTGTTCCAAATCGTTCAGTGACTGGTACTGCTGCAGCTTTACATGTACTTTGGGGACTTTCCAATGTGCAGTCGAGTCCAAACCGACCGCGATATATAACAAGCTTGATCTACAGGCTAGCAAATGTTTTAAATAACAACGGTACTGAACGAAGTGAACACAAAGTAATCGATCGAGCTGTAAAAGCTACATATTGCCAGTCTCGACCCGAGACCAGCCAAAATATCGAGATCAAAGGGGACTGAGACCGAGACCAAGACCGAGACCACAGCTTCCGAGGCCGAGACCGAGACCGAGACCAGCAAAAAGTGGTCTCGAGACCGGTCTCGAGACCGAGACCGGTCTCGAGACCTACAACACTGATGGACACCTACTTGGGCGTTTCCTTGAGGTGACTGTGTTCAACACTTGGATGGCAAGATCAAGGAGAGAATTCTGGGTTCTCTCTTCGGCAAGGAAGGGATTACTGGAGGCAGCCTGGTCATCTTGTTCCAGTAAGCTGGTGTCACCAAGACCTGAAAAACAAAAACAACCAATGTTACGAAACGAGTAACCACAATAAGAGACCATCGTTAAAAATCGATAAAAAAAAAATCAACTTTTCTTGAAAATGACAGCACACCGGGTGCGATGATTTCACAGGATGCTTGAGACTATTATTCACTTACAGTCCAGTAAGGTATTTCATAATAATTTAGTAGTTTTGTTTTTTGATTTTTGCAAATGTTGTATATTACCTTTAAAATAGATGAAGAAACCAGAGATGTAAAATGAACAAGGAATGAGAACGTGACTGCTACTATCATTCTTACAACAGGTCCATCATCTCACCGTAAAGCACCAGAACTCTGAAGGGCACTCGAAGTAGTTTGATGGGGCAGTTGACTCGCTGCATGCCTATGGTGACCTTGTAGGAATACTTGACGGCTTGACCACGATATGAGGGGGGTGCGTCGCTGGGAATGGTCTCACGATAAAAGACTGCGACAATGAAATTATAAGGCATATAGACTGAAATAACTTGCACTGTTCTTGCATTATGGAAATTGAAGTATTTTTTATAAACACCGTATACTCAGTGTTGTCCAGAGTCGTTGTGAGAAAAATTCACGAAGTACTCGGGTGGGACTCGAACCCACGACCTGCTGCTTACTAGTGCAGACAGCTTACCACTCCACCACTGAGCTTGCCGGAGTCCGCTGGCTGGTTCAAATCTGATAAAGCAGCGGGTACTGCAACCAAACTATTCGTGAGATGGGATTTGTGTCGGGTAACGTAAATTCAATAATGACTTTACATCACCCTGATGCAAATTCCCTCCTTTTAACAATAGAAACCAATTGGAAATGTCAATGCTTTCATCAACATAATCTCCAGTCAAATTGGGGCAAACCAACAAGCTAAGTTTGCTGTTCCCAAAAAATTTCAATAACTTACATGTTTTTCTTTCACCAGGTTTCAGCTTCAGATCACAGAAAAGAATCTTGGGCTCCGTTGAGAGAATGCAGTTGCCTTTTTCTCCTAACGAACACAATTATTGAGGGAACTTAGTTAATTTTTAATAAAACCAAAACACTGAAAGCAAATTTGTTACTGAATTTATATAATTCCCTATGCTTTTTGTCTTCCTGAAGACCAAAGGGTGCAGATAGAGAGGCAAGTTGTGGTAAAGTAGCTTGCCCAAGGACACAGCAAATGGCCAACAGCTGTCTTCGAACCTCTGACCCTCTGATCATGAGTCACAAAAACTAACCACTACGACACACTCCTTACCGTAAAAAAAGGGAGAACAACAGTTAGGTTCTGGGGGTCACTAGGGAATGGGCGGGGGAGGGGCGGGGGTTGCTCAAGGTTCTTCTTACCCCTGCTAGGAGCCAGGCTTGTGTTGACGGAACTCTGCAGCATCTCCAACTCCTCGGACTTTTCGTCGGCGGGCATCTTGGGCAGGATGACTTTAGAGCCACTGATGTGACACTGACAATGTAGCTGGGCACTGGCCCAAGCGAGGGATTCCACACTGCTTGGGTTGGGAAAATACAAGAGGAAAAGGCGAATTGGTTTAGTCAGTTAAAGGATGGTGTATATGAAAGAGTTCAGCGATATGCATTTCAGGAGAAATTTGGAATCAAATCTATCAGACATGACCAGTGAAGTGACCGGTAAGCTAGTACTTTTCTCACCTAGTGCTACTAGCAGAACATGTGAACGTAACGCTGCATTCCAAGACCTCCCTAGCAAGGAATGTTAGGCCTCTCGTCAAATGTGCGCTGACTTCAATCATGATGACAAGGGGGGCTCAGTATCAACTAAGGCAATATCTGCATAGAAACGTGAAATGGAAGAATCTTCAACAGATGTAATAAAATTATTTCACAGATTATTCATAACATGGAATTTGCGTCAGGATGATGAATTAAATACAGGGTTTTTGGCCCTTCACCGACGTATATTTTATAAACTCTGTATACTCAGTGTTGTGCTGAGTGTTTGCGACATAATTCACAATCTACTCAGGTGGGACTCGAACCAACAACCTCCTGCTTACTAGTGCAGACGTCTTACCACTCGGCCACCGAGCTAGCTGGGGTCGGCTGGCTGGTTCTAATCTGATATAGCAGCAGGTACCGCAACGAAACTATTCATAACATGGAATTTGCATCGAGATGATAAATTCCAAGCTGATGAAATTTTGAAAAAACTTTGTGGAAAGTATTTCAAAATAACAGATCTCATAGCGAAAGTAGCAGAATTACAGTTTATATATACGCCTGGTTTTTAGGTTGACTTAGGCAAATCTTCATTGTTAACAAAAATATGGGCACAGGAAAATGTGTATTTTTCAAAATTTCAATTAATCTTTGAGCTGGTCTAGTCTCGGGCAGTAAAACAGTTAATGTTATTGAGCCTTCTTCTTTATTCATAAAAGTAATCTTTCATTTTCAGAAACATTGATTCACAGACCTAATACAGGTGGCTACCAGACTACCCAGTCACGAAATTGTGCAGTGAAGGGGTAATAAGTGTTCTTCAGAACCCCTTTATTTGTTCAATTTGTACACAGTTTTATCGTTCCAAAACAACTTCTAGTTGGAATACATTAATTAAGCTGACTTATGGGACAGTTTGCACTGCACTAAATCCTGATTCGTAGCCCTAACTGTCCCACAATGCTATGCAACAAATACTGTTAAAATTGCACACTTCCGATCTGTCCATACCGCACCGTAGTATCATGTCGAACTCTATGTTAGCCTGAGGAACTCCAGACCTAACAGTAACACTCATGGCATTGGGAAAATCCGAATTTCTCCATGACGGGCATGAGCATCATGTGGGCTGGGGTAATACTCAAGCTATTTTCTATAAGTCAGAGTGGCATCCGATATAGACCAAGCAACGGAAGTTTTTTCCAAAAACATAAAACATGGTAATTCTCATGACACATGATTAAGCCATGGCTTAACCATGGAGGAATAAGAACACACTCCTCCATCTGTCCATGGCTTATTCAAAACAAAATGCAAGAACCATACAAAAATGGGAGATTTTTGAGACGCCTGGTGGCCCATAAATGTGGCCTATTATTTACTGGACTGCCTCCGTAAACATAGGCCACACATCCACATGTACAAAAATCGTGTCGACTTTGCCAAATTTTGATTTTCACATTTAGGCTTACTTTGTAGGTTTTTTTTGCTTTAGAAGCATTCTCACCCTCTATATAGGCTAATCAGAAAGTGCTGCCTTTTTCAGATGTATATTTTTCGTGAAATTTCCAGATTCATTTTTACACGTTTGCGTATCAAAATTTCAACATGAAATTTCACAAAAATTAGACATCTGAAAAAGGCAGCACTTTCTGACTAGCCTATAAAGAGGGTGAGTATGCTTCTAAAGCAAAAAAATCCTACAAACTAAGCCTAAATGTGAAAATCAAAATTTGGCAAAGTCGACACGATTTTTGTACATGTGGATGTGTGGCCTATGTTTACGGAGGCAGTCCAGTAAATAGGCCACATTTATGGGGCTAGTTGGCAGCAAACACGCACACCAGTCATGCCAGTGCAGTGTATACAAACCATCGAGCTATTTTGAGCTCAAAAAAGCGTCTCAAAAATCTCCCATTAATTTATTTAAAAAGCGTTCAGTTCGGTACACTAATTAAAGGCTTCCTAGTCCTACGTGTTGATGTTACACGATACGGTGTATCAAGTCCCACATGCACACAGCAGCTGCAGGTACTGCACTTCAGAAAACGTACACGTCATTCACTGCATGTCAGTTTTGTTCTGAGAATCATTGTTGACGTCATATCCACAAAGCAGTTACTAAATATAGATGTGTCACGTGGACGGCCTTTTTTTTTGGGACGTGAATGAACAGCTGATGGTTAGGCTGGTTCCGTCGTGAAAACTTCGTGTGTTTGAGCAGTAAAAACTAGAGGCGGGGACCAGTTCACTTGCGCACTTGTGTGTTTACAACACTGATACAGATGAATGGAAACGCACACGGAGTCGGTCGTCAGACGGAAAACTGCCGGCAAATAGTACAAATTTAACTTGAAAAAGTGTCATTTTACTGTAGAATTGGACTACGTGTTTTAGTGTTCGAGCAGGACCAAACGTGTTTAGATTGTCTGCCGTGAGTACATTATTGCATCAAAATTAAAGTTGTGTTTTAGAAGTTAGAAAGTCTGCTTTTTCGACACAGTATTCACTTCAATCAGTGTGTTGTGGAATTGAAACCACATGGTACATGATTAGACCGCAGGGTTTCTTTGTCGTGAACTTCCTGCTTCGATCCCATCGCCTAGTCTAGTCAGCACACGTCCACGTACGTACACATCGCACCCACGGTATGGCCAGTGCGAAGTCGGAAGCAGACCAGCAGGAGCTGAGTATGGGGCATTTTGGGGTGCCAGAATTTGGCTGGAGAGTACCGCTCGACCACGAGTTTCCGGAGAAGTGGCAAACACTGAAGCGTCTGAGATTCCTTCATATAGTGAAGCTCATTCCCACAATATACAGGTGTGTACAAATTCCTTCCTCCATGGTAAAATGTTATTAAACATGTTAAAGGCCAGTTTCTGATTGTTCTTTGAACTTTTTAAGGCACAATTGCAGAATACCCCGCCACTCAATCTATCCACCTCGTAGCCGGCTACGAGGTCACGGTTGATTGACCTCAATAAACATTCTCAGTGCTACTTGTATGTGCTATGCGTCATGCTCCATCCATTGCACTCCCACTTCGTGACTGCGTAGCCGCCAACAGGGTAGTTGGTTTGGACTTAGAATTTTTTCAGCAACTCCCATTCATTTTGTGTTGCTTCGTTCTCAAGCATATTCAAGGGGACTCCCACTCCGTAGCCTCGTAGCCGCCAACAGGGTGGTTGGTTTGGACTTAAAATTTTTTCAGCAACTCCCATTCATTTTGTGTTGCTTCGTTTTCAAGGGGACCCCCACTCAGTCATGTCAGTATCCGCGTAGCTGGCAATGGACTTGAATTGTTTCTTTTGCAGTGATTCCAACCTCGTAGCCAGTGATTTTAGGGGTGTATTTCCGAGTGGCGGGGTATTCTGCAATTACTCCCTTTTTAATTAAGTTAATTTTATCGCCAAATCAATTTGAAAAAATTAAATAAAATGCAAACATCCATGAATTGAATGAATATAGTTTTGAACAATTTTAATAAAATGATTATGGATGAAGGAGACAAAAAAATAGCATGTTGGAAAAGAATGTTGCATCCTGACGCCACTTTTTACAATTATCTCAATGACCGGTCAGCCTTGGCAAAAATGTTGACAAACATTTCCCATTTTGTTAGAAAATACTTTAAAAATGCACTCGGCTCTCCATAGACTTTGTAGTTTGAAAACAACCAAACAAGTGGCATCCGGATACTAAATTCTTTCAGTAAGTTTATACTTATTTTTTAAATGGCCGCCACTTTGACTCAGGAAATGACATGCCAGCTTTAGGCGAAGTAAAAAAACAAACATGTTTAGCGTCCCCGCCCGCTTCCTTTTTAGAGGCCGCCTCCTTTTTTTTTTTTTTTTTTTTTTTTTTAAAAGACAAAAATTGATAAATTTTAACGATCTCTGCGCAGAAGAGATGTTCGGTTCTGCATAGTTACATCATTTTGGTCTCATTTTCTGTTGCATCTTGCCCATAAGAAGCCAATATGTCATTTCCTGAGTCCAAGTGGCGGCCATTTTGAAAAAAAGCTGGTAACCATCTTGAAAAATAGCCCGGCCGCGTTGTCTTGAAAAATGTGTCGGGCGGCCATTTTGAAAAGAAAAAAAAAAAAAAAAAGGGCCTCCTCCTTCCTTTTTGTCAAAGAGGCAGGACGCTAAACATGTTTTTTTTTTTATTTTGCCTTATATGGACTAGATGCAACAGACAAAGAGGCCAAAATGAAGTCACTGTTTAAAATTTATCATTTTTTTGGTAAAAAAAAAAAAAGGAGGCGGCCTCTAAAAAGGAAGCAGGCGGGGACGCTGAACATGGGTTTTTTTTTATTTGGCCTTAAATTTTAAGTTAAAACCTCCACTTAAAAAAACGATATGGTAGGGAAATTGTGAATTTGTTGTGGCTTCATATAAATTCTCAAGGAAATGAATTTTATATTCCTTACCACATTGAATTTGTTCCTGCATGAAACTATGAAAATAAGCCTGCAATTGGCTTTTTGGGCTGTCCCAGATGAAATCAACGTTGTGTACGTTATCGTTGATTTCAACTGAATCAAATCAAATCAAAATCAGTAAGGTTAAAACTAAGTTTTAAATCAAAACTATTAAGTTTTAAAGCAAAACTAAGTTTTAAACTAGATTTTGAATCAAAATCATATCAGCAATATTGTGCACTGATTCTGTGCATCATGGTGGTATGATTTTTTTTCCCCTTAAAGTTCCACGTCTTCTTTTCTGAACAGTAATAACACAGTCCTCAGAGAAACAAAGTTCATTATCTGATTCTGATAAGAAAAGCACACAATTGATCTGTTTGGCAACTTGTGTTACATAATCCGCAGAGCCAGTCTCTCCATACAGATGTTATCCTATGGGATTAGTAAGATTTTTATCACTGGCCATTTGCCATGTGTTGATAAGATGTACTTTTTTTTGAAGAATTGTAAATGTTACATTCAGACTCTGCGTAATGAAGTCCAAATAGTCTCAGAAACTTAATTTGACCCTTCAGTAAAATCTGGGGTTTAATTAACAAATCCTGTCTGAAACTTAAAAAAGGTCAGTTTGTGAAGTCCAATACTCAGCCTAAATATTCCTTTAGAAAAATTGCTAAAAGCATATTCAAACATTCCTTGTTGTGGACTAGACAGATTATTGGAATATCCTTATTGACAGTTTAGATTTAAATGGTAAGTGGGGCTGTTAATTGCTGGGAAGTAACAACAGTTTGCAATATGTTTTATCATTAGACTTAGTTTTTTTTCTAAGCAAATGTTTTTCAGGCTGAAAATCTTACAAAAGATTGTTTGCTAGATTGTGTAACTTAAAACTTTAATCTGTTAAGATATGTAGCACCCTGTTATACAAATTGAAATTGAAGTGAAGGGTCCTACCATAGAGTAAGTTCCTTGCTTAATTAAAAAAAACTAATTTAGTTTCGGGAGATTAACAAGCAGATGAATGCACATACGTCTATGGTGGACCATGGAGCTATAATGGGTGGACATGGTAACCAAATCCGCACTCGGCAATTTTTCATCTTATCAAAACATCGTAAAGCATGGTGCTGTAAAAAATTCTCAAAAATTTGCATTAATTTCAAAACAAGAACTTTTCTTTGATTTTGTTGGTACCCCGCTATGTTTTTGCAAGCGTTTGGCGTTCTTGCATAAAGGCTTAGCTTATTATTTTAGATCGCTGTCATACCGTAAATGCAATCCTCTTTTTATTTTGGATTGATTAGCCAATGAAAATAGTCAAAGCACTATTCAGGGCCAGACGTTTATTGTGCATGCAAAAAAACTAGATGTGAGAAAACATGTTGTCTAATTTTTTATATTTTTTTGAGTTCCTATGCCCTTGCATACTTGATCTACGTGTACTCCTTGCAGGTGTACACACATGTTGATTCTAATGAAGAAGCTGTTCACCGTCGTCTGTCTAGTATTAACAGGAAACACACTTTAAATGGATCCACTGTTAAAATATTTGCTACATGTACATGTAGCTCCATGATGGATCACATGCTTAAAAAGAACTGAAGAACACAGTTTGTTATTAGAGCTTTAGTCATTCACAGACAGTCTACACTACAGAATAGGTACAGAAATGGTGGCAAACATAGGCCAAGAAAACAAACAAACAAACATGTGCTTCCTATTTCCCTACCCAACTTCAATCATGCAGAACCTTAATCTTTTTATTTGAAAAAATAATTTATGATGCTACAAAACAATGTAGCTGCCCCCACCCAAGTTCTTAGCGACATCGTAATGCATTGTTTGTAAGTTGTTCGGCAGTGCAGTTTTGCCGCACCGTGCAGCAAAGCTTATCAACAGCATAGCAAATGCAGAATGAAAAGTAAATTCAAATACTAAGTGTAATGAATGCATGAAAAGAAATGTTTGAAAATTTAAATACTTATCGCACCATTTTCCCACCCTATTTTTCTGGATTTAAATATTTAAAGCAAACCAACCAGTTTAGGAAAATAGAGCAGAGTTCTTAGTAAAATAATTTGCCTCTGAATTAAAATTAAGAAAACTACCAATAAAAAAATTGCTAAGAATTGACAAACTTTGAAAAGTCTGTACAAAGTTTGTTGATTCCTAGCAATTTTCTGTATCAGAATTTATTTCACTTTGAAATATATGAGTCTTGGTTTTTTTTGTACAAAATCCTGAGGTTTGCTGTGAAAGAAAATGACTTATTGATGACTTCTTGTTCAAAAGAGGAATTCCAGTTATTCCATTTCATTTGGGGGCTGAGTCTTGAATTTATTTGATCAAACTAGAAGGATTCAGCCCAAATCATGTTATTGAGACATTAAAAAAAGATGAAGGCCAAAAATATACATCACGTATTGCTTGTATATAATTTCAAACATAGGACGGGGAACGCATCTTTAAAAACAGATTCAGACTTGAGCTGAAATGGCTGAATTACAAGTCTGATTCTGATACAGTGTTAAACAAACCTTTGCCACCGAGCTCTCTCATAAATACTGGTACACAGGCACATGTACAGGTACAATGAACATGTGTTGTGGAGCTTCTTAATTTATTATGCAATTTTATAATCTGATGACGGTGTACACAAAAATGATGATACATACATGCACCGGTACATACATTTAGCCATTTTTTATTTTATGGTGAACGTATAAAAGTACAATGCTAAAGTGCACATGACATACCTGTAGTTTTTATTGGCTTTTAAATTAATAAATTGATGTTTTAATTTTATTTTTATTTTTTATTGTGTTTTTTTTTGGGGGGTGTATTATTTTATTTGATGTTATTGTTCTGGTTGTAGCCAGCTGTCCTGTGTCCTCAGGCCAAACTCGTCTTTTGTGATAAAAGACCTTCACGCTTCAGCTGTGCTGACTGACGTCATAACTTTATTGAAAAATTGAAACAGAGTGTTAGGCCTACTGTTACGTAAAAGCGGAATATTCATTATTCAAAAAGAGATTGATACATGTAGGCAGTCATCCAGTTATCGAGTTGTGCATCCTATTTATATAAAACCAGAATCACCTTTCGTTACATATTCTTGCATAACATTTTACATACATGTATGTAAAAAAAACCAGGCACATACATACAGGAAGATTTTATGATCAGAGTAAATTTGGACATTCAGTACAAGTAACACTGCATTTTCGGACGATCACACTTGTGTTGTAATATAAATTTGGAAAAAAAATTGTAAATTACAAAATTGGCAATTTGCTGGGATGCCAGTTATATTCTTATCTTTGAGCGCACTTTGCCCATTTATTATCTTGTGTCCATCAGCGGTCTCACTAAGTGACTTTCCTGAGTTAAAAAAAACATAAAGTAATTTGTCTCTAATGATGGTTTATTTTTTCTATCAACAAGCACTCAATTTTGTTAACATGCTGTGTTACCATGTGTAGGCACTGTACGAGGACAGTGTGGTACAGGGATTGCATACATGTCTTAACTAAATTGGACATATCATCTTACGTGTACCAGTATATTTTTGCATTTGCATTGTCACCCTTTGTGGGTACTTCATGCATTTCCTCTGATAAATACAGCTATCTCACAGTGTTTTTTTTTTCTCTTTGGCATCGAGTTTGTCTTTCGTTCTGAAAATAAAAGTGAAATTTAGCCTTCGGCCGCAAGTATAAACTAATCATATATTTGTGGGGTGTAGGGGTTTTGATTTATGTTGTCACATTTTGGGGGGATCGTGATGATTAATTACAGAGAATGATCAACTTTGCTCTTTTTTAAATCTATTGGCTGATATGAGGAACATTTCCCTTGGCTTTTTGCAAGGCAAATCAAAAGTTATTCTTTCTTGGAATACCAGTCATTTCATATTTTTATTGCATCTTCAGTCACTTGAGTTTTCTGGGCAGTGCTGCCTGATAATGTTCCTGATAATTGCTTACTGTGTACATTGTAGAGAGGTTTCAATGACTTTTCTTTCTTTCTTTTTCAGATATGTGAAATTTACGAAGCGAATGAGAGCTCTCGGTCGAAGACCTTTCATCGATGTCATACCCATCCCATTCAAACCGATATATGGTAGGTTTTAAGGCTTTTAAAGATTTTGTCTTCAATGTGCTCTGGGTCCTAACCCGTAGCAGATATGACCCAACTGCACTGTCTCAAGGAGTTACACAGCTTTAATGTTGAATTCTTTTCCAAGTCCCCAAGTACACTGAAATGTTGCAAGGAATGTCTACAGCAAGCATCATGCCTAGTCACTAAGTACATGTACATGTAGTAGGAATTATTATTATTATTATTATTTATTCGGCCAACAAGTACAATGACAAAGCAAATATAAATCAGAAAGTAAACAAAAAATAGAAATTGAAAAGTATGACCAGACAAGACGAAAGACTGATGCGAGTAGGAATGGGTTGGAAGGGGGGGGGGAGGGAGGGAAGGGAGGGTGGACAGTTTGACAGGGGAGAGGAGATAGAGGGACGGAAAACAAGAACAAAATAACATTTCAAACCGGCCAGGGTAAACAAAAGTGTACTTAAACACTGTAGCCCTAAGGCCTGCCTACCCAAGCTCGAAATGTCTACACAGAAAATAAATAGAATACAATGCAAATAAAAATATATAAATGAAAAGAAAATGAACGAAGAAAACAAAAAACAAAAAACAAACAAACAAACACCCCAACACCCCAACAAACAAACAAACAAAGCAAAACAAAACACAACAATCCAATCCAAAACAAAACAAAGCAAAACAAAACAAAACAAAACAAAACAAAACAAAACTAATCAAAACAAAACAAAACAAAACAAAACAAAACAAAAAACACCAAAAAACAGAATCAAAAAAACAAAACCAAACAAAACAAACAAAACAAAAAACAAATACAAAACAAAACAAAACAAAACACGAGTAACTGAGCATGTCAACTATACAAATCAATGACAACTACAGGGTGTATCAAAAAAAAGTATACACTTAGAGAAATGTATCAAAAAAGGATGTTTTATAATTTTTCAAAAATCTGTCACTAAATATTGATGGACCAAGGTCTTACGCTTCAATTGCCACCATGTCAATCTTCAGCTGTTCCGCATGAGTGAACACTCGCTATTTACTTTCACCAGATTTGAATTGGCTTGTGCACAAAAGCCAAATGGTTAAAACACAATCAAACACCGTGGTAGGGAAGTTTAGGCATGTGCTTTGTTGCTCACAAATTTTCAAGAAAATTGGATTAACCCTTAGTCCTCCACAGGCCCACCAAGTTTGGACTCAAGTTGCGCCTTCCTCAAAACATTAACAACAGCATGACCTTACAAGTCAATGATTAGGCCTAATGGTAATCGTCATGAGGGAATGCAACGTTTGCACTTCATGCATGCACGATTCAGTCTTCGACGTGGCCACCATTTCTTTGCACACAGACTTCTGCCCTCCTCAGCATGTCATAAACTGCGCACCTAATCATTGCGGCATCCTGCCTCACAACAGCAACTTCGGCAGTAACACGTTCTTGCAGGTCATCCAGGTCTCTTGGTGGAGTGGTGTACACCTTAGACTTAACATGGCCTCACAAGAAAAAGTCCAGTATGGGGTAAGATCGGGTGATCTTGGGGGCCACTCGACGGGACGGTTTAATGCGAAGAAGCGATCGCCAAACAATTCAGTCACGATCCTCCTCTTGTGCGGTGGTGCCTTATCTTGCGCCCACCAGGCATGCCTAAATTGTCCATTTCTTCTGCCAGGTCGATAATGACAAAAATCATTGACATGCTGAGGAGGGCAGAAGTCTGTGTGCAAAGAAATGGTGGCCACGTCGAAGACTGAATCGTGCATGCATGAAGTGCAAACGTTGCATTCCCTCATGACGATTACCATTAGGCCTAATCATTGACTTGTAAAGTCATGCTGTTGTTAATGTTTTGAGGAAGGCGCAACTTGAGTCCAAACCTGGTGGGCCTGTGGAGGACTAAGGGTTAATCCAATTTTCAAGAAAATTTGTGAGCAACAAAGCACATGCCTAAACTTCCCTACCACGGTGTTTGATTGTGTTTTAACCATTTCACTTTTGTGCGCAAGCCAATTGAAATCTGGTGAAAATAAATAGCTAGTGTTCACTCATGCGGAACAGCTGAAGATTGACATGGTGGCAATTAAAGCGTGAGACCTTGGTCCATCAATATTTAGTGACAGATTTTTGAAAAATTATAAAACATCCTTTTTTGATACATTTCTCTAAGTGTATACTTTTTTTTGATACACCCTGTATACAAACTACCCAACAAATAAACAGGAAATGAGCAAACAAACAAAAAATCCCAACAAGCAAACAAGTACCTCTTCAGACCGACACCCCAATAACCCCTCAAATGCCCGCACAAGCAAACAAAAAATAAACAAACACACATCCCCAAAACCCAACAACAAACGAACACCCAAACTACCCAACAAACAAGCCCAAACAAAACATTGGGGAAAAAAAACAAAAACAACCAAACAAACAAACACCCCCTACCAACAAACCCCCCAAATAACAAACCAAAACAACCCAACAAACAAACACTCCCAAAAACATACAAATGAAATGCTGCTGAAAAACAAGCACACAAGCGGAACTAGAGATTTACACATAAATATACATATCAAGCGAGCACTTTAGAAAAGTTATCGGAGATCTTGGAAGTGATCAGACAGACTTCTTTTGAATGAGCATGAAAGAGGACTTTTGAAGAATTCAGGTATTTTTATTGCTAGAATCTGCAGAACAAGAGCTTTCTAATGATATACATGTACATACACTTGTGAGTACTGAGTTCGGTAACAGAAATATAGACCGCCAACAAAATTCAAGTTGTCAAACTAGTTTTTAAGAACATGGCATTTAATAATCCCGCTGGAAAAAATATCTGGAAAAAAAACCCCGCAAAATGATACTGATAAGCCAAAAAAAACATGTTGTAGGCTTTTTTTTTCTTCAAATGACGTGCTGCCTGTCGGTACGCAGATGACTGTATCATGCCACGCCTTTCCTTTTTATATCATTTGTGCAGAGCGATAATCCACCATTAAGAACTGAAATTTCGTTCTAATTCGGCACTCAAGCGAACGAAACTACATTTTTCAGCAGTGTATGCTTTCGTCTGGATTCTCATGTTTTTGATGATTGATTTCCTTGTTGATAATTGGTTGATTCCATTCTGACTATAGGGGTGCCCATTGGTGGGATAGGATGTGGGGCCATCAACAGAGGCTGGAAGGGTGAATTCTGCCGATGGTCCCTCACGCCGGGGATATACACCTATGACATAGTGGAAGCGAACCAGGTAAGAGATGTATATTAAACCTTAATTCCTAAAGTGTTTGTACCTGGTGGAAGGGGGTCCAATCTGAGGACTAGCCCCCCCCCCCCAAAAATAATAGTTATGCTTCTGGTTACCTACCCTATTTTGACAGCCCTTAGCCTAATTTTTTTTGGGGGGGGAATTAGGGAAAAAAAACCAAAAAACATCAATTACAGCCTTTTACCCTTGACTACACGCAGACACCTCCATTTGATCGTACACAAAAAAAGTAACCCCGAAAAAAATTCCCTACCTACATACCCTATTTTCAAATGTCGTGTAATCAGAAGTAAAACATTTTTTTTGGGGGGGGGGGCCCCTTATTAGAGATGGATGACTCTAGCACAACAAAGTACAGGATGTTAAAAAGAAAAGCCCAGGCAAAATCTAGTAAAGCTGGACTCAGAGTGCATGGAATTCTATTCAGTTGAATAAAAGGTCAATTCACTGAAAATATTTTAATGCATCTGTTCTACACAATGGGTCAGATTTGGCCCATTCATACAGGGTAATCCTATACGATAGCACTGCCCGACTTACAAGCGACGGGGAGTCAGTCAGTGAGGTAGTAAGTGAGTCACTGAGAAGTGTTTACTAACCATTTACAAAGGTACGAAATACACAATTATGTCATCTCACATTTACATATATTAGAACATGTTGAAAATCATGTTTGATTACATCTGGCGATTATGATCTCTCCTAGTTCAAGTGTAACATCAATAGTTACTTGAAGTAATTGTTCTTTTTCTTCAATTTCCTTTTATCTCCTTCTCTTTGTAGCCCTCATCTTGATTGGCCCTTTAAAAGGGCCTTGCGATGGGCGACTCTCTTTAAAAAAATGCCTCTACGTACATTGTATTTCTAGCAGCAAATAAAGCCATTAAAACAGCAAAAGCTTTCAACATCACACTGTATCAAAATTCAGATATGAGCCAAAAGGAACCTTTCTAAATTAAATTCTAAAAAAATCCTCAAATTTACAAATTCCTTATGCCTATTCTTATTTGTTTGTATTTTTTTCAAGGAAAATCACCCCCCTTGTAAAGTTGTAGTGGTCAGGCATCATTTTATTTTTTTTCAATTTTGAAGATCTAGTAGGGTTACGGTTAATATATTGAGAGATGTATGCAAAATGAAAATTACGATGTTTATTAAAACCCATTAAAGTAAGGGTCTGCCGTCCGTGCACTATTATAATTTTAAAACCTTGCTGGCTGTGATTCACTGCGACGATAAAATCAAATTTGCTTGCTCAAGCAGTAGGCATGCCGAAATTACGTCAAGCCAAGCGAATAATGTGACATTATCCATCATATAGCACACAAAGTACAAGTGTTGGGGTTCATAACTAGCTGTCGATGTAGGTCATGCAGCGCTAATGTGATTTGGATCTTGAATTTGAAGACAGTTTTTTTCTCAACAAAACTCCCTTCGTTTCTGTAACGATAGTGAAATGGAAATGGTAAATAGCCCAAAGTTACAACAATTACTCTATTTTTTGGTTAGAAAGTCTGTACTAGCTTCTGTGAAAAAAATCTCTATTTCATATTGATTGAAACAAATAAATGCTGCATTGGTTATAAACAATAGTATATAGACTGCCTATTATAAGACTGGTAACATTTACCTCTTAACTTGCCCGGGGGGCCAGTGAAAAAAAATCAGCAACCTGCCGAGTCGAAACTGTTGTGAAATTCTGCATGACGTGTTTTTTAATGTGTGAAAAAATCAAGAAAATGTCTTACGAAGCTGTGAAAAGTGCAGTGAAAAGGCCTAGATGGCTAGTACACAAATTTGTTCTGTAAAAACCTCATGTGTATCACAAGACACTTACGGGATTTTTGAGAAAGGGAGCTTGAATAAAAAAAAAACCGGTGACCAAACTGTTGTAACGTACAGGACATACTTTTAGATTTAGATGACAAATAAAGGCCTGAAATACATGTACTCCCTAAAGATATTTGTCAAGTCTTTGAAACTCCCTGCCTTAATCTTGCTTTCATTCTCCCTATAATCTTTCACAGTTTTCTTCCGCAGATTTGTTATTTTTTCCCAATCTTTTTCCATTCCCTCTTAATTTCTAGCCCACACCTTTGAGTGGCCTCTGTCTTGTGACTGAGCGATATCCATTAAAGGGACCATGAAATGGATATTTCTTAGGAGCATACATGTATTTGGTGCAACTTTCTAATCCTCTTACATACATATGAAAACTAACTGACATCCCTTTTTGGTTCATTTTACTGAAAAGTGCACTTCTTTAAACATTTAAAATTGTCCATGTTTTTCCGGACACTTTTCCGGGCTGTTGCTGTGGATTTCACAAAGACACTGTTAATTTGAGGTGTTTTCTGTTCAAATTGTGAACCTTGCTCATTGGCTTTACTGCCTAAAAAACTGAAAAGGCTCCAAAATACCCTTGAAAATGGCAAAATAGAATTTGAAAATAAGGTTAAATGGGGACGCAAATGTGCATTTTCAATGATTGCATTACAAACAATACATTACAAAATGTACATGGGCCCCTTTATAAAAACAAAGACACAATGTATGTTACAAATACTCTCTACATTATCATCGAGAGTTTGAGGATTTAGTCTGAACCTCTCTGGCCTGTCCTCTGCCTACAGTTCACCGTCAGAATCCAGCGGCCTGGTAAGCCAGTGTACCAGCAGGTCTTGTACCCCGGCCAGGTCTCCAGCAGGCACCTGGCCCAGGCATGGCAGTGGCAGTTCCCTGGCGACCAGGCACACTACCACGGCCTGTATCCCCGGGCATGGACAGTATACAGGATACCAGACCAAGATGTCACCTTGGTGTGTCGTCAAGTCTCGCCAATATTCCCACATGATTATAAAGTAAGAGATTAAGTTATTTTGTTCATTTTTATTTTTGTAAATTGAGACAGATTTCTTCTGTTTTTTACTTTAAATTTTTTTTGGGGGGGGGGAGAGAGAGATGCATAGCATAGCAAGATTTATAGCACATCACTAAAACATTTGCCCTGAGGTCAGGCATGCAACTTTTCCTCAGATAAGCTGATTTTCCTCTTTTTTTTCTCTTTTGCTTCTCTTGTATGCCATTAACGACTGAAAAACACTGTACAGAGTCTTTAACAGTTTGGGATGTCCTTTTTTTGTGACTTTCCAGTTCAATGCTCGAAAGGTCTGCATAAAGTAGGTCAAATGAAGATTGAAAATGAAAGCATACAAGTAATACAATGGAACACGAAACGGGACACAATGCATCGCATTGTGCTACATGTATCTGTGGATTAGGTTGCTATTTCCTGGTTGTACAAATTTTGCATTGGTTAGGGTAAAACATAACTACATGCATTGGGTAGATATTTCCTGCACTTCCTAAACAAGGAAGAAGATTTCCACTTTGCCAAATTTGACTAATTGCACTTTGACAAGCACAAGAGGAAGAAAAATGTTTCGGGAATTGAGTTTTTTTTCCCCATTACTTAATTCATACTTAATGGGCTTACCAAGTTAACTTCTAGCAGGAATCATACTTATTTTGCTTCAATCTGTGTTAATATTTCATCCTTAATGCCGATTGTCTCAGAACAGGGCTTTGTTCCAACAGCTTTTTTAATTACATCAATTTTTTTCCCCTCAAATCTGGTTCTGCTTATTTGTCTGTACTTACAATGTACATGTATCGATCTTGTCAACGAAACATTTGCTTTGCACGTTATGTGACATGAAACTACAGGATCATGGGTAATATCTTCCTTGAAAACTCATGGACATTATAATATTCATGAAGCACACATATCAACAAGAAGATGCTACACGTGCACATCATTATTACCCCAGCTCATTGGGTCCAGAAAACATTCCAAATAACATCTCATCTCCCAAGGGAGTATACAGCTCGATGCTGCCATTTTCGCACAAATCAGCAAACATTAAAGGTATCCTTTTACATGTACTCCTTGGTGGGGAGTAGCAAATAGTAACAAAACGTCTTGCCTGAGGACACACGCACCACAGACCCAGGCTGGGCTCGAACCCACAACCTGCAGAATCACCTCGAAGATTTCAGGTTTGATGCTGTAGACCACAAAGCCACTTGGCATGGGTGGCTTGTGCGTAAAGCACTCGCCTCTCACCACTGTGGCCTAGGTTCGAATCCCGGCTGCAGACCGACCATACATGCCATATGTGAGTAGAGTTGTGCATCGGTTCTCTCCTGTGCCACGAGGGTTTTTCTCTGGGCTTTCCAGTTTTCCTCCCTCTGGAAAAATCGAACACTTTCCATCTAAAGCTGTGCTCCGTGGTCATATATGGGTCGATGTGGCTAACTGCCATGGGCGCCTTTACAAGCCAGCGGCTCGACCACGTTATAGCCGAGTCCTTTGCAATTCAGCTTCTCGGCCTCCCAAATTATTATTATTACATTCCAGTGAAAAAGTTAAATTAATTGGCAGAATCCTTTTCATTAAAATGAAATTTGGGTTGTTGTTTTCAAAATATAGTTTTGTCCTTTTCTACCATCTAGGATACTTGTCTACCAGTGGGCGTGTTCGTCTGGGAGGTCCACAACCACGCCCAGACCCCAGTCGACGTCAGTATTATGTTCACGTGGCAAAACGGGATCGGTGCGGACAGCGACAAAAACGGCGGCCGATGGAACGAGGCGTTCTGCAACGAGGGAACGGAAGGTTCCACTGAGGACTCAGTGATAGGGGTGTTGCTTCATGACGAGGCGCCCTCCATGGGATGCACCATGGCCATCTCTGCAGCTAGTCAGGTAAAGTTTTTTTACATTAAAAACAAAGTCAGATTCCTTGTCAACCATTAATAATCACAATTTTCTTTGAAATGATAATTTAGATTAAACGATTCTTCAAACGACATTTGAAAACAATCCAATAACAAGCCTTGTTTGAACCAAGTATTTTAATTTGTTACAATTTTTATGGCTTCTAACTAGCACCCCTTGAACAAAGACATTGACAAAATGTGGAACTGCCAACATAGGGCTGGATAGCTCAGTTGGTGGAGCACCGAAACAGCAATCAGGAGGTTGCAGGTTCAAACTCCACTCCAGTCAATTTCTTTGTTCAATTTTCTAATTGTTACAGTTTCGATAACAGTTTTCAAATGAATTTTGCCTCTGTTTATGACCGTATGCAGGAAGGAGTTAAGGTCACGTACTGCACAGTGTTCGATCCCAACACCAATGCTGATGCATTATGGGAAGATTTGTTGCTGGACGGACAACTCAACTCCTCAACAGGTAAATAAAGTCCCTTGCCTTTGAATTGGAACGGTATAGATGGCATTGTGTAACTAAGACATGAGATCCAGAATGTGAAAGTCATGCATGTGGAATTGTGCGTGCACATCCATTTTTTCATCTTAATGTGCACTCAAATGTAGCATCTTAAATGAAATCATGCGAGTGCTGACCCACAGCTACAATTGCAGGCCAGCATCTCTGTTTTTCACTGTTTTTGAATTTACCTGATTACTAGTCTGGTCCAGAACCAAATTGATGCAGCCAGTCCCAATTAGGGCTGTGCATTGGAACTGGGTACCTGAGTTCCCAACCTGATGTCAGGAACCGGTTCCAGATTATGGAATCGGGGAACTAACTACACTGTAACTTTACAAATTACTTAGTAACTTCTCAGACAATGAAACAGAAAGATTCCAAATGTCATTTGTGGAGAATTTTTTTAATGCAAACCAGGCTAAATGGAAAAACAAAACAAATTCATGTTTATGATGCTTGCGAAAATGCAACTTAAAGCTACGTGTAGGCCTATTGAGCTCACTGTACACACTTTTATCTTGCTACCGTATATCGACGCACCGATGTGGGAGTACTATCGTGCAGACCTTTATGGACAATCTGTACAGCAACTTCAGAGATATAAATTTTGGGGTTGATTTCTTTAATCGGGTACGCGGGTACCCGTGTCATTTTCAATCGGGTACCCGATTCCCGTACGACCCGTAATGCACACCTTTAGTCCCAATCGCTGACAATCACTGTGAAGTCAGTGTGGCCATAGAGGGCGTTATCAACAGCATGAAACAAATCCAGTCTTTTGAACTTTAGCATAGCGACCCGAGAAATACCAAGTATATACCTCAGCCATCAGCCATGCTGTGTTGTACGTGTCCATGCCCCCCCCCCCCCTCGCATGAGGTATGCTTGGAATTTCCTGGGTCTTGTTGCCGATGTTCCCATTACTGCATTTGATTCAACTTGTTGATAGCTCCCCCCACCGCCAAGCGTAGTGGTGGCTTTACTGCATAAAGCTGAGTAAAAATCCAGTCCAGCTGAGCTGCATAAAGTTGACCAAAAATCCAAGTCCACTCTTGGACCGAGACTACATGTGTACAGACCCTGTGTCTTGTACACATATCATGAAGGTCTAAAGGTTTTAGCTATCCGTTTTCTTGTAAAACAGTTAGTTACTCTTCCTTCCTTTGCAGTGCCAGCTTTCAAGACAGATCAGGATGAGTTGACTGCAGCGGCGGTCTGCGCATCGTGTCACGTTGAAGAGAAGAGTCGGGGCAAGATGGAGTTTGTCCTAGCTTGGGACATGCCTAGAGTTCACTTCAAGAGCAAAGGCCATTCCTACTTAAGGTACAAACAAACATTTCACTTTCACAAAAACATCTGACACTTAAACACTACATTCAGAGGAGACCACAACTAACGTAGAGACTATCAATGGTTTATTAACAGAAAGGCAATAAGTAAAGCCTGACATAAACGTCTTTCAAACGATTTAGATGAAGGAATTTCTGCAACTTTTAGGCTTCTTGTAGAATAAGAATATTACAAGGCTACCATTTTTTCAGTGATAGTTTAACTGTGGAGTGCCGTGGCCTCATGGTCTGGCATGTCTGGTTGTGGGTACGAGTCCAGCCTGGGGTTATGGTGCCTGTGACCTTACGCAAGGCACCTTGTCACTGATTGCTTCTCTCCACCCAGGAGTAAATGGGTACCTGTGAGGGCAGGGATGGTTATTGTGATTGATTGTAGCTGCTTTGCACCGAAACGGCAGCATTGAGCTGTATACTCCTCAGGGAGCTGAGATGGTATTTGGAATGTTTCAGTGGCCCAATGAGCAGTGCAATAATGATGTAGCGTCTTAAGCACCAATTGACCTATCGTCGTTTGCGAGTTAGCCGCGCCCCTTAGACAACCCTATGGAAGTTTTGCACACTAAGTTTTGTTTGTCTCAGATGTTGTGCGTTCCGCGTCCATTTGTATATCATGCAATTGGACAATATTTCACCAGCTGCGTTGACGTGATTCTTATGCGATTCAAATGCAATTCTTCCGCGATAGGTCAATACTAGTGGATACGTGTGCTTTATAAATACACACTATTATTAATAAGTTTTAGAGGAACATTTTTATCTTGGTTTTTGCCTATCACTGACATACTGTCAAGCATTGTATCCTCAGTTCTGTCAGAAAGCATTTGAGAAAAACATTCAGAAGAATTTTAGGAGTCTAGATGTCATACCACTCAAACAGAGACCTTGCCAGCCTCAGTTGCCAATTTAGCAGTGAGAATGATATAATATTGTGTGTCATATGTTTTGCAGGCGATACACGCGCTGGTTTGGTCACAACGGCAAGGCGGCAACCAGACTATGCAGCCACGCTCTACACAGCTATCCCCAGTGGGAGGAGGCCATAGAGTCCTGGCAAAGACCAATCCTGGATGAAGAGTAAGTATATCCAGCTTGAGTCAGGATTGTTCTGAATTAAAAAAACAACAACTGGAACTCTCACTGTATGTCATAGTCATTTGTAATGAGTCTGTGTAACATCATCAAACATGCAAGAAGAGCTTTGATAAGGCCGAGTAAAAAAAAAAATAGTTTCTCGTCCGGGGTTTTTGAAAAAAGGGAGGAAGCGGGGCTTTTTATATTTTTTTTTATATTTTTTTCAAGATGACCGCCTTTTCAAAATTTCCTGCAACCGTTGGTGTTCCACTGTTCAAAGACACTTTTAAAGATGAAAGACAAGTTGGACAAGAGAACTGAACATATTTACAGTGTCATTTAGAGTTGTATTGGTATTAGTATTTATTTTCCGATGAATTTGTAGACTTTTTCGGTGTTTTTCTACTACATTTTTCAAAAATAAAAAATAATAAAAAAATCCAGGCGGCCTCCAAAAAGGAAGCGGGCGGGGACGAGAAACTTGGTTTTTTTTTTTACTTCGCCTAATATCAGTACTACAAAACTCGAAACCCAATGGAATATGCGATGGATGGATTTGAAAGATTTTGATATGGCATTTGGTGGACTTAGGGAAGTCCCTGGTTGAAGAATTGCAATATCAGTGGCTACAATTCTGCAGTTGCTGAGTTGTGTTTTTAGGAGCTAAGGTTTGAAAAATGAAAGCAAGTTTTCTGCCAAGTTACAGACAAACAAACAAACAAACAAACAAACAAACAGACTAACAAACAAGGGTTTTTACATATTTTAAGCTTAGGTTGTCTCCATTTAACACAGTTGTATTTGGTGATCATACTTTTATTCTGATGGCAAACATAGTCACATGGGTTCTTGCTATAACCGAATTCTTTTTTTCGTCTTGCGTTTCTCACTTCAGTACCTACCCAGCCTGGTACAAGTCTGCCTTGTTCAATGAGCTGTACTTCATGTCGGACGGTGGCACCGTCTGGCTTGAGCTACAAGAAGACCAAAGTAACGGCGGCACGACCTGCAGCAATGGCGTGCAGGACCGTCCGTGTAAGATGACCGAACTCAGGAAGGATATGGGGCTGTTTGCGTACCTTGAAGGTGAGTAGCCGTGGGTCCGGCTGGGCTTATAAATGACCGACAGCCAGTGTCACAAAACAGTGCATAGCTAACGCCATGTGTAGGACTTACCCAACAAATTTGTTGCGCAGCTGAGCAAAAACCTTACAATCAATTTCACAAAACCTGACATAGCTGCACAACGTTTAAAATAATCTAAAGTAAAGTAAAAACTGATTGGTTAGGCCAAAAAAAAAAGTCTCCGGTTTCTGGTATGCGCGCGCGTCGCCATAGCCATGCGCGTCGGCAAAATGAAAAAGTTTTTTTTTAATGAAAGATGATGTCCCAAAACCGCCAAACTCACTGGTTTGACTGGAATACTGCTGCTGCACAATTTTAATGTGTTTTTAGATTGGGTTATGGTTGAGAATAAGCTTTATGTGGCCTCTCTGGACTCCCATATATTTGCTCTAAGTTTAGTCGGGCACCATTTGCAGTCATCAGCACACATTTGAAGCAAAAAAATCAGGTAAAAAAAAAAAAAAGCCGCGTCGCCGCATCACTTTTTGGGCAAGCTCCATACCAGAAACCGGAGACTTTTTTTTTTGGCCTTATGTTTGCTACTTTTATGTCACTGCGGTTTTTTTTTTAATGTTGACTGTTTGCAGGTCATGAGTACAGGATGTTCAACACGTATGATGTTCATTTCTACGCCTCATTTGCCCTGGCAATGTTGTGGCCAAGAATTGAGATCAGTCTGCAAGATTTTATAGGTAAGGTTCAGATCTAAGGTCCGTATTACTTGTTTAAAGTCAGTTCACATTGTCTCTCTACGCTTCCACGTCCAGCATTGAGGGGAAACGAAATGGATCTTTAACCCTACAAGTCCCTGTACCAAGTCTCTGTACCACCCCAAATGCTCTGTCTGTTACTTCCTGTAATGCCCAGCACTGCCAGAGCACTCTATGGTCTTGTGGCATCAACAGGATATAAATACAATGTAATACAATGTAGTCCAGGTGCTATTTTCAATGGGTTTATATACAATCATCTGATATAGAAGAGACTTAATGTTTATTCCATAATTTCACAACATATGTTGCATTTGCATATTTATTTTTCAGGGAGTTGTGTGAATGTGATCGATGATGAATCCTATTACCAGATAGCCAATGGTAGACTGGCCACGAGGAAACAGGCTGACTGTATACCACATGACATAGGAGATCCTGGTATGATAACAGGATTTTTTAATAATTTCTCAAATCGTGGGGCAGACATTAGGCAAATGTCTCAGTTAGAAGACCGTCTGTAAGCAGTCTAAATGGTGGAACGTGGCCTGGCGGTTAGGGTTTGTGGCTCAGAGGGTCAGGGGTTTGAATCTTGCCACTCGCCATGTGATGTGTCCTTGGGCAAGCCACTTCACCCCCACTGTCCCCTCTCTGCCCAGGAGTATAAATGTAACCTGCAGTATTCTCAGGTATTTCATACCAAGGGAACTGGAGATAAAAACTGGCATGAATTTAGTAACTTTAAGCATCCGGCAGTGTTTTTGCTAGCTCTTGGAAATAAAGGAGAGCTATGCAAAACAGTTGAGTAGAAAAAAAAAATGATCTCACATCATACTAGCCATTAAGGCCTACCTCCCGCGTCAGAAGCACCAGTCTATGCCTTTTTCATACTTATATATATGACCACATGTCTTGTTCCTTACCTTCTCATGCTCTGCAGAAGAGGAACCGTGGAAGCGAATCAACGGTTACTACCAGCACGACACCTGCAAATGGAAAGACCTGAACCTCAAGTTTGTCCTGATGATCTATCGGGACTTCTATCAAATCCAGGACCTGGTGTTCCTCAGGGAGATGTACCCAAAGTGCAAGGTCAGACAGTAGGACAACATTGAAACATGGGGAAAAAAACAATTAAAAAAATGATACAGAAAGGCACAATGTCACGTGTTTGGAAAGGTGACTTAGTTCTTTAAAGACAGAGTAGACCATTTTGTATAATGTACATTTTTTTCATTTGAAGCAGCACAACTGCTCAAAATCTAAAGACGGATGCTTAATAACTAACCCGATTAAGTTTTAGCTCTGTGTAGCTCTGTGTATGCTATATGTTTCGAGAAAACACAATATTCTGGATCTTAATTTCAATTTCAAAGTTGCCTAGTCATATGTTGAATTGCGCCCTCTTGTGACACAATCCCGAAATCAGTATTCGGAAACATGATTCTCATTCAGCCGGTTGTCACCCATTCGCGGATTTGCCCAATTGCAAACCAACAACAAACAAGAACACATGGGGCAGATTCACAGAAATTTCCAAAAATGCGTCACTTGACACGTTTTTGGAAATGACCTCTTTCGTGTCAAAATGACAGCATGCCAGAAGGAATAATTTCACAGTTTAGTGTCATTATTATCTTTAAACCAAGTAAGCTTTTTCACTTTAATTAAATTTGGTCGGTTACTTTTTGGATTGCTGCAAATTGTCTGCCCTGCCTTTAAAAAAAAGTTTGAGTCACTTCAGTGCCATGCTACTAATTTCTGGAACAGCCTGGTAAGTGCCACAGTGTGTCACAAAGAGCCCCAACAAGCGTACTTACTTTTGAAAGTACTATTGCCAAGGTTTATCACTTTTCTTTAAATACAAAAAAGCTGGTGGAAGATTTGGCCATAGACAGTGGTATTATTTTCTCTATTGTAAAATAGTTTGTCTTGTTTTTTAATAGATTTTTTTCCAGAATGAAGCTTAATTCTTTTCAATCCTTTTTCCTGTTTGTACTTAGTCCGTCATGGAAACGTCCAAGCTACAGGACACAGATGACGACGGTTTGATAGACAACTCAGGCTCGGCTGATCAGACGTATGATGCGTGGGTGATGACCGGAGCAAGGTCAGTCTAGAAATGTTCAGGCTTGGATGACTCCAACAAATTTGAAATTTCCCAGCCAAAAAAAGCTTTAATAAAACCTAATAGACTGCTTGCATTCTGCAGCCATTTTTGAGGTGATTTTTGTTATATTAATTCTCTTAAATATAATGTTTTCACCACCAATCCTGTGCATAAGTGGAAACAATTTTATTTAAGACAATTTAAGACAATTTTTTAGACCATTCTGTAATATATTTCTATCCTGCACCATACTACACTGTGCTAGGTTTTTCTTTCTGAAACTGAATTCAAAGCCATTTTCTTTTCTGATTGAGGAGCAGATATTATTACCGATGTTTCCAATAACAGCACTAAATGGTTTTGTGTTGTATTTTCTTTGCAGTGCATACTGTGGAGGTCTTTGGCTGGCTGCCTTGCGTTGTATGGTTGAGATGGCACACATCCTTGGCAATGAGGTAGACGCCGCGGACTATTCAGAAATACTTGACAAGGGCAGAGTATCCTATGAATCCAAACTCTGGAATGGTAAGACCGAACGTCAAAGCTTATCTTTGTAACTTATATATATCAGTGTTCTAGTGAGTGCAAAACAAGTCTATCACAAGTCTATCACAAGTCTATCACAAGTCCTCACAAGCTATCACAAGTCCTCACACGTCTATCACAAGTCCTCACAAGTCCATCACAAGTCTATCACAAGTCTATCACAAGTCCTCACAAGTCTATCACAAGTCCTCACAAGTCTATCACAAGTCCTCACAAGCTATCACAAGTCCTCACATGTCTATCACAAGTCCTCACAAGCTATCACAAGTCCTCACACGTCTATCACAAGTCCTCACAAGTCTATTACAAGTCCTCACAAGTCTATCACAAGTCTATCACAAGTCTATCACAAGTCCTCACAAGTCTATCACAAGTCCTCACAAGTCTATCACAAGTCCTCACAAGTCTATTAAAAGTCCATCACAAGTCCTCACAAGTCTATTACAAGTCTATCACAAGTCCTCACAAGTCTATCACAAGTCTATCACAAGTCCTCACAAGTCTATTACAAGTCTATCACAAGTCTATCACAAGTCTATCACAAGTCCTCACAAGTCTATTACAAGTCTATCACAAGTCCTCACAAGTCCTCACAAGTCCATCACAAATCACCCAGTCACTACCTGTTCAAGTGAGCTTTGACAAAGGCGTTCATTTATTATTCATGTGACTTGTGACTGGACTTGTGACTTTTTTTTTTAATAGGTGTTTTTTATAGGGTTTTATAGGTGAATGAATTCAAGAAATACATAATCAAAAAAATGTAACAACTAACAAGCACTGTTTCTTTTGTAACCTGTGTGACATCACAGACTTCAAATGGGCATAATTTTGCTGAGAAAAGTCAGTCTTCAAAAGTTAAACCTTCACTGTTTAGGAGAAAATGTACACTTTACCAATATTTAAAAGATGAAAAAGACGTATTTCTACGACCTTCTGAAAAGAGTCAGTTTTTGACAAAACACATCACATTTATTGAATCTCTTTTTCAGGCAAGTATTACAACTATGACAGCAGCAACACGTCGCCCAGTAAGACCTGTATGGCCGACCAGACAGCGGGTCAGTGGTACCTACGAGCTTGCAATCTAACCACAGACCGTTCAGGAGCCGACGTCTTCCCCACGGATCACGTCCACAGTGCGCTAGCGACCATCTACAAGATGAACGTCCTGCCGTTCAGGGAGGGGCGGTTCGGGGCCATGAACGGGGTCAAACCAAACGGGAAGGTTGATTCCTGTAGCATGCAGTGTGAGGAGGTGTGGACTGGGGTGACATATGGCCTGGCAGCTAGCATGATACAAGAGGTAAGGCAAGGCACTGCCATCTCGAAGTGTGATGACATAGAGCAAGTTGGAGCAAAGATTAAAGTTAACAATAGTTTACTAACTTTGTTCGAACACAGGATGGTTGGACTTCTCTAGTTGACCATTTGGAACCAGGGCACGGTTGCATCACTGGTTATCAATAGCTGTGTGCATCATAAAGCACAACGAAAACCCTGGACCAAGAGGTTTCGTGATGATGTTTTTGACCATCCTTTGACTAGAGGCGTTTGCATGTTGCTATTAGTGCGCAGGCGTAAGTTACATCACAAACCAACCGCTAGTGGACTGATGGTCCTCGCCCGAATTTGCTCATAGGTGCACAAGGGTAGTTCTAGATTGAACATTTGTGGGCTATAAAACTGAACTGTGTCATTTTTTTAATGCCTTTAATGCAAAAATGGAGTGGGTTGTTTGGGGATATTTTCTGGAACTGTTGAAGCCATTCAGATTTCTGCAACTTGTCATTTAGCTGAAAACAAGTTTTGGCAACCCCCTCCCAGCTCCCCATTGGTTATACTTTAAAAAATAGCTTTCCCAAAGAAGCTTTTAAAAAGATAAGGGTTAGCACTTTTACAGCTTCATAAACAGAGGAAGACATGTGGTAAATTAAACTTACCTGAAAATTTCACTTAAAAAAACAAACAAACGAAAATCAAAAACAAAGTCCCGTTCATTCAACATACAACGGATAATGGCCAGAAATATCATTATTCTAGCCATTTTAGTATGTAACAAATGTGTCATGAATTAATTTTCTTGCTTTGAGTGCTATGATAGAGTTTACAGCGCTTATCAAAGTACAAGAAATGCAAAATAGAATAATTCTGTGTTGCCACGCAACTTTTCATCAGAATTTATATCATGGATATCGCATGTATTTTAATTTTTCTTCTAAACCCCAGGGACTAGTCAAGGAGGGTTTCCAGACAGCTAGCGGTATCTATCACACCTGTTACGAGCGGGCTGGCCTGGGTTTCCAGACACCAGAAGCCATCTTGCTAAGACAAGTCCACCGATCCACGGGCTACATGCGCCCGCTAGCAATCTGGGCCATGCAGTGGGCCCTGGAGAACCGCCACAAGGGGGCAGCATCCGAGGACTCGGTGAAAACCACCAGCGAGAGCAACGGGAATATATGATTGTTCAATCTGTAGACTTAAAAGCTTTTTGTGTGATAAAAGTTTTTGCCATGAGTAAGAACATGCATGTATCAGTGTATCGCATTCTCGATATTAAAGATGTGTACACAATATGTATGTTTGTTTTGAATGCAGCAAGCTGTAATGCTTTGGCAGTTCGAAAACTTCAATCAGGGTATGTAAATTATAGATAAGATGCTCTTGACCAAAGTTGAATAGAAATAATTAAACTATGACTTTTTTTGCATGTCTAAATCATGTCAAGCTTTACAGTATTTGTTGTCCATAATCTTGCTGAGCTAAGGCGGCATACAAATAAAATGACAAGTTTAATTTATCAATCTGATCAAAAAATTGCCAAAATCAAACTGCTTTTCAAGTCCAGCAAAGGGAACTGCTTGAAATGGGATATGCACCTGTGACCTATGGATGTGCACCTATGGCCTTCGGATGTGCACCTATGACCTATGGATGTGCACCTATGGCCTTCGGATGTGCACCTATGACCTATGGATGTGCACCTATGGTCTTCAGATGTGTACCTATGGCCTATGGATGTGCACCTATGGCCTATGGATGTGCACCTATGACCTACGGATGTGCACCTATGACCTACGGATGTGCACCTATGACCAACAGATGTGTACCTATGGCCTACTGATGTGCACCTATGACCTATGGATGTGCACCTATGGTCTTCAGATGTGTACCTATGGCCTACAGATGTGCACCTATAACCTATGGATGTGCACCTATGGTCTTCAGATGTGTACCTATGGCCTTCAGATGTGCACCTGTGACCTACGGATGTGCACCTATGACCTACGGAACACCATACTGGTGCTGTACCATTTGAGCCATCCCTCCCCATGTAAGCAGCTTGCATTGAAACTCATACATGCTGTGTAAGTAGGGATCGTGCCCACAGTCACTATGCAACATTAGTCAGTTTCCTCCTGTGGTTAGAGACCTTGTGCAAATCACATTGTATGTTCATAGGTATGTACACGTCACTGTCTGGGATTTCTGTGCCACACGAATAACATTTTGTTCATGTGTAACATTAGGTCTAGGGACTAGGTAGGAATCTCAGAATGTCGGCTGAAAAGATGTTGCTCAATCAATTTTGCATAATCAATACACGCAATGCTATATGGTCTAAATAGTGCAAAGATCGTATAGTGCCGACCGCTGCGCGTCTTAACGTGCGTGTGGCATGCAATAGATCAAAAAGGGTTAAGACGAAAATGCACGGTGAATGGAACCAAAAATGCATGGTTGTGACGTATGACGAATGTCACATGACCTACGATTCTCCAATCAAATGACAAGGATTTACTTGGGTGTTATGTACAAATAATGAATGTTTATGAGTGCAACGGTAAGGAGAAATTCATGTGGTGACAGATGGAATATTTGGTTTCACGAGGCGAAACCGAGTGGAATGGAACATTCCATCTGTCGCCGAATGAAATTATTCTTTCCATTGTACGAATGTGAAACATTCATTATTTGTTTTATACAACGCCTGAATAAATCCTCGTCATCTGATTGATCAGAGCCTACAATTGTGTGACCGTGCAATGAACTTGTTTTTACCTTTGGATAGAACTTCTATTTTTGCATTGCGGCTGGGTCGAGGGTTGGGATGAATAATGCAATGACATGTGATCAATGACCTACCAATCAGGTGACGGGGATTTATTCAGGGGTTGTATAAAACTATTTAAAGGCTCAAATTAGGTTTTGCCCTTCTATTTAAAGACTGAAAACAGTCACAGGTGTTAATCATGGTACCGTGATGTCAAGTCTTTCTGCAAAATCAAAAAGTAAATAATGCTATTTTTAAGCTAAGAGTAACAAAAACATATTTTTAATTCCTTGTTGACTTGCCTCTTCCGTACCTCCATATACATATATTCCCACCTGACATGACATCCATGTATTGATGTAACAAACGTATCTGCTTCCACAACAATCATGGAATTGCAATTCTGTAAATTAACAAGTATTTATAACTATGGTAGTTTAGTGAGAAAAAAAGTTTTTAATGGCATGGAAGAAAAACGAGGCTACTTATTAAGTGTGCTAATGTGTGGAAGAAGAGTAAAGAGCTTATTTCTAAATGTGATATATCCTTTCATACTGCAATGGGGGAAAAGAACGCATCATCTTTATTTAAAAAAAAAAAAAAAATTCAGCAAAAAAATTAAATGCCTCAAATGGTTTGCTCTATTCTGATTGGTGGGAAATTACCCATGGGGGGTTTGATTCAGCCAATACGACCGCATTGTTCGGTGATGTTGATCCTTTTTTAAATTTCTGTATAAAATGTAATTGATCCGAATTTACAGACTACCAACAACGTGTCAGGCAATATGTGACTTGGACCCAATTTCATAGCACTGGTAAGCACACGATGTTCTGCTAACAGAGCCTCTGTCTATACCATGAAGACCGTAAGCATTAAGCACATAAAAGGCACGCTCACCTCAGATGAAAAAGTTGCTTAAATCAATGACGTAACAATAGAAATTGCACATGCAACCGTTAGCACGTCCATGCCATGAAATAGTGCTAAGCACAATTTTCTGCTCTAGTAAGCACAACTTTTTTTGCTTACTGTTAAGCATCACTATGAAATTGGGGCCTGTTCTGGGCTGTTATTTGCTGTGCTGTATTATACTTTGCTTAAAGATATAGTCCATCATTTGTAATTTGTGCATTTTGTTCGTTTGAAGCAACAAAAGTGCTCAAAATCTAAAGAAGGGTACTGAAGAACTAACCTGATGAAGTTTCAGCTCAGCTTCAGCTGTACATTCCGAGAAAAACAGCATTCTAGGATCTCAATTTCAAATCAAAAGTTGCTGAATCATGTTTTGAATTGGGCCTTAATTCAGCGTCCGAGACACGTTCTCACTGAGCCGATTGCAGCTATACGCGATGTCACGCACTGATCCGACGAATTATAGCAACCGCGCGTGCGTGTGCGGCGTGTCAACGCTTGAGCGCGCTTCGCCGAATACCAAAACAAACTACTTTGGTTTCACGAGGCGAAGCCGAGTGGAATGGAACATTCCATCTGTGGCCAAATGAAATTATTCTTTCCAGTGCACGAATGTGAAACATTCATTATTTGCTTTATACAACAGCTGAGTGAATCCTCGTCATCTGATTGGTCAGAGCCAACAATCATGTGACCGTGCAATGAACTTCTATTTACCGTGGGATAGAACTTCTATATTTGCAATGCGGCTGGGTCGAGGGTTGGGACGAATAATACAATGACATGTGATCAACGACCTACCAGTCAGGTGACGGGGATTTATTTAGGGGTTGTATACAACTATTTAAAGACTCAAATTAGGTTTTGCCCTTCTATTTAAAGACTGAAAACAGTCACAGGTGTTAATCATGGTACCGTGATGTCAAGTCTTTTTTCAAAATCAAAAAAGCAAATAATGCTGTTTTAAGCTAAGAGTAACAAAAATATATTTTTAATTCCTTGTTGACTTGCCTCTTCCGTACCTCTATATACATATATTCCCACCTGACATGACATCCATGTATTGATGTAACAAACGTATCTGCTTCCAAAACAATCATGGAATTGCAATTCTGTAAATTAACAACTATTTATAACTATGGTAGTTTAGTAAGAAAAAAAGTTTTTAATGGCATTGAAGAAAAACAAGGCTACTTATTAAGTGTGCTAATGTGTGGAAGAAGTGTGAAGAGCTTATTTGCAAATGCGATATATCCATTTACACTGCAATTGGGGAAAAAGAATGCATCATCTGTATTTAAAAAAAAAAAAAATTCAGCAAAAAATGTAAATGCCTCAAATGGTTTGCTCAATTCTGATTGGTGGGAAATTACCCAGGGGGGTTTGATTCAGCCAATATGACCGCATTGTTCAGTGATGCTGATACTTTTTTTTTATTTCTGTATAAAATGTAATTGATCAGAAAAAAAACAGACTACCAACAACGTGTCAGACAATATGTGACTTGGACCCAATTTCATAGCACTGGTAAGCACACGATGTTCTGAAAACAGAGCCTCTGTCTATACCATGAAGACCGTAAGCAGTAAGCACATAAAAGGCACGCTCACCTCAGATGAAAAAGTTGCTTAAATCAGTGACGTGACAATAGAAATTGCACATGCAACCGTTAGCACGTCCATGCCATTAAGTAGTGCTAAGCACAATTTTCTGCTCTAGTAAGCACAACCTTTTTTGCTTACTGTTAAGCATCACTATGAAATTGGGGCCTGTTCTGGGCTGTTATTTGCTTTGCTGTATTATACTTTGCTGAAGCAGCATTTTCTGTTCACAGCTCTGTTGCATTACACCATATTTGTGCTTTGAGCAAAAATCTGAGGTTTTTTTTGTTACTGATGGACAGAAAATGAACTTACAAGGGTCCTTACACACCGTCAATTGACCTCACTTCATGTCTTGATTTGTTCAGGTTTTGGCCAGCGTAGATGTGACAACTCTTATCGTATATTGCAGTGAGTTCTCTCTATACGTGCAATATTGGTGATTTTTGCCGTTTTTCTAAATATCGTAAATGAGAAAATTATACTCCTGTCCTATTAGAGTGTGCGTGCATCAGAAATAGCAGTGGCGATGAAAGTTTTGTGATTTATTAAACTTTCTTTTTTCGAAAATGAATTCTGGGATTGCCACGCCTTGCTAAAAATGCATGTTGTTTTTTGACTTTGCCGTTTGTTTTTACAATTCAGCTCAGATAGGTGTGTGCTGCCCCCAACGTGGTGTGCACATCTCCATTAGTGTGTTGAATGTTGCAACAGACTGCGCGGTATTAGTCAATCAAACCACTAAGAACACTTTTCTTTTCAATTTTTAAGCTTTTTTTTTTTGTCTTTATATTGATGTTATTTCGAGCTTACCAGTGGAGCTGTGAAGCTATTTTAGAAATACCTGTAATGATTTTACTAAATTGGTGACATGTTTTCTACTGAGCACAACCATGGATATTGAAATCCAAATTACCTAATAATTTACAATTTCAATTAAGTTATAACACAATTAACGATGGGATTTTTTTAATGAAAAATTGTAACTAATATCCCAACTGATTTGTATACTTAAGTTTCTACTCATAAACCTTTTTTTAATCCCCAAAGAAATTATGGTTTATAATTCAAGCGCACAATTGTTGTATTTGATGTGTGTGAGTGCATATTTTAATAGTTCAGATACATGTAAACCATTAACACAATGTACTTATTACTCAGAGGTATTGAATAATTTAAAAATTAAAAAATCTTTTAACAGATGGATAGTAGAGTGGATTTACACAATTTTTTTAAAAGATATCTTAGGTATTGACCTTCACCCCCTTGTATTTTGTTCAGGCCCCGCCCCTATGTCAGCTTCTCTGGGATAAAGCTGTGTTCAATGAACATATCTTGGTTAATGTTTTAAACATCTTGGTACATTGTTTGGAAATCTATGGTTTTGTTAATAATTACCTATAATACCGATGCTTGTCATTTACTATATTTGCCATATTTTAATACCCTCTCAGATTTCCAAATATCACCTGATCTATTTTAAAATTGTCTGTCACCTTATCGAGTATGTGTCATACAAGTACATTGGTTTAATAAGATTTTGGACTTCACCAAAATCTCTGGAAACGTATGTTATTCTGAGAAAACAGGCCATAATTTTAATTGGTAAGCCGAACAATGATATCATGTTTTCTGTTAACACATGTGCTTTCTTTATAGTGCCAGTTTGGGAAAACCAGATGTGTATGTACATGTATACATAGGCATTTTATAAAGACAGTTTTCTTTGGTATTAAACTACAAGTAAAATTCCTAGAACTCAAAGTGGGATAAGTAGAATCTCCACTTATCTCGAAGTCGTACTGCATTCCTAATCGAGAGAATAGGATATAATGTGTATGTTTTGTATGAGGTGGTTTTTTTTTTCTCCATTTTCATGGGGCAGTTTTCTCAGACCTTAATGACATTCCAAGACAAAACTTGCTTCATTTGGGACTTATAGCGAGGTTATTTATTGGGACTAAGAACAGTGGAAATTTACCCTCGTTTTAGGATATGCAGGGTTAGGGCAAGCACTTTTGTTTGCCGAAGATCTAGTGTGAGACGTCACTTTTGTCTGCTTTTTATGTAAATTTCAGTAAATTTTTACCCACACAGTTTAATAATTTAACTGAAAGATATAAACTTTAATATTTAGAAGGGGAAAAAACACATTTTACCTACATGTATGTCAGTTTAAATACGGGTTTTGACTATTACAAATGTCATTTTAGTCGGTATTTATTCATGCATATTACACAGGTCGTTAGTGTTTTATCCGATTAGTGTGTTTGTTTTTTTTCCTTCTAGTTAATGTTGTAACAAAATCCGCAAAAAAAGAAAAAAGAATTGCAATCATGCGAAGATTTAATTGAAAAGAAATGAATAATTACAAATGCCATCATTTTAAATAAACCAAAAATAGATGAATAACTTGAACTAATGTCTTTATTCGTTTTTTATTTTCTCAAAGGATATTTCCCGTCGATCTTAATTGTGCATTCGTCTGGCAGACGTACTCACTTCACATGACAACACAGACATACAGACAAATACAATCAAAAGCGAGAAATCACAGACATTGTTGTGCATATTTTTATTGACAATTTACAGGCAGTTACATCACGTTACTTCACTTTCTTTGAGATTTTGGTTTTTTTACTTACAACTATGCAGTGGTTTACAATAACACACTTTGCACTAATCAACTTGCTGCAAACGTACTGCAATTTCTACACACAAACATGATCCGACCTACGTAGATTAACTTTGTACAGTACCAATTTCATACTTCACATTTTGAAGGTTCCTTGCATTATCTTATTTTTTTGTGTAAGAGCATTTATTGTTTTAAATAATACGTAATTTTTCGAAGCATGAACGATGATTTTTCCCGATACCTCATTTATCATACAGTAGGAAAACGTTTTTAACAAAAATAGATAAATAATGTTAATATTTAATGTTAGCATGAACTGGTGCATATACTGTACATACTTTACAAACACAAACCCTTGTAAGACAAAAAGATGAATATACATGTATTTTTTTTAAAAATCTGTCGCTATGGATTAAATATTCCTGTGACCTACGGTACGTTAGTTTAATTATGTTTCATACACAGCGTTGTCACGTGGTACAGAACCTGCAGTCGTACCAACCACAAAGAAACCAACAAGCGAATATAAATACAAGAATAAACAGGTGTTGTCGCAGACTGAGCTGACAACTTTTTTCAAATAATACTGACAACAGCTTTTAAAATCTACATAAGAAACAAATTAGAGGTCGAAACTTAGAGTATGCAATTAAAGACGATCACATGATTCTAAAGGGTATGACAACAATCCATCTTACAGGATTCAATAAAAAATTCTATGCACCATGATACAAAGAGCATTTGTTTGGGACGAAAATTATCCAACATATTTTTTTTTTGACTCGGACTTTACAAAGGAGCTGTAACATTGCCAGTGCATCTTTATACAAATACACATATAAAATCACAGCTACATAATTAGAAAAGAGACCAATTGAAGGGGCAGTGCCAAGGAGATAAAATATCGACTTTTATCCCTGGCCGTTTACATTCGACCTACACAAAAATCATGCACGTTGTAGCACTGCCCCTTTAACTTGTGCTACAAACACTGTACAGTTCTGGATTTCGTAATTGCTTCATGATTTAAAAATCCCCTTTAAGATGACTTGTGTTAAAATAAAGCACCAGAGTCTCAGATGTCAAACTCGTTTGTAAATCGGTGCATATCTGTGCAATAACCGATAATTTCTGATACCCACTGCAAAAGTTATTAGCACAGAGGCTGGAAAAATTGCGAGTTGGTTCATGGCGACCTAAACGTTTCACTATTCTTCAACTGGAATGTTCAACACTATGCGCTTCAATTTATGCAGTAACGTTTTCAGCATACATTCTGCCAATGCTGTGCAGCATTATAAGGTTGTTGATAAAATCCTTCGAATAATGTAAAAACCAGGGGAACAGCCTCTTTTTGTAAATCTGTTTGAAGATGAAGAGCAGGCAGGCAGATATCACGGACGACAAAGAATAATAAGAAATTTGGACAGTAATGTTATCTTTACACCTCTCCCTAAACTTTGTGTCATTCACCACCCCCCCCCCTTTTTTTTGTCCCCCCAAACCTGCCCCTCATTTCAGGCTGGTTTACACTTCACATGAACTTCATTATGAAGGGTAATGACAAATGTCACAAATGAAAGTTCAATTCTTGACATCATAAAATTAGTTTCCTTTTTCGCTTTGAGTACACGCGGCTATGTTTACCTCCAAAACTACTTACTTTTCTTGCCATAATCCAAAACTCAAACAGTACTTTGTTGCCGAAAAACCAAACTCATTCACAAAAAAGACAGTTCCTCAACTTGACGTCAAAAATAAGTAATAAATTACAAACGCAATAAATAAAACCTGATACATTTATACACTGAGCGCCAATCCTTGCATAGAAAAAAAAAAGAAACAGCCTTTATGAGGTACGACACTCGCAACCTGGCCACACGGTTAAATATTTTGAAAATGAACTTTCTGATATCGTCTTGTAGAAACTACGGTCTATTTAAATAAATTTAAGTTGAGGTGAACCGGCTAGCATGGCATTATATACAGAAAATGCAATTAAAAATGTTCCTTAATTAAAATACTTTAGTTCAACACATAACCAATTACGGTGTACAATAAAGTCATGATTTTGGGACAACAAAAATAGGAAATAGAGTTTTGTCATGATCCTTAAAAAATTCCTACAATGCCACAAATTACGATTATTTACATCTTTTACAAAACAAACACAAAAAGTGAGACAAGCTACAATCTCAATATATTGAGAATATGCAAGTATGTATGGAATTTACAAAAAGAAACAGTTTGAGCCAACATATTGCATTTTTTTTATACACAAGGGCATTTTTCTAACCTCGTCTGTCCTGGCTTACGATTTTCAAATGATTTTGAGAACAGTGTATACAATCTTATAAAAGACAGACAGAAACAAATGGCAAACGTACAACTGCACTTTTTAAGTTGAATCCTTTTTCAAGTCTGGAAAGTATGATACACAGGTCTTACATTAAGTCGGATGACGTGTATACACGCAAAGGTTTTGCGGTATTCGGAACGGATGACAGATATTATCGCAACATGCGAGGCCGGAAATTTCTGTCTGCGACCCGCTCGCAGCGATCAAGGCCAGAAATATCAGGGTGTGCTACCCGCAGATGATGGCCTGAACCCGTCTAGCATTTAGGTTTGTGAAAAACAATCCCACGCCTGGGTCCGGTCGATGTCAAAATAATCCCGGCACGAACTGGTTAAAAAAACTGGCTGTGATCTGAGTACTTGGGATTTGGATTATAATAGCAACTGAAATATGTATATCAAAAATCAAACCAAGTATTTAGAAAAGGATTCCAAAATAGTATTTCTAGCATAACTGTTATAAGCTGTAATGTCCGGAAATTCTTAAAGCTAAGGCTTAGTTCCAACAGTACAACCTTCTATTACTGTAGGCATATAGGATCATTTGCTCTTCCTGCATTTTGTTCTTTTCCAATAATAACACCACTCAAAATCCAAAGGAGAATGTTCAAAACCTAACCTGCTGAAGTTTCAGCTCAGTGGATTTTACGCTTTTCCAGAAATCAGTGCAAAAACCATGCACAACCTTTTGAATTGATCACGAACCACCATTTCATTGATATCCAACGATCAGTCAATTGACTCATTGTTGGAAATCACCTACATCTCCTGATTTCTTCTAAACGACAGCAAGCCAGACGGAATAATTTCACAGGGTGTTTAGTACCAGTACGATCTTTAATCCATGTAATTGTTTTGATAATAATTCAGAAGGCTACTTTTGGATAAATGTCAATGATCCTATATGCCTTTAAGGGACTTGAAAAAGGACTCCGCTACAACATTGTGAAACTGAAGGGAAACCAAACAACAGACTGAAGCCTTACAGTAACAGACTCCTGGACTTGGAGAACCAATTCCAAATCAATCGCTTTCGCTCTCGCTGTCGTCATAACCAGAGAAATTGACGGGACCCAGCTTGCCAGCCCGCTGGGTGAACTCCACGATGGAAAAGTAACAGAACTCATACTGGTCGGGGGTCTGGATGCTGAATGCCCGCTGGGCTCGCATGCGACGCACCGTGTTGCAAATGTCGACGGTGTGGACGTCTTCCAAGCGGGACAGGCTGATATCTAGGGTACAGAAGGTCCCTGTTGATGAAACAAACAAATTTGAAGTCATTATTTTACTACTAAATAACCAACCGCTTTATATTTTTTTGCTGAAGTTAAGCAAATATGCAAATTATGCATGGACACCATGGGTGCTTTCGAGTAGCTCACACGGATTGACTCGGGTAAACGCAGACGGGTTAACCATGATAGCCGGACTAGTCGAAGGCTCAACCGCGAACCATCACGATTCACACGTGACGCCTGTAGCCGTGGCCATAGCCGTTTTGAATTGGGTCTTAGTTTGAGATTTACTGCTTTTCAGTCAATTGCAAAACTCAAAAAAGTTGGGCTGGAATTATAGCCTCAAAGGTCGCAATGAACTCAATACATGATTACCTTTAGACTTCAAATAAAGTTAATTTTAAGTCCACTTGAGATTTCGGCTGTCCAGCCGCCATATTTGTCTGATGTGTCCCAGTGGACGGGACACATCACGCGCATGTACTGGTTCGTGTAGTACTGGTTCGCACGCATATTGCACAGAGTATATGCAAGTAAGCACAAAATCGCATGAGCATCAGGAGTCTTCTTCCCTCCCAGTGGTCTCCCCCAACTCTCCCTTTCTTACCACTGAGGGGGGACTTGTGCACGAAGCCCATATGAAGCTGTATTGCAGTTTGTACATTTTTTGGAGAGCATCGGATATCCTTACCTGTCCGTCCTATCCCTGCACTGCAGTGCACCAGTATGGGTGGTCCCAGCGGATGGCTAGTCCACACAGACCCTAGCTCCTCCACAGCCTTGGCCTGGTACCTACGCACCTCCTCCCTGAATTCCAGCATAGCCTGGGCAGAGCGCGGCGTCCCAAAGTCTGGCCAGCTGGTGAACTGCATGTGAGTTACTCGTCGCGTTTCTCCCGTCTGTAAGAAAACAAAATTCGCAATCAACTTTATCTCACTTCTAAAGTCTAGACAAGTGGACAAACTTGCTAATCCTGGTGATTTTCAATAATCTGTGGGGAAAAAAATCAGACTCTTCAGCACTAGCTCTACCACGCAATCCAAAACACTTCAATACTTTTAAGAGAATGCCCTATGTTTACTGCAAGACTACTCTTTTCTTAACAACCCACCTGCATATTCTGCACGCTGAAGACAGTGATGGTGTAATCTCGCCGTCTCTCCATCTCCAGATTCTTGACGGCGATGAAGCTGTAGTTCTCAGACGACCCCACCTCCCCGGGCCAGTACTGGCCGCACTTCAGCCGGCCGCGCTCCACCGTACGCGTCGTCATGACAACCACCAGGACGCTCTGCTCCCAGATCATGCGCCAGAAGTCGCCAAATGTTCTTGGAAGCGGACCTATGCCAAGGAGGAGCGATTAATCAATCATTCGAACAAAATAGCCCCCAAAGTTCCTGTTATTGCAATTTTAAAAATACTTGGCATTCGTTCCCGAAAAAAAAACCTGGCATCAGTTTCAAAAAAATGTAGCTGCCATCTGGGCGTTGTCTTGGCAACCAGACTGAGAAGTCCAGATGGGATTTGAAGTACTTGGAGAATGTGCATGAAGACCTGGAGGTCATCATGTTTAAGATCTGGCTGCTAAGATGGAGTATCAGGTCTCAACATTTGCTATGGTAATGTGATTCCATACTTCACCTTCCAGGAAAAGAAAATTAGGTTAAGGAGAGGGTATTCTGTTGCATGTGTACATGTTTACGTGGTTTGTTTACATGGCTAACATTCCTGTCTGCAATTTCCAAAGAAAGCATCTGAACATTCCATTAACTGTTTGTGGTGTCAATAAATAACTCGGGGCAATTCCGTAAATTTGGACGTACATGTCAGACACTTTAATGAGCTGCTGCTGGAAAAGTGAATGTGATACATCACTAATATGTGACGTCTAATGAGTAGAACACCACCACCTTATCAATCCTTGTACATGTTTTTTGTACATCATGTGGTTGGACGTATGCTGGATTTTATGGAATTCCCCTCAGTTAAATTGGTTCCAATGGCAATGACCTATGTTTTTTTATTATATATATATATAAAAACAGCCAATTGCAAAATAGTGGTGAACAAATGACAAAGTTTTTGTACTTCAATTTCAAATGGCAATAGGTTCCATGTAATGAAATAATGGCTTACCTCTACCATCCTCAATTATGCAAAATCATCCAAATGTCCCAGTGGACTCTAAAGGATCTCAGAGGGTTGAGGCTTATGATATCAACGGTTTCACAATTTCCCAACAGAATTTTGAAAACGTTTTTTTTACTGGACTTGCAGCTCACCTTGGGCAGCTATGAATGCATTCTTCTGCTTGTAGCCATCCATGGTGTTTGCGTTGATGTAATCCGAGTACGGGTCACCGTTGGTCACTTTTAACTTGACCCGTGAGTGGTCGTAGCACAGGACGTCGGCGTATCGGTTCTTTGGCAAGTTGTACTTGTGCCTGCAGGACAAGTGATGGAGTGTCGAGTTTCATAAGAGATCTCTGGCAGGATTTTTTTTTTACATTGAAAATGACATTTGAAATAAAGATTTACGGATTGCAAATAGGTTTCAAAATTACTAAGTGCCTCTGTCCTGAAAAGCTTACATTATGATTTTGACAGGAAGATACAATGTCCCTCTTTTGGGAAGGTGTGCTGTAGTAATCGTTTGTATTTTGGCTGGTTTAAACAATATGAGACCTGCTCCCACAAAACCCGGACAAAGTTGACAAATTTAGTTTTTTAGGTTTTGTGCAAAATGATTAAGCTGCTGCAAACTGCTCACTGACTGGATGGACCTGAAATATACAAATCAAAAAGTTAGAGAGGCCTGATATATTTCGTCTTTAGCAAAGACTTCTTCAGAGGCAAAAGTCTTAGCTAAAGACAAAATATATCAGGCCTCTCTAACTTTCTGATTTTTTTTAGGTTTTGACATGTTCACAATGCTGAAGTTTTCAGGTTTAAAATGACACATGACTTCATAGGTACTGAGACCCTATCACATCTGGAAGAAGGGATTAAGTGATAAAACACTGACAACCTAATTATGAGATAAACTTGCATATTGAAATGTTTTTGTATGATTTTCTGTACACATTTTTTTTCACTGAATTGACAAAAACACACTTCTACTTGCTGGATGATATTCACACTTTTGTAGACTGTAGATTTAAAGTTCCCGTTTCAGAAACTCTGAAAACTTCAAAATGGTCAGCTCCAGCCCAAATTACTTCGCATGCCCTTTGTACAAAAACTAAAGCTGCAACTTTGTCCGGGTTTAGTGGGAGCAGGTCTCATACATGTATGTGCATTTTGGGGATGCATACACTTTTTGATAAGTGCTTATAAGTAAAGCCTGGTCCATACATGTATATGGCACAGAAGCAAACACTAATTTGTCATGGTAATTTGTCATGGTAAGAATTTGGTGCTTCAAATTCTCAATACATTTTCAACTTGGGCAAATTTCACCTCAACTGTTTCAAGATGCCAAATTTGTTTTCGACCTGTGTCTGTGGGGGAAAATGAACTGGTCTTCACCAAGCCTCGGCTGAAGTTAGCATATTACTCAAAATCATTGCCACTGATCTTGCATATTAAAAACAGCCCCCCCCAAAAATATTTGAGAGATGAGTAGTCTCAACTCCAGACTTACTTTGAAACATTAAAATGTCCTACAGGTGGTTCAGCCCGGATCATTGCATATTCCTGGTATATTCCCCTCTGTTTAGTCTGCAGTATGTAATCTACCAGTCCATCTAAGTCCATTCCTGTATCAGTAGGCTGGTGCACTGACAATTCCTCCTTGGGCGCATGCCTGACTGGCATGGTGGGGGCAGGGTCACAGACTTGTTCTTGTGGGCGGGGCGGTTTGGGAGGGGGTTCTGTGGGCATATCGTCCAAATCATCATCGTCGTTATTGTGATTGGTCTGGTTGATGTGGTTGGCGATGGCTTCTCGTACTGGTTCCGTTTCGTGTTTCTCCCTGGTCTCTTGTTGACCCTTTTCCTCTTCGTCGTCGTCACTCACCACGCACCCCTGGACAATCTGGGGGTGGGGATGGTGGTCAGTCCTGCCCAACACGGCTTTGCAGTCGGGGATGTCGCTGTTGTTAATTCTCTCCAGCATGCCCATGTGATCATTGATCTCCTGGGCGAGATTACGGAGCTGTGTTGGGCTGGATGGGGCCGAGTTGCCCGCGCTGCCTGTCTGGCTAGGCACGGCCACCCCATGACTGGCGTCCGATCCAATGCTAGACGTCCGCTCTCGCTGACCGGCCTGTACGTGGTTCAGGTACGGCAGGGGGACTTTGCTAGCAGACGGGATCCCACCAAAGAGTTCTACAGCCTTGCGGTTTGCCTCCAAGGCAGCCAAGCTATCGGCAAACTCGTCGCTCAGATCCTGTGAGTTGCGGTTGTTGTCGCCCGCCTGGTGGTTCAGGCAGGAGTTGAGCCAATCGAGGTGTTTGATCTCGGCACTGCCTCCGAGCTCACGGGGGAGTGCCATCGCTGGGATGTAGCGACAGAGACGCTCTGCACTTACTAACGTCACCTGCGCAAGACAGAGAAACAAGAATAAACATGAAGATGAAACCTCAATGATAAAAAAACAGTACTCAGAACTGTAGGTAGACTCAGAGGCTGCTCTGACTATAGTGACCAAAACGATACACTTGATCTGTTACACGCACTTAGTTTGCGTTATAGTATAAAATCTGCTGCCCAGAAAACATGGTAAATGGTTGGTTAACGTCCAATGGCCAAAAGTAATGTCAACCACCACAACCACATGCCACACTAATTGCTTGTTTTCAAAACCATTGCTGGCAAAACAGCATCCTCTAGGAAATATAACAAAACTGTCCTTCACATTTCTCAGAAAACAAAAAGGTAAAAAGTGTAAAAAGGATAACGTCATCACAAATGTTTATATAAACACTGCAGACAAAAGACAATAGCAAATCGTGAACAATACAATTCCAATCCCCAAATGATGACCTCTGAAAAAAAAGTACATGTAATATTCAAATTTCTGTTCCCGCCATAGAGACCTTTTCAGATATCACATATGATGCACAAAATGCTCAGGGTCGGAATAAATGGTAATGTGTAAGGAAAAAAAAGTGAAAATGCGAAGAACAAAAAAACAGTTTCAAAAGATCAGTGAACATGACTTTGTTGAATGAGCAAAAACATTTAAATAACATTTCTTGCTGGATCATATCCTTTTGTGAGCATTTTGGGAAAACAAGGTGCGGAACTACCAGTACAAATACACGTACACATATGTGTACATTGTAAAACCAGATACTTTTTTTACAGGAAAAGCTTTGATTTATCTTTGCTGATAAAACCGTCCAGTTCCACCAGGAAACTTCATACATGTATTCAGCAAATACTGGTATAATCCACGGTGACTTTCCCTCCTATTTCTCTTCACCGTTACATGTACATGTTATTGTTACATGCTATTGTCTTTGAAATGCAAGGACAAAGTAAATAGGAAACATCAAATAGTTGCTGGTAACCCGGTTTTTTTTGTTGAAAAGAGTGACTTGTGTGTGCAATGCAAATATGCACTTCATACATCTTTCAAACGGCTTCCGGGGGTGAATTGTTTTAAGACGACAATGACACTACGAGAACAAAATCCTTTTTTTGTGATACAGGAAGTGGTGTTTTGCACAAAGGCCTTTTGACTGAATACTTCTTTCTTGTTGTTGTTCAATAACTTCCTGGCAACGAAGAAACAAGTTTAGCTACTGAGGTCACACCGTTTGCACAAAGGCGTTTCGACTGATACTTCTTTCTTGTTGTTGTTTTAATAACTTCCTGGCAACGAAGAAACAAGTTTAGCTACTGAGGTCACACCGTAGGTGGTTACCGACCGAGGAAGTAGGGCACCAGTCAGGGCAATGTTACCACTTTCTTTCCTCTGCGAGCCTCGGCGATGGGATATGCAATACCTAACTATCGACAACGACAGGTACAATCTACATTTGTGCCAATGTAATGGGTTGGATCGGTGACTAGGCATCACGAGGAGTGATCTCCAGATAGATTCATTTCCTTTCCTCTCAGAGAACCCAATCCTGCGTGGGCTGGTGTACACACTAACGCACAACCAATTTCAAGACAAGAACTTCTCCGTATCTAAGTGGTGTGCCATTACTTTGGCAAAATCAACAGTTTTCCCGTTAAAACAGCTATAAATACAGTTACTTGAGACTGTCACACTTAGACTCTGGGATGGCTTATTTGGAAATGTATTAATCTGGAGAAAAAAAACGCTGGCATTCCAGGTAAATTACACAATGACAAATGGCACTTCCGGCAATCAGTCAGACTGAAACAGATTTAATTTTGCCGTCCCCCACCCTAAAAATAAACCTGGCTAAAATTTTAACGACATTTCGCAGAAAATGTTGCTCTCACCGAGTAACACCTCACATATCCGAGTACCGATATTGAGATCTTCCCGGAAAAAGCAACAAAACCCAACATATTCCAGGGAGAAATAGAATAAGTGAATGTTTTAAGTTTCAAGTTTGGTTTTATTCCACTCAACTTTACAGTAACATTTCAACAATAATTTAAGGATATTTGGGATGTATGAATGAGGGCCATCTACATGTACATGTGGAAACACATGAGGGTTTGGAAAAATGACCCTAAAGGTGGGTACCAATAGTTGAGTGGAAATATTTGTCAATTAAAGTTTCAAAGTAACCCAAGAACAGAAGAATATATAAGGATGTTGAGAAAACTTGCCAACATTAAGCAAAATATTGATACAAGGCATTTCTGACTCTACTAATTGGCGTTTACCAAAAGTTTCTTTTAGAATAATTACAAAGACAAATGACGCAGAAGGACTAACACAGACACGGACACTGGACATCATCAACAAACTTCAGCTTTGTTTAGACTTATCTGCCCAAAACAGCTGACTTTACCAAATATAATTTGATAACGAAGTAAGAGACAACAAGTACAGACCTCAATTAAAAAGAAACAGAAAGATTTGGAGACACGACGATCACTTTAAATATTGGCCAAGGAGATGATGCTGAAGAGAATGGTTGACAATTGGAAGAGAAGAAATGGATGTAAAATTTGAAGGAAGGTTGTTCCAGATTGTTAGTCCACGGAACAAAATATTACGTTGAGCAAAAGAAGTCCAAAGTTGGGGAATCTGAATTTTACTTTACTTGCCATCATTTCCCCATTATATGCAACAGAGTGGTAGCCTGTACATAAAATATTTCTAAATATTTCTAAATATTTATTTCCATTTTTGACCAATTCCATGAGTTTTCCTAGTTTTCTTGTGTGTTTTCAAAATTCCCTGAGTTTTCCCTGACTGGAAAAATGGAAATTCATTTTCAAGCTTTCCCCTGAATTCCAGAGTGCCTGGGAACCCCATTGTCTAAGAGTTCTTTTCTCGGAATTCAGTTAACAACTAAATCATAAATTCACTTTCAGAAGAAAACAAAGACAGCACAAGCTCAAGAACTCAACTACAAGTATAGTAAAAACCCTTGCCTGGTAGTTATCTCCGCAAAAGGAAGGAAAAAGAAAAAAATGGAAATGTTTGATCACAAAACAGTAAAGCCCTGTGTCACTTTTTACATTAGCCTAGTCTGAACTTTGCACGTCCTATGATAAACATGAGTGGTCTTCCCAGTAAAGTAGGACAAATAGGCATGGTAGTACTGCAAGTAGTACATGTACAACCAAACCATAACATACTACATGTAAATCTGATAGGTTTTGATTGATTTTGTAAGAGTCAGGCCACATTGCTGGGTCAATCTTACCCGTTCTTTAATTTTTTCTTTCAGCAATGGCGCAAGGAGCTTGTACATGGCCTTGAACCACAGCGGCGGTGTCACGACATACACCCGCTTCAGTCTGGCCGGGTAGCCCTCACGGAGCATGCCCAGTAGCTTCTTGCTCAGGTTCATGTCGAAGTTGGCAAACGACGACTCGGTCATGTTGTAGATGCAGGTCAGTCCGTTCCGCTGGGTGTCGTTGCTGCACCAAATAAATAAAAAAACAAAAATTTAAATACAAATCTCTGCCTGAAAATTTATTTTAGAGACTGTTTCTTGTTTGAAAATTGTAATATAATTCATCTTCAGAACTTCAGAAGTTAACAAAAATAATGACCTTTTCATGGGCAATAACCACATTTCATGACTTTTGAAGTGGTATATACCAAAAAGAAAATTTTCATAAAGGTCACATTAAAGAATATGTTTTATACTCTGTTAACTAGCCTGAACAAAAAAATATGACTACACTTGAGTATACCAGCTTCTTCACATGTAAATGATACAGACTTTTGTATGCATGCTTCTTTGTACATTACAAAATACAAAAATAAGATTTTCCAAAAAAAATGTACATCTTTATGAATATTAATTTTAAAAGGGTACTATAGATTAATTTAAAAAAAAAAAATTTGGATGAAGTATGTGTACCTAAATGAATGTCAATATCAAATACAAGCACACCCCCCCCCCCAAACAAAGAAAATAGTAGGGATCAAACCATGAAAGATACTGAATGACGAATAAATTACATGTACCGCCTATCAAGAACATGTGTGAGAAGATTTATGAATGGCGGGAACAGGGTCACTGCAATTCCCCACTACGATGACAGCAATCCTTACATTCTTAGAGAATTTAATAATGTCTGTATTCCCCCAGGCCTGGACCCTTCTAACACTTAGCCACCCCCCCCCCCCCCCCCTCCCCCCTCAGGAATCAAGATTCAATACTCGGTGCTTTGAGTCATCAATTCATGCCTGTGTGTGTGGGCAGGGATGCCATAAGGAAACTATGGGTACTGAGAAATGATAAATATACAGGTTTATGTACTACAGGAGGTGTAGCCTCAGCAATACATGCTACAGTTGTGGCCATTAAAATTCTATCCACCACCATAAAGTAAGGAGTAAAAATTTGACTTAATTTTTGGGGGAGGGGGATTATTTTGACAATTACTTCAATTGTTGGTTTGCCGTCTTTGGGTTTTGTTGGTTTTCTTCTGTCCCGCATTAAGCCAGCCTGAATGACACACTTCTAATCAGCCAAACTACAATGCACATGTATACATGTATAGAGGAAACATCATCCACATAACACTAAGCCTAACCCACCTCAATCCTCCAAATTCCTCCTTTGGAGAATTGAGGATGAATGGTGTTGAAGAGGAGGATGATTGAGGATGAATGCATTATGAGAGGCAGGACTGTCAGAGGATTTTGAAGGATTGAGGCACTAGGTACCGGTACATGTATCCTTCATTTGAACATGTGTGCACAATTTTGGAGGATTTTGGAGGATTGAGGATGATCCCTAGCAAAAAGGGTTAGGGCTAATGAGAGCTGAAATATGCCACTTTAAATGAAAGTGGGGCTAACTTCGATAGAGCATTAGTCATCAATTACAATGTGTGAGTACTGTAAAACAATACTGAGCTAAAAACATTTCGCAAGATAAAAATGTCGACCTTCTGCAAAGTATCATTATGGTAAACAACCAATCGTTTTCAAAGAAAAACCGTTGGAATACTAAATGTCGAGAATATTTATTTATAAAAAAAAACAGAAAACCTACAAACTTCCCTGAAATCCAAACAAAGATATCTGTGCAGGAATAACAGTGTACATGAACAGCTGCTGTTCATTTCTGATCCTTTTTAAGTCCAAAATTCATCATCAAAAGCAAAATCAACCATTTCTCATTAATTTACATTTTGTATTAATAAGTATAAATACCATGATAATACAGCCCTTAAATTGTAAATATATTCCAACTGCTCACACGATATCTTGTAATAAATTCAATTTTGTAATAAATTCAATTCACCGGCGGCCCCAGTGCATGAGGTATTTTCAGCGATATTGCCACTTTTTTGTCACACGGGTATGTTTGGGCATATGACTCATCTATTACTCTTGCACGGGCAGCCGGGGTGATCCGTAATCATCACAGGCAGAAGGAATGTCTTTTTAACACTCTCAAGCCGTACAGTCTTTCTGATGCACTGAAGAAAAGAACTGAACAATCGCACGCAGGTTTTCAAATTGGCACTAATCACACAATGGGTTATTTCACGCATGAACTCCGTCATAGTCATATCACATACAGTAGTAATGCTTCGTGATAATGACCATGAATTAGTAAAAAGGTAATTTCCTGTTAAACAAAATTAGCAGAAATTCACTACAGTACATGTACCGGGCACCGACTTTCAATGGACTTTTTTATATTGTTTAAACACAAATCTTGGTCCATAAAAAGATAAAGAATTATCATGTGAAATTTTACACAAAAATTTGCTGATTGACACAATTTCAGAGAAGAGGAATTCTCAGAAATGTGAGCAAGTTCTGCATTCATTTTACAGACTTTTTGTTATTCTGTAAAATCTTATGTATACATCACCCTATTCACATAGATCTGCAATGTCATCGTACACGTTCAACATGTACATTCTGTAATGTGTGTTTCATTTTCATTTTCTGGGAAATTTAAGAGGGTTTTTCCCTTCATGTTTCATAAATATATATTTTTGGTTTGCATTTCTGCATCAATGAATCCATAGTCTGTGACAGAAATGACTAAGCAGAGTTAAGCAACTAGCAGTGCCAGCTTATGGTATAATGGACACTTCACTGCCCACTTCCAAGGACATGGCTGTATGGTGACTTATTAGACCGTGTTTCCCAGCCAATAATTTGCCTTCAATAATATAAAACCCACTCACTGGATTACTAATCCTGAGGAGTTGTGTGAAGTTAAAAGGGACAATGAAATAAACAAAAAAACTGTGGATAAAACCTAAAAAATAACAGTAATATCCTGAAAAATTATTCACAGAGGTAGGTTGGAAAATAATTGTATTTTGGTATTTTTTGTTATTTTTTTTGAGGGGGGGGTTTGTTCTTTTATACTGACTTTGTTTTTAAGGATTTTACAATACTTTTTTTTGTTTAATTATGTTTAATTAGCCATTTAAATTATTTAATTAACTAATTACCTACATGTACATGTATGAAAGGAAGTCAGCACAGTTTACCCTTTCGAAATTGTTTTGGCTTAATGTGGCAACATAAAAGTTTCAGGTCGACAATGTGGGTACAAAAATATCCAGGTAGTAAAGTTGGGCTACCGTAAACACACTTTTAATTTTTGGCCTAACCCTGTAGTGAATAGCTGAAATTATGATTTCATAATTTCAAATGTTTCTAACAATATGTACATGATGCATGTACCGGTACTGGATGTTTCTAAATGACATACATTTACATGTACATACATTAACCTTTTACTCTCACTAAAAAGACATTCCTTTTATTTATCATACTTGTCACAACTTCTTATTTTTCTTGTATTATACATGTAAATCATAATCAGGTGGGTTTTCTTTTACATATTCAATGACTTAGCAATCGGCTATGTTTGAAAAAAAACCATGTCATTTCAATAGCCGTTTTTTAAAAACTACTTACAGGTATAAGTGTAGGCAGCAATCATGAGAAGTGATAAAGACGACAGAGGTGAAGCTTTTTGGAAAACTGACGACAGCAACACAATAAAACGTGTCTGTTTTCAGTTCCATTTCTGGATTTTTGTTCACAATTTTTTTAAATGCTGGCAGCCTAGAACTTCAAAACCAACCTAATGAGGCAATCGAATGAAAATTGGCTTGGAAAGTACCGGTATCTAAAAATGTATCGTCCAACCCCTTCTGACTTCCTGAAAATGAGCTCAAACCCCAAAACAAAACCAAAAAATACCCACCAAAGGCCAAATACATGTGGGTGTAAATGCTTATAATTAGATTTCTGCTACTCGGTGGGGATGGGCTGATGATGTCAATGTAACCGACCAAACGTGAGTCATTCCTATACGAAGGTACCTGGGCTTTGTTTTGCTTGCTCGGTACCCCGCATGTCCTACAAGTGGGAACAGGAAGGGCAGAGGACCACTCAACTCTAATTATCACAACTGAATTTAAGGTGTCGGAACCAACATCATACACATGCAGGACTATATGTATGTATGTATGTATTCTCAAGCTTCATTTCTTGTGAATTACATGTACTGTATGCAAGTTTCAAATTACAGGAAAAAAATACACACTGTGCAGATTGTTATGGATAATCACCACAATGACAAATTAATCTTCAATAATACCTACATGTACATTTGTACGTACATCATACAAAACATGTATTGTAAACCTACACCACGTTATGGGAAGGTTTTTTTATTCGGCAAAGTAGGACCAAGTTATGGGGACTTTCTGTTGTCCCCACAGCATCTTCGGTCCCCACAAATACCTTGTACAAAGTAATTTATCCCATCAACTACTGAACAACAATGTGTATCCACGTTACAATGCAGTACATGTCTGCCTATGCACCAGATTTTCATTCTCAGGTTTCAGGTGAATCATAACAGACACGTGATTCAGTTACAATACAGTCACTCTATACTCCTTTCCTAGCTCCGTGCTCATTACTACAGGTGTTTCTATACAACTGCACGTAAATTTGTGTATCCAGCATCAATGCACATATACGGGTCATGATTAAAAATTTAGCTTGAAAGAGTGGACCTCAAAATTACAGCGTGACCCAAATAATTAAGCACTCTCACAAGCTTGCATATTGTTTGTACCCATACAAGATATCAAATGCTTTTAAGATACTTAAAGTCTTATTTATCACTGACACAACGTCTCCTTGTCTCCTCAAGTCTCCTCCGTCTTATTAGATTAACTGTGACCATCAACGGTCACCCACAGCGAGAAACGTGCCGCACAGAATAACCTACAGCATCCCTGCTGAAGAGCAATTGAGCAAAGAGCCAGGAAAAGCCATCTGAAGTTCTGCACAGGATACAAAGGTTGAAACGTGCGAGTCTTCCACCTGACACCTTCAACATCCGACGATATCCTTGCAGCGGGTCGTGCATTTGTATTAATGGCTCTGTGGTGTCCCACTGTCCAGCGGG